TCCCTGTAGAAATAGAATAAATAATTATATTAAAGAGCTATGTAATGTCCAAAAAGAGTAGAGTCAAAAATCGAAATAGATCCAGTTTTGGAGATCTGCAAATAAAAACTGCAACGACGGTTCATATAAATAACATTTTCTTAAAAATTGATTGTATTGGACATATCTATACATATTATGCACGACATTACAAAGAAATAAAGTAAGAGAACAAAAATCATGCATTTTGAAAATTTTTAATAAGAAAAAATATAGGAGGTTAATTAGACATTTTAATTCTCATTCTCAAATTCCAAGAACAAAACATTATCGAAGTATATAAAAACAGGAAAATATAAAAAACGTAATAAAAATTTTTATTAAAAAAAAGAATTCTATATTAAAAAATGAAACCAATTCGATCTTTAATATTCCTCATTTTAATTCATATTCTTTTACATATTATTTAATGTTTTAAGATGTTTGATCTCGCAATTTGGAATGCATAAATTATAAAACAAGTATATTAATAATAGATTATATACACTGATTATACATTAAATATGCATGATTTTCCATGTACACACACATTAAACACCTTCCCCTGCAACAGATATATTTCAAACACAGGATATTCTACATGCATGCATCCTGCAAGAAAATCGGTTAGGGTATTAGATGACAATTATCCAGGTATTCTTTTCGGTTTTAAGGTTTCTGGCTAGGATCTCTTCGTACTGAACTTAACTTGCAGCTGCCAGACCGCAAGACTGATACCACTATTTCCGCTATTGCCAAAGCACAGCCCTTCTTAAAATGTGAAAAGGCGCACGTGCACGCGAAAAGAAATCGCAAAGTAAAGGTATAAAAAGGTATATAAATACATGCATTAATTTCTGTATGAAAGAAACGATCGACTTTATATAGAATCTGGAAATCACTCTATTCAAACTGTACACGCGGAGAAAATTTTCTCTTAGAATTTACCCTGAAAATCATGATAATCATGAGCCAATATGTTATTGGAAAAATTTTATAAGAGTTTCTCTGATTAAATATTGAGCACAACAAAAAAATATTAATATGTACATGATAAAATCAATCGAACATATTTTGTTTTATTGCAGTAAACATTTAGTCAGAAAAACTCTTATAAAATTCTTCCAATACCATATTGTTCCACGATTACCATGATTTTCAGGGTGAATTCTAAAAGAAAATTCTTTGTGTAAAAACCATATAATGAGAAGAATAAGAACTTTTACAATATTGAGATACTAATTACTTTGCGATAAGCAATCAAAATTTATAAGAGATTTTAACCAATATTTAATTTTAAAAAATTTAAAAAGGATGACATCAATTCCGAACTTGGTCAAAGAATGTGTTGCTAAGGACAAAAATATATCTTTTAAATTATGCGATTAGAAAGACAACTGCGATTAGAAAATTATACAATAGTGATAGATAAAAAGATTACACATGCCGCTGGAATAAAGTCAAAGAGTCATGCGATGAATAAGACATCCTACTAATTATATAACAAATTACAAAATTTTATCGAATTTTTTTGTGACTTTGTTACATCCTCGAAGCAAATAAAAAAATATCAGAGGTAGTTCAACAGAACAGGTGAATGCTGCGGATGTTTTTGGCAATCGGTTTGCACAGAAGCTTCTTACTATATGTAATATATATATATATATATATATATATATATATATATATATTATTAGGTAACAAACAACAAACACACACACGCACACCATTCTCGCAAGTCAATCCAATTGAACAGACTCAAAAGCGAACAGCCAACGGGCAAACACGAGCGATCGGTTATCGAAGCGATTAAACGTATATACAATATATATACGTATATAGCGCCGTGTCTATCTATCTATATATCCCGGTCGTGCAAATATGCACGGACAAACTCGGAAGCCGCGCTTCCAACAAGGAAACACCAACCACGTCGACGTGACGAACGTTCGTATGCACAACCGGCGCCGCTGCTCTCGTGGGAAATGCCGTCAATTATATTTGCGGCATGACGAGTGGCCACGGACAAGCGCGCAAGGTACGCCCGGAGTTCCCGGACGAGCGAGAACGGCGAGTCCCCGCCGTCATCCTCCTCTTGCCGAACCTGCTCTTGTTTGCACCAGCACTCTAATTAATTATCCGCCGTCTCCGATAATGTAACGCCGCGCGCGAGGCGCGTTCCTGCTCTACGAATATCCGAAATTACGACCGTTCCTACTAGCGACAGCAGAAAATTTTACACGCGTGACTCTGTAACTTTCGAAACGAATGGCTGCTTTTTTTAGCGAAATTTGCCACGGTCCTGCATTTGCGATTGACGAAAAACTTGCGTTTTTTGCAAACAATCTCAACAGTAAATACATTAGTATATCATGGAATTAAAATATTTAAAAAATATTTCGAGAAATATAATGTTAATTAATCAGAAATATTAATATATAAGACAATTTATTATTATCGAGCAAAACTTTTACATGTCAGATTTTTTATTAGAATCTATATTAAATCTACTGTAAAATTAATTTGAAAACAAATATTTATCTGTATTTTTAAAGACTATTAGTTTCTTTGTAATTAAAATTTGTTTTTGATTTTAAATATTACATATCTTTATAGAATTGAGCAAGTTGTGTTGCTCGATTCTAACTATAAAATATTTAATATAGAGAAAACACAATAAAGTTTAATTAAATAAAATTAGTCTTTAAAAATACAGATAAGTAATAAATATTTGTTTTCAAATTAATTTTCACAGTGACTTTAACTTTATAATTGCATTTTAAATTCGCCAAAATATATTTAATCAAGTAAAAATTTACACGTATGAGATAACGACGGCAAAATAATAATCTTTCAATAAAATTCCACATTGAGAATTCATTGAATAATATTCTTAATAAAATCGTATTCAATAGTGAAAAAATCTTGCGCAAACTCTAATAGTAAAATTGAATTTAAAAATTTGCTATTACCTATTCATATTTAGATACATTTATTTGATTGATAGAATAGTAAAATCATTGTGTATTTATTTTTTAATTGAAATAAAACAGAACTATCTTGAAATAAAATATTATCAAAATAAACTGCATGATATTACTGTTCTTAAAGAACAGAATCGAAAAGAAATAAAAGTTATTCGATATTTCCTACTGTCCTAATTTTCCAACGACAAACGGCACGTGCAAGCTCAACGCATGAAAGTTATATGTTGACGCTCATTCACCGGATGCACAAATACTCGTCGAGCACCACTTGGTAACGCGGGGAGCTAATAAAAGAAGTCGCGCTGTTCCATTATCAAAGCTTTCTAAGGGTTTGCAGCTAACTGCTTGTCTAGATGGGCGCGTGACCCCGCCAAGCCCTTCTTATTACACTCATATAAGCACAGATGATCAAAGATGAACAATCCACCTTCATGCATATAATATATAACAACAACTCGCATGCAAAATTATGTATTAGATCATTCTCTCCCTCATCTTTCCGATATTTGCAAAATGTAATTGTCAAAATGATTAAATAATTAATAATCAATTAAATTAAGACAATAACGTTCATTTTTTTATATGTGATGGTGTATGTGTATGATAAAGAATTACTATAATTTTAGAATCTCAAAAAAATTATTTAATTTTTAAATCACTTACTAAAAATAATAAGTATAATAATAATAATTAATTTAACAATGATTACTTAAATTTTTCTATCGTTTTGTAGTAATTGCAAATAATTTCTAATTAATATATATCTCACATAAAATTCACGTAAAATTAAAATTGTATATATTTGAAAATATTAATCTTACTTTTATTTAACACGAAAAAAATCAGCTAATAATCTTTTAATTAATTGCTCATTACTGTGTATGTGATGTATGTTTATCTCATATATAATTATTATATTTATTTAATCGTCCAGTTTGTTGTTAACTAAATTGACTTTAAGACTGCAAGGATTAACGATATATGTACTTGACAGTTTACTCGAGTATATCTAAAGAACTATATGGGGCATAGATCTGAAGTATGTACTCGGTAACGTAGAAGGCTAATAGAAGAAGTCACGCAGTGCTATTGTTAGTAGACAATGCTGCAGATGGTTAAAATGATTCTCATCTCCCTATGTTCGCTGCTCAATGCGAGTGCGCGAAGCCACTTAATGCGTTTTGTACGCGTTATATTTCAGTGTGAATTGCCATTTGATAGCAAATCAAAGTATTTTATCACAATAAAAATGTAGATTACATATATTATTTAATTAGGTACTCACCAAGCCTGATATCAGACAGTTTTCTATATTCATTATCAGTAAGATATAAAATTATATAAAATAACACGATTTATCGAAGTATTCTATAAAATGTGCGATAGTTTTTAGTAAAATCGTAAGATTCTAATTAATTTTATTTTTTAACTGCTTATATTTTCTTAGATAAACATAATTTTCTTAGCAGGAGCACTTTTAGAATATAAGCTCTATTTTAATGTTTACTATATTCTCATTAATTTTACATAAAAATACTTAGTTTCGTTACACATAATTTTATATAATAAACAAATTATTTTTATATCCAAATATACTGATAATGAAAAATTAGTCTGATTGCCAATTATATTGTACAATATATATATATATAAAACATTTTAAACAAATTTTACATATTGCCAAGCAACATACATAAAAACATGCAAAAAAAAGCATTATTAACAGTACCAAGATATTTTTAGTAGTTTTATATTCTACATACAATTGTAAAATTGATGATGTTACTTTGCATTTAAGAAAATTTCGTATTTAATATAATTTTGCATTTAATAAAATGTTACATTTATTTAATAAAATTTAATAAAATTATTTTTACATATATGTATACATTATATTATATACTAAAATATTTTTTTCAATATTTAATTAAAGTTTTTAACTTCTAATTTTTTTCATTTCTTTATAAAGAAAAAGATAATAAAAACGTTTTAATATTAATAGTAAATGCACATAATATGGCTTTTTTATTCTTGGTAATGTTAAAATTAAAACTATTTTGTGGGCTTACATTTAATAGATGTTTTCTCCATTTCCTCTCATATTGCAACACATATAGAAACAATTCTACAAGGAAGTTCTATCCTTAAATTCCCTCGCTGTGTGTTGTTGCCTGTAACAATGCAAATAACCAACACTTTTAATAAATATATTGATATATGTAAATATATTAATATATATTTATCTAAACTATAATTTACTTAGAAATTATTCTCCTGTTATTGTAATATATTCTTCTGTTGTGTCATGAAAAAACTTTGTCATACAACTTTGTGAACTGTACAGCTTTCAACCTGGAATAATTAATATTTGCATTTATTAGATAAGAGAATGTTATATTTATAACTAAAAAGTAATATAATAAATAATACAATAATATAACATAATCAAGAAAATTTTTTTAAGATAAGATCAAATATATAATTAACACATTTGTCGAAATACTGTGTACATTTTTAATCTTATTACAATTTATTTTATCATTCAATTTGTGACTTTAATTTCGTCGCAACAGATGCGATAACATCTTAAAGTTATCTGAATTCATATTTCGTTTATATTAATATAACACGAATTTCTTGTAAATAAAATGTATTGTTAAACAAACTATTGTCAAACCAAAGTTTTTTAGTCAAATTAATGCAAATTTTATGTCACACATTCAGATCATAAATTGTATTCATAAAATGCTCGTTTACGATGTTAGTTCAGTGAATCATAACTTCTAACATAACATCGTGTAATTAACATCGTACAAATGAATATATATAACTTACAATTATGTAAAATAACTCGTTGCTTAAGTATTTAACTGCGGCAAATGATAAATCCAAACAACACACGAAAATTGCGCGGGATACATATGGCTACTAAAAATGGCGACATCGAAACGTCATGATTACGTCATGGTACGTCATGATCACGTGACATTCAAAAAGTAGATATCGACAAGTTTCGCGCTTTTTTGAAACTTTATTTTTATGGTAGAAAGAGAGAGACAAAGAATATCAATGCAATATTACTTGAAATCCGCAGTCTTAGAGACAAAAAATGATCGATATAACATATTCTAGAGCTATGATATATACATACATTGACGAGGATTATGCTCCATCGCATATTTGATGCACCTTGACGAAAAAAACGAGGGGAAATATGTACGATGAGCCATCCCGGCACTGAGAGACACGGATCGTCGAAACAAATATCGTGATATTAACATATAACAATGATTTTACGCGATATTTATATCACTGTGGATAACTAATGCTTAATGAAAGCATATTCACAATACTTTATGGCGCACAGGATTTATTTTTATGTAATAAAAACACGAAAACTACGCAACGATTCGAAGGTGACTCCGTGTCTCGTCGCGTCGCAATCACAAATGATGAAGTGACGCGATTGGTTGGGTGACGTAGTTCAAGACGCGACGCCGCGAATTTCAAAAATCAAATATGGCGAATCAATAATTGTAATAAAATAATAAATACGCATTTAGTTATTATTTCTTTAGAAAAGAAGATGAAGAAAATAACAATACAATAATTATAAAAAATGCAACAAAAATAATATTTAAATTATTTGACAGGAGTAAAATTTGGCGTTTTTTTTAAATTAATTATTGAAATTATTGAATAAAATCAGAAATTACGAAAGAGCATAATAACTGTAAAATAATTAAAGCGAATTAAAATTATTGAAGCAGAGAAATATTAAATTCTATAAATATTGAATCTATGAATCTGTATCTATTAAATATACAATTTAAAAATTATTACAATATAACTTTCGTGAAAAACATTTCGAGGATGTAAAAAAAATAAAAATGTCATTATATATAAATATATATATATATATGTATATTTTTTTATAATATATAATATATGTATATATTTATTTATAATATTGCATATATAAAGTATTTTTAAACGTCATATATATTGAGATATGTAAAATATATACTTGTTTCAAAAAATGCAATTAGAATGAAACTTTATTGCTTATCTAAAATATATTGTTATTTTGAAAAATATCAACAAACGTGAATATTGTCGTCACTGAAATTTATCAGTCGTTTCGAGTGATACATTTCCATTCTTTTGAGCCATTGTACGTATATACAATAACGCAGTAAACATATGCGATTTGTGTATAACGATATTCAACTATGCTTTTTACATCAAAGACTGATAATCGAATAAGATGCATGACGTATAAATTAGCATTTCACGGGGTATTATACTAGAGTGCTAAACGAGATAAAACGATAAAAATTGATGGAATATTAAAAAAGATATTACTTCAAAATCTCAATTCATGTCAACACGTATTCATACGTATATTTATATACTTTTATACAATTTTTTTATAATTATACTTGCATATTTTAAGCTATAATATAATTATTGTATTAAAAGTATAGAAATATAGAAAATAATAAAATAGACTTAATATGTTACTAAAATTACTTTGCATAGTAAAGAATCACTCAAATTTTTTACAAGAGACCATAATTAATTTGAAATTTGTATATTTTATATTCAAAATCTTACCATGATTCATCTAATTACAATGAATCATAACTTTAATAACATCGCCTCCAGCTTTACTAGTCTCGAATGCTTGCTTGGTGTCCTCTATTTTATAATTGTGAGTGATCAATGGCATTACATTTACCTTGCCAGATGCGACAAGATTCAATGCGTCGTTATAGCTGCAAATGGAAAAAAATTACACATAAACGTTTTATTAAATATAATATTAAGCTAATTTGTCTGTATCTCTCTCTGAGGAGTAAATTGATTTTAAACTAAATTATGGTATACATTATAATTCTTAACTATTAATTTTTGAAACAGCTACATATTATAATAATTAATTTAATTATTTAAGATAATATTCTATCACTATTTAATTGGGTGCAGTTTCAAAATGTCATTATATTTAATTTATAATCCATTGTCATTAACTGATAGGAACTTACTCATTTACATATCGGAAGATACCCCTAATATCAACTTCCCTGACCAAAGCATTTATTAATGGAATTTGTACCTCTGGAGCACCCAATCCCACTATTGTCGCGATTCCACCAGATTTCGTTGCCTAATAATATAAAAATTATTTATGTTATATTTAAATATTTAAGTATATAATATATAAATATATTATAAAGAGATATATACGTTTCGAGACTTACAAGAATTGCTAAACGAATCGAAGCTTGGACACCAGAAGCGTCTATTGTTCTATCAGGTTCATCACCAAAGATTGCATGAATGTCAGCTACTACATCCTTTTCTGATTTATCCTTTTGCAACAGATATGTGTCGTCAGCGCCGAGTTTCTTCGCTATCTTCAGTCTACTTTCTACAATATCTATAAGTATAAATCACACCTATTTACATATCATTTACAATTTCTATAGACTTACATTTAGAATTCATCGAAAGAAAACTTGTGTTACTTATAGAATATATTGTGTTATCTACACAAAAGATGGAAATATATTAGAAACAAATTTTTTTTTAAAAGGTATTCTACGCTTTTGAATGTACAATTCAAATAGAAAAATAGCTACTACACGATATGCGACACATTGTACATGATCTCGACAATGCCTGTCCTTATTCCACAGATAGCATCGGTAGCGCTAAGTGCAACCTTGACGACTTATCTCACATCAATTGCATAATGTTCATATCTCAAATGCACAATATAGATTTTTTTTCTCTGTCACTTGATAATTATGCGTAACTTAATAAAGTATTTATTATCTATAAATAAATTACAATATACACACAAAATTTTATTATCATTACTAACATGATCACTATAGAACTTTGTTCAAGAAAAAAAAATGTGAAGGCACATATTTTTTCACATACATTTATATATTTGCCAATCTATTATTTCGCGCTTTTCTTAATGGTTTACGAGGATTATTTAAATCACAATAGTACATAACTTTTGTAATTAATTAAAAGATACAATAAAAAATTATCTACATTGAGCATTTCTTTCTTCTGTTTAAAATTTTATTTTTTAAACACATACCCGTTAGAACTATTTTATTTGCACCCATGGCTTTGGCGACCAACAATGTGACCAAGCCGATCGGACCAGCTCCCAGAATTAATACATTAGAACTGATACCGATTTCGGCACGTTTGCAAGTACGAACTCCCACTGCCAACGGCTCTAAAAGCGCTCCTTCCTCTAAACTCATGTGATCGGGCAATCTGTTACATAATTAATTTTTGTTAATTTACAAAATTTTTTATAAATTAAATTACATATAAAATATTAAAAAGTTATTTAAGAACTGCTTGCGTGTTTAGCATGTTATATGTTTTGCGTATTACTAGTTTTACATATAAATTTATGTTAACAAAATATATAATTAGCTCACTTGAAGCAAAAATCAGCCGCATGTTTGTAAAAACGTCTCAGGGTGCCATGCACAGGCGGAGTCGCGCAAAACACTACATCCTTGCACAGATTATAACGTCCCTCCTTGCAAAAGTTACACATTCTGCAGGGCACACCGGGTTCAATGGCAACGCGGTCACCAACCTGCACAAGAAATGAAAAATGTGTATAAGAGTATATTTTATACGAGAATAACATGAACATACACAAATTCTTCTAACAGTGTGGTTCAATCGAATTTAATAAAAACATATACATACCTTCAAATTTGTGACATTTTTCCCAAGTTTGGCAACAGTCCCAGAAGACTCATGACCGATGATCATGGGTTTCTTTACAATAAAATCACCAATCCTTCCATTAACAAGATAATGAACATCTGATCCACAAATTCCTACACATCCCATTTCCAAAAGCACCTCTGCAAAAAAATAATACGTTAATTCTATCTTGCCAATAATACATTTTTTATCTTATTATATTAGTCATATTCTTTAAGTTTTATTATACATATAATGTACGTAGAGATATTTCCTTTTTATTATTACTTTAAAATGTATCTAATTTAAATAAATTAATTAAAATAAATTTAAATATATATATGATTTCCCAATCTATTAAATGTATAAATAAATTAAAACTATAACAATCGCTTTTTCTATCAACTATCTAGTATTATGATATAATTAAATTTTATTCTAATTAGATGTTTTAGTTTCTTATTTTTCACATAATTTTATCTTCTATCTATCTAAAAATAAGTGTCTAAAAAGATAACATATCTTTTTAATTAATTAAGCTCCAAGTGTATACGTATAAAGATCCAATATTTAGTAGTAGAATTTAAGTAGAAATTAATTCTCTTAACTTGACATACAATGTGTACATATCTAGAACAGCGTCACATATTACTTTGATGAGCGTCATCGCACACTTAATGTTAATAGCACTTAATGTAAATTGATTCATACCAAGAAGTTATGCAACGCTGGAATTAAATGTTCTTTTTTCCTATATTAAACGAATAAAAATAGACTTTCACACGTGCGCAATTTTCTCTTAAAACAAATTTTTTTATATTGTTTGTGAAAATAATATAATTACATTGGTTGATTACATTTTTTAGCAATACATTTGTTTCATCAATGTAGTAATACATTAATATTTTCTTTGCAATATATTTATCTTATCATAATGTATTACAAAATATATTGATAGTAAATAGGAAAATAATGTTTCTCACCATTATCTCCTGGTTCTTCGATACTCGTGTTCTCCTAGAAGAAAAAAGATTAATCTTATTTAGATTTAATCAGAAATATGTTTATATAATGATAAAAAGATAACGAAAGATATAGTAAAGAGATATAGTAACAATTCTAATCTTCAAGAATTTGATTTAAGATTCTCTATAATCTTTTCTTTTTTGTTGAGGAAAAATTGTTATAATAGGAAAAATTGTTATAATAATTAAAAAAGAAAAATTATTATTTAATGTGAATGTTTAAATAATTTTAAAGTCCATTCATTATGTTAAATGCAATCAATTTACAAAATTACTGTAGTTTTTTTTACTTAAGAATCAACATGTAATCGCAACAATGATAATTTAAACATTAAAAATCCGAATAACATAATAAATCTCAATAAGTTATCAGTGGTCATTATCTAATATTCGTGTTATGAAAATATAAATAAACTTATCTGTAGCTTCTCTGTTTTTAACAAAAATAAGTAATTATCTATGATGGTGCATTATTTTTATCTTAAAAGATTCGTACATTTAAAATAATTTTTAATATTCAATTTTTCCCCAAAAAAAAACTTATTATTTTTTACGTATATATTAAATTATTCTGTATATATTAATATAAAAAATAGTTTAACATTTTACAATAGTTTGAGAACAATATTAACATAAACAAGATCGAACTAAAATTAATGTAGCTCCCTAGATCAAATAAATCAATTTTAATATCGATTAAAAAATTTATGACCTAATGGTTCAAAGAGCAAATATATAAAATCGATTATATATGAAATTTAATGTTGATTTTAACAGTACTTTGGTATTTATTATTATAATCTTTTGCTGATGCTGATATATAATCAAAACAAATGTTATTATTTTTTACTTAATATATGTCTTTTTAGCTATATTATTTCGGCATTTAAAAACAAATAAACATATATCCGAACATTCTAAGAAAAAACTCCTAAGAAAATATAAAAATATATATATAATATATAAGAATTCTGTTAATTTTAGATCGTGAATAAGCGCGAATAAATACTACAAAAATTGCAAATTTAATCAGATAATAATCAAATGGAAATCACATATCATGATCTTATAATATCTATTAATATTATATCTACATTATAAAAATTGTAATTATGTGTTGATTAATTATATGGAGTGGAAATAGAACTATCAATTTTTAAGCTATTGATAATATAATTTATTGATGACCTTTTGACGAGGCATTTTGCGCTAATTTTTATTTGGATATCAGTAGATCTAATAAAATAGTCAACAAAAAATTTGAAGCTTGAACAAAATTACAAGGATAATGTCAAGCATGAGCAGACGCAGTAGTGCAAGCTTATCATCTGCTTCTACAAGTACTAACCAGGCGTATATCATTGATGCCGTACAATATAGCACTGAGATTGTTCTTAGCCATGGTTTAAGAATTTAAAGAAAAAAAAAGAAATCACTGTAACGAGGTGCAACTTATCGTTGGGAAAGCTTCACGCTTCCAAATATTTTGATAAGCACAGAACGAATGGAACGAAGAGACTCAATGCTCAGGAGAGAACTCGCTGCTATATATACACGCGTCGCAGTTATACGTGTATAAGTCTTGCGCTATCACCATGACCTTATTATTGCCTATTAAGCTGTTTTCTTCACTTCTCCACTATCAACAACGTGCATCCTTTAGGTAGATGCGAATTTAACGAACTGTCCAATTTGTCCATATTTCGCAACTGCACCATTGGCGTCGTGGAGACACGTTATTTTGCCGGAACTAGTAAAATCGATCGGCGCACCGTATATTGCAATTTGGCCTTTCCATTCTGCTATCAATGAGCTCTATGTTCGCAGGGACGTGTGCTATGTTTGCAAAGTAAAGTGACATAATATAATACATATATCAAGAAATATAAAACACAATATATATACCATGAAATATAAAACACAAGCTATGAATTATATTTTCATATTCATATACTTGAGATTAAATTGTCACTTTTTGAAGTACAACAAATAATATTTGAAATTTCTTTTGTAATTTAGAATTTTTTTAATTTTATAAATATGTTTTCTATTAATTTTTTAATTACATTAATAATATATTTAGAAAGAATACATTATTTAAAATTATGCTCATTTATTCGACATTTTAAGAGAAGGCATTTCGTTAGATTTTGCTTGGAAATGAGTAAAAAAGAAATCGAAAAATATAATTAAACAAGTGCCTTATAAATGTCATACATGAGAGAAATATAATATAATATAATATAATGTAATGTGTTTGCTTAAATATGAGAATTTTGAGTCCAGGAATGATGAGATTTATTTTAACATATGAGAAATGTCTGGTTTTCTAAAATTTCTATGTGTAGCTTAGCAATATCTTAGCATATATTCAAAGACGTAAAAAGTCTCATTAAAATTCATATTAACAATATGTTCAAGGTAAAACTGTTCATTAATAATGTATAGATCTTATATACGTTCAATTTATGGATCGGATTTACACGCAGTATTGAATAGTAGACAAATCAAAATACCATTTTCTATTCGTTGTTTCGATAATACATATTCTGTAATTAAGTGCTAATCATATCATATAAATATTATTAAGTTGTGTACAATTAAATGAAAAACGGATTGGATATTCCTGAGAAAATTACTTTTCATACAGAATTATTTTCCTACAAGGTGAGAAATATTCGATATAATATAAATGCTTTTTTAAGTTTTTACAAATATACATCTTACTATCTCTTATCTTATCTGTATTCAAATTTTTTAAATTTGCGAAAAACAAGTATGACGTAAAATCATGTTTGTTATTATATAACTTATAATCACACCACATAGCACACACAAAAGATAACAGCAATGGGTATAAAAATGGAAACACATATGCAAAGAAATCATGATACTGAAGTTTGCATTATTGGAATGCAACGATTTTAATTTTTCAAAGAAACTTGTATAGTATAACAGACAAGATTTACTTGCATGATTAGTGTTAAGATCCGCAAAAACATAATGAAACAGATGACAATAATGTGTCACCCTTGGAATACCATGCAAGTAAATCTTGTCTATTATAGACTGCACAAGTTTTTTGAAAAATTTAAATTGTTGTATTCCAACGATGCAAACTTCAGTGTCATAAAAAATCATTTGTATTCGCGAATTTGTATTTGTATCAAATATTACCAAATATATTTTTAATTAGAATTACTTTTATATTATATCTATGATAAGCAACTTACACTGTATGACTAGTGCTTCACTCCAAACCCAAATTCCTGTTAATTCCTGTTTAATTGTATCTCTATTTTCCCTTCGTGTCCTTGTTACTGCACTCGCTTCTCCTTTAACGAGTAACCTCTTTGATTGGCTCTTCTTTCGCGATTAGCAAGCGCGGCTTTTACTCTCTTTTTTTATTACTTCTGGTGCAATTGTAGCAGCTGTTGATACACTCCGTATACTTTGTACATCATCATAATCATTAATATGTGCTATTTCGTCTTCTGCATTTGATGATAAGTCAAATAATGCATGTTCATTATTTACTTTACATTTATTTTCTGAATTATCTTGTTTTTGAGAATATATTGTTGTAGATATTTCCTCCAAACGTTCATTATTTTGTATCGCTTCTTTATTGTGTGTAAAAACAAATTCTTCTTTTTTAGGAATTTCAGATTCAAGCTGTAAATTATTTACTTGATCTTCTAAATTTTCAGCATTTTTAATGCAATCCTCGTACGTTTCTTCTTCAGTATCTTCTTCGTTGTCATCATCTGTTATGGTTAATTCTTTAAGAGATCTTTTTGCATTTGTTTCATTAAACCGCTAGCTTTAACTTCAGCATCTATACAATCCTCACGTCTGAAAGAAATCAAATTTCATTATTAAATTAATAAAATTTAATAGATGCAAAATAGCATAACTAAAGAATATATATAATTTTTGTGCTACTTACAATACATCTTGGAAAGTTGGGTACAGTTCACTCACATATCCAAAACGTCTTTTAAAAAAATCACGAATGCAATTTACATCTCTTTGAAAATATTCTTCTGCATTCTCATGTTCTGTAGAAACCATTTGTGGAAAATCAATAATAACTGGCTTGCCATCATTTTTAATCATTATGTTAAATTCATTAAAATCTCCATGTATAACACCATGATTTGCCAGTCTAACAATTAAATCCATGAGTTCATCATACAATGTTTCCACATTGTTTACTTCATGTACGTTACATCTGTAAACAAGACATATTGTAAGCAGTATAAAACTATATAATATGCAGGGAATATTATTGACAAACATACAGAGGTCCACCTTCAACCAGCTCCATTATAACACAATGCCTGTTAAAATCAATTGGCTTTGGCACAGGAAAACCTCTATCCAAGAGTACTTTCATATAGGCAAATTCTCTAGTTGCTGAAAGTCTTGATAGATATAACCAAGATGCGGATTGCCTGTGCTGATGATAGTCTCTCTTTCCCTTAATATTTCGGAAGCACGTTCTACCTAATCTATGTAATTTTAAACAAAGAGAAGTCCCCTCATCATTGGCAACGATATAGATATTAGATTCCTTGCCAACACCAATCTGATTACCAAAAGAAGAAATTGTTCCTCTTTGTGTTAAGACTTTCAAAGCCAAGTAATCATAACCAGCATTTGTCAAGCGAAAACCATCATCTAAAAATTCATTAAAATTTATTTTATTAAACATGTTTTAAATGCATTTTAATCAAATTTATAGTCACATGCAACCAGTTTTCAATTATCTTACATCGTATTCCTCGTTCGTAGCTGAGCAACTTGTGCTTGCATAACTCACTCAACAGTTTCTGAACACCACCGTAACGCAGATTCGCTATTTTCGCAGCAAGTAATCCAGGTACGAGTTCGTGATTCTTCGAGCATATTTCAATCTAAAAATGATTGGATATTTAGTTTAGATTTAATGTTCATATTCTGATTGTAAATGGAATATACTCAATCAATGACTGAAAAAAAATGAAAAGTTAAGATCATTGTGCAATGAAAAATGTACTAAATTTTATTAATAAAAAAGTAATTTTGCATATTCTTCAAAAAAAAGTAACACAAAAATAGATTTGTTAAACAGTTGTAATATTTTATAAAAAGAAAATACAAGTTCAAAAATCCTATTATAGGTTAAGAAATACATACCGCTGTTAAAACACGAAAATCTTCTGATGTCAAATATCGCAACAATTAACATCCAATTTTCCCATGTTTTGCTGCTAAAGAAATTACAAAGAAACTATAAATTTAAGCTTTTTACGATATTTTTCTCTTGCAATTAGATTCTTGTGCACGCTACCTACTACTTCAGCTACTATTTACAGAGAATTGATGTCGAAAATCATAAAGTCCTATTCCCAACAATTTACACGATATACATGACAGAACAATCGACCAATCGCGTGCATGGACGTTCACAGTAAGGCCGGCGTCCCATGAAGCGGATTACGCGGAAGCGATGTCATATCATGGTTTAAATGGTTTATGACTATTTATGTTCAAGATTTTTTTTTTTCAACATTGCAAATATATCGATTTCATTTTATCACAAACAGAGTATAATATATGTTAAATTGTCTTATAATTATATTAGAGTTTATTTAAATTTCGATAAAGGCAAATTAGAAACAGAAACTCGCGGAAAGAGATGTGCAAATAAGTTTCTGACATCGCGATATATTAATCATTAATTTAGCGAAGATGCATTACGCACACACACATACACACACACACACACACACAATATATTATATATATATAACAGATGATGTATTATTATTATATATATTAAATTCATTAAAATCAGAAGAAATGAAATCTTTGTCGCTGCACGTGAGGCTATATATATATATAAGAGCAAAACACTATACGTTAAAGTATTCTAACAGATGCGATGTATTAATCATATATATGTTAAATTCATTAAAATCAGAAGAAATAAAATATATAGCAATAGAGAATCGTCATACATAATTAAAGTTAAAATAGAACACAGGATGTCTCTTTGTCACGGCACGTGAGGCTATATATATAAGAGCAAAACACTATATACGTTAAAGTATTCTAACAGATGCGATGTATTAATCATTATATATGTTAAATTCATTAAAACGGCAGAAATGAAATATAGCAATAGAGGATTGTCATACATAATTAAAGTTAAAATAGAACACGGGATGTCTCTTTGTCACTGCACGTAAGGCTATATATATATAAGAGCAAAACACTATACGTTAAGTATTCTAACAGATGCGATGTATTAATCATTATATATATAATGATTAATACATCGCATCTGTTAGAATACTTTAACGTATATAGTGTTTTGCTCTTATATATATAGCTCACGTGCAGTGACAAAGAGACATCCTGTGTTCTATTTTAACTTTAATTATGTATGACGATTCTCTATTGCTATATATTTATTTCTTCTGATTTTAATGAATTAACATATATATGTTAAATTCATTAAAATCAGAAGAATAAATATAGCAATAAAGGATCGTCATACATAAAGTTAAAATAGAACACGGATGTCTCTTTGTCACTGCACGTAAGGCTATATATATAAGAGCAAAACACTATACGTTAAAGTGTTATATCTAACTATACAAATGATGTATAATCATTATATATGTTAAATTCATTAAAATCAGAAAAAATGAAATATAGCAATAGAATCGCGTCATACATAAAGTTAAAATATAACACGGGATGTCTCTTTGTCGCTGCACATGAGGCTATATATAAGAGCAAAATATAAGAGTAAAATTGCATTTTGCATGCTTCAATGCGTTTATTGTTATCGCACAACATTATATTGCTTAATTTATAATTAAAGTCATGATGTAATTACATTTTATTACATCATGATTAAAGTAAAAACAAATATATTCTAGGTTTGTTCTTTATTGTTGCACTAGTGAACTAATGCAAATTGGTGCAGTAAATAAAGGCTCTTGCACAATGCCAGGAAACAGGCAATAGAATAAGAATAGAAAATATCAACCAATCGAAAAAGAAGATAGATATTAGATATTATTCTCTGCTTCTATTGGTGGATATTTTCTATTTTTTTGATAGTCGATAAAGATTCGTTATTTTAGTTCGCGAAATGGACGTGTGCATAGATGGAGCGGTGTTCATACTACATTTGTATACGCTTAGTTTTTGTCAAAATAACATTCAGCTTCTTTCTAAATCTAATACTTGTGATCACGCCATCACGAACTTATATTCGGAAAGCGCGAACCGGTGCATCAAATCGCGGACTGTATATATGTATATACATGCATGCGTGTGTTCTTGCACGTAAAAAAACCGAGTGTTCGCTGAAAAATTATGGGAAAACGCATTAACACAAGGACGGAGCATCGATAAATCAGCTGTTCCGGAGAATGGGTGGTATCGGCGCGTCTAGGATCATCACACACACCTAAGCATTCATCGTCTACCACAGGTGTATATATATATATATGTATATGCAATTGTGTTCGTTATTAAAAAAGAAAACGTCGAAAGCTCGACGTTTCGCGCGTCCAGGCGGCAAAACGAAATTAACAGGAGGCTACGCGACAGCTTCCTTGCGATCTCGAGGTCGCACGCGACATTTACGAGACCTTAGTTTACGGTCCGTTAGGCTGCCACATATATCTCGCTCCTCTCACAACAATCTACAAATCATGTTGCGATCGTGTATCACGAGGAACGAAGCGCGGCGATATTGATAAGGTTACACAAGCGAGAGTGCCGCCGTTGATAGCGGGTGGAACACCTGTAGTCAAATCTGTCAAATTTCACGGAGATATTCGCGGGAATACGATCTCCTCGATCTCGGTAATATTTTAGTTATAATATTTCGATTTGACAACCGATATCTTAAGTCATAATTCGCAATAAATCGAATGAGTCATGCTTCAGTTATCAATTCACTTATTATCTCTGTGGAATTCTGAGTCATCATTTCACTATGTCATCACTTCTAATTCTCTAACGAGTTTTTCCTAATTAGCAGCACAATTTAGTCAACCGTGACGTGTAGCAATGCTACGTTAAAGTTGTGTATGTTGTGTGTGTGTATACATATATGTAACATATATTTATATATAGACTGTGTACTGTGTATGTATACCTAATACATTTAGTTCTATAACTGAAGGCCAAATTAATCTTTGCTATTCAAAAATAGTTGCTCTCATCATTCACTAAGCACAAGTATATTATAATTTAGGTTAAATTGCTTGTTCAAATCAATTAATCATAAAATTATAAAAAATATAATCTCTGAAATCTCTTGTATGTCTCTTATCAATAAAATTAACACATTTGTACTTTTAATTGCTTAGATTAAGTATAATTTAAATTTATATATTAGATTTTTAGAATTAAAATTATTTAGTAAATGTATATTATAATTTGCAGGAATAATGTTGAACAGTACAACAAAACATATTTTACATTGCTGTCTGTTGCTCACAGTCATACTGATATTTGAATTTGTGTCTGGTGGACTTCGATGGGATACAGAGCAAAAGGAAGAAATTGATCCATGGACACGATACGGCATTATTGGAGCAATCACTTTGTACCTGTTGCGTACAGTAACGTTTCTTTCCTTGCCTCAAGTTTTATTCAACTTTATAGGATTAACAATATACAATGCATTCCCTGATAAAGTAATCTTGAAAGGCTCACCTCTGCTGGCACCATTTGTTTGTATAAGAATAGTGACTCGTGGGGATTACCCACAATTAGTGAAAACAAATGTAAAAAGAAACTTAGATAAATGTACAGAAGCTGGTCTTGAGAATTTCCAAATAGAGGTAGTGAGTGATAAACCAGTAGGTTTAACACCGCATCGCAGAGTACGAGAAGTTGTTGTCCCTCAAAATTATCGCACAAGTAGTGGTGCCTTGTTCAAGGCTCGTGCTTTACAATACTGCCTTGAGAGCTCGGTAAACGAATTAGCTGATCACGACTGGATTGTTCATCTTGATGAAGAAACTTTGATGACTGAGAATTCTGTTCGGGGCATATTGAACTTTATATTGGATGGTAAACATCAGTTTGGCCAAGGATTAATCACATATGCTAATGAAGATGTTGTTAACTGGATTACCACATTAGCTGATAGCTTCAGAGTAGCGGATGATATGGGAAAGCTAAGATTCCAGTTCACCATGTTCCACAAACCATTTTTAGTATGAAAGGGTCCTATGTTGTCACACAGGTAATTTTTAATCAGATTTTAATCTAATCTATCTATCTAAATTTATCTTCTAATTTATGAATCTTATTACAGAAAAGTTTAAATTTATTATAAAATATATTTTACTCTGTATATATATTGTATTTTTATATATGGGTCAATGTTATTTTATACGGATGTATTTATTATTTTATTATTTTTATACATATTAAGATGTTTACGAAATATTACAGATGGGAGCAGAAAAGCAAGTTTCGTTTAATAATGGATTAGATGGCTCCGTCGCCGAGGATTGTTTCTTTGCGATGAAAGCATTTTCCCAGGGATATACGTTTAACTTTGTAGAAGGCGAAATGTGGGAGAAATCGCCATTCACTCTATGGGATTTTGTACAGCAAAGAAAAAGATGGCTGCAAGGTATATTACTTGTTGTGCATTCCAAAGCAATTCCATTAAGAAAAAAATTATTGCTGGGTATTTCGTGTTATTCATGGGTGACGATGCCTCTTTCCACTTCTAATATCGTCTTAGCCGGATTATGTCCGATTAACTGTCCACCATTGATCGATTTTCTATGCGCGTTTATCGGGGCGGTAAATATTTACATGTATGTTTTCGGAGTAGTGAAGTCATTTTCTCTGTATCGTTTTGGTGTGGCTCGATTTATGCTTTGTATATGCGGTGCATTGTCCACCATTCCGTTCAATATAATTATTGAGAACGTTGCTGTCATATGGGGTTTATTCGGTAAGAAACACAAGTTTTATGTCGTTAACAAAGAATATAGGCCACCAGTGACTGTATGATGTGTCATCAGTTTAGAGCTCTTATCTAACTGGTGCATACTTTGCAGCAGTATAAAGTTTCCATTGTGCATGCGCATAATTAATTAGTACCTGTAAATTTACATAAGAAATTCATTGCTGTCATAAATAAAATATTTATAATTAGTATTACATAGAAATTATAAAATTCCTAAGATAAAGTCGTAAATTTTATGGAAAGTAAAAGGTATATAAAATAATGCGCAGTAATAGGTATGGGTGCAGTATTAAAACATATTCTATGCTGATGTTAGAGTATTTTGGCAAATTTCTATTACTTATTTCACTTATCAAAAATATATTTATGCCAATATCTTGTTCTCATAGTACAAGTCATACATGTCATGTGTACTTTGATCTCATTTGTAGATGTGCTTAGCATTCATTAAGTTATATATTATTTTATAAGTTCCTTTTCTCACACTTAATTTTTCACATATCTTTATATATTTTAATGCAATTTTTAATGTCACTAGTTCTTATTGTGTTCAGAAATATCTTATTTTTGCCATATCCCAGTATTTTTTTCTTTTTTTTTTTCTTAATATTACTTTACATGAAGTGTTGTGCATATTGATAACAATTTCATATTGATAATTTCTGAAGTATTTAGATTATTTTATTTAATAGCAATTAGTCATATATATCATTATAATTCGGGAAACTGTGATAAATTAAATTTTGTTTTCACCTATAACTTTTTGATATTGCAGAAAAACGTATAAAATTTTATTAAATGTGTTCAAACACAAATTTTTAAGAAAATTATGTAATATGAATCACAAAATTTTTCCTGATATCGAGATATATAATGATTTTATAACATGTTTCCACAATTTTATACATTTTATAAATATTAATTTAATTAATGACAAAAATATAATATTCGTGTACTAATTATATTGGGATTTATAATTCCAATATAATCAATATGTGTATGGATGCAGTACATAAGATTATCTTAATTGTGAATAAAGAAGAGAACATTTCTAAAAAGATATAAAAATATATTATATTTTTCTCTTTTTTTCTGATAAAATTAAAATTTAAATATTATATATCTTAAAATAAATTTAATTAGTATTTTAAATATTATAACATATATATATGAAAAAATTATGATTATATGTTATATGTATATGCAAAAAATTACAACAATTAGAAAAGAATAGAATTTATTATACAATGCATTATATATATATGTATGTATGTGTATATGTATATATATATATATATATATATATATATATATATATATATATTTGTTAAATTATACTTATAACAAAAAATATTCACGAAAAGATATGTTTAAATGATTATTTTGTCATAATTATATATTTCTACGAAATAACTATTAATATTTTTTAATGTTTTAACATTTACATATTAATATTTATAATAATATGTTTCAGTAAATTTTGAAACTCTATTTGACTTAATAATCAAATTAGTGCTTTCCACACATACATATAATACACAAAATATTGTATTTTATAATCTAAACTATATAACATTTTTAATTTGAAAATTTCGTCTTTTATGATTTATAACAAATGATATGTGAAAATATATGGGCTTAGAAATAACAAAGCAATATGTTTAGCAAGACTTATTATATCTAGTCAAGAAGATATAAAGAATATTGAAAAGCACAAAAATGTCCATCAATATGCATATATAAATAAATAATACAAACTTACTAACACATTGTGTTAATGCAATATGGAATAAATTATTCCAATATATTTTGTTTGATAAAAAATTTAATAATTACAATTTTTAAGAAATTTCTGGAAATGTTTAAATTTTTAATAATTTAATTTTATTAAAATTTTTCAGCATTAACACAATAGTATAATAATAATAATATTATAGACGCACATTACATGTTAATTTCATATTTTTTACAATATACATTTTTCATATAATTATATTTTGCTATAATTATAAATTATTATATGTAATTGCTACAATCATTTTATAGTGATTGTAGCAATGCTAATATAAATCGAACAGATTATAAATGCAAATGTGTAATTTATACTATTTTGATAGAGACAAATTTAAAGAAATTACTAAAATTTTTTTTAGTTTAAATTTATTTTTAAAATTAATTTTTTTATATTTTAAAGAGCTCATGATATAGATGAACATAAAAAGAATTTATAATAAAGCAAAAATTTATCTTTGAATCAAGCTAAACACGTTTTATTTGTCTATTTATCATATGTATATAGGGATTACATAACTTTGGTAATTTCTGAATTATACTTTTGATTAAATGTAGATCAAATTGAATGAAATAGTTTTTCTTTTGTATTAACAAGAAGGATAACTTTTATTTGTGTTAAGATATATAATTATTTTTATTTAACTTTTTTAAGTATTATATGTAGTTTTATATAGTCATCAATTTGAATGTTTTATTTGGAATAATTGTATTTTTATTATTTGTCTCACACACACACAACATACATTACATACATGCATACAATTAATTTTGTATTTTATCTTTAAATCAGTGATTAAACACATGCGTATTATATTATATAAAATTTCTTATATCGCACAATATACTAGGCGAAGAAATTTATAGTGTTAATCAGATTAGGTAACTATTGTAAGATTTTGAACTGTTATGACAATTGCAATTATTGCATTGAATTTAGAACAAACATTAAAAACTTTGAATTATATATATTAAGAAAAATAAAAAAATTGAAAGTAGATGATTACTTTCTAATAAATGTCTGTATTTTTTATTCTCTTTTAGTCTAGATTATAAGATAATTTTCATTGTTCTTTTTAATTTAACATTTTTTTCTGATTAATGCAAAATGCTTCCAAAAAATTGTATACAAATGTAAGTTCAAAATTTTATAATTTTAATAGATTCTCACTGAGAATTTATTTATATCTGTTTATTCTTTGAATTATTATATTATCATATGAAGATATATTAAAAATATAATTAAATTTTAATGATAGGTATGTGCTCTTAATTACTTTGTTTATTTGTAAGTTTGAAGTATGACTGTACAATTTCACAAATTAAATAACAAGATTCTTCTATTATATGTTATCTATTTCGAGTTTTAATGACTTTATAATGATAATATTGTTATCATATCACGTGATAACGTTGTTATTTAGAAATAAAATAGACATATAGACGACTTAGAGTAAGGAAAGCTTGCCTATATAATTTGCAAAATTATAATTATTTCAGACTCACAAACATTTTCAATTATATATGATTTAACTATATTATTAGTATATTAAATATAAAAAATATTGTAAGCAAATTATATGATATAGGATTCAAGGTAAGTTTCAGTCATTTAAATAATAATTAATTTTTCCAAATTGACAAAATGACTCCGACATCTAAATCTATGTTAAACTGTCTAGAATTACGCAAATATGTCTTTTAATTATCGATAAAACTAATATTATATACATAATTAAGTAAATCCATGATGTCACAAAATATGTCGTGTTTTTTTTCATATTTTTTAATTATTTTTTGGAGAACCATTGTATTGATTAATTAAATTTTGCGCTTTGACCAATCGGAGAGCGAGGCTTTCCTGATTGGTCAATCGCGCGCTTCACTCTAAGCGATATATTTCCGAACACAATCTAGGGCTGTTGCCTGCCCTCTAGTGTACTTTCTCATTTCTCATCGTTCACGACCAACGTTCGCGCGCTCTTTATCGCCGGTCCGCCAAAAGTACAAGCGTAAGTATTAATTAATGGCTTTACATCTTTAATTATCATACAAATCCGATCGCGTTGCATGTATCAATATCGTGATCGCGATAATACGCGCCAGATTAATCTCATCAACCGCAAATCTCGCTCAATATTCGTCCTTCCAAACCGCGCGACATTAGCTCCAATTCGAGCCGCCAAAAGTTGGAGAAAATTACGATCACGAGTATTAATTAACGTCTTCACATTATTAATTATCGTATAAAATTCAATCGCGTCGCATGTACATCTGTGATCTGACAACGTAATCACGATCGCAAGCACGAAATTCATCATCTTGTCGATTGTGAATCTCGGATGTTTCCCTCCAAAAACTCGAACCGCCAAAAGTTTATTATTATGCGCGTGCAAGTTTACAAGGACGGGTCGCGAGAATTACCAGATGCTTTCAGCGCGAAAATTTCCGGAGTTTTTCGACGTTCTCGATCGTATTCTAATGCGTTTCCGGTCGTACTTTCTCATCATCGTGTCGAAGTATCGTTACGCGACGAATTAGGTTCGTAATTTTTATATAAATCGTAGGTTGATTATGACAGCGGTTCTCATATTGCCAATGGTATTTCAATATTATCGTACACATTACTCATCTTTAATTATAATCCGGACGTGTCGCCGCGCATTGCGAACAAAAAAAGTAACGCAATTATAAATGTGTTAAATAGTTTTAGAATAATTAATTTTTTCTATGTTACAGATCAAAAAACGTAATAATACGTAGCAATAAAAGGACTCATGCAAAAGTTTGAAAGCCGCAAAAGAAATGATATCCGAATGCTTTAGGTATTTATTATTATTAATTACATTAAATAAAAATTTATTAATAAATGTAGATATTATAAATATATATCGTATAATAAAATTAAATATATATATATATATATATTTGTTTGTGTTTATTATTGCATACTTATCGAGTAAAAAATTCAATGCATATATATAATAATTATTTTTTTACATGTCAATTATTTTATGCACTCTTACAATATTAATTTAATTTTTATTTTACAGATTAATTTTGCTGAAGACAACAATTCTGTATAAGGATGAGGTCTAAGAGAGACATAAAGCATAGATGGAATAATTTTTGGGTATTTATTATTCGTTTATTATTTAAATTAAATCAAAATGTATAAAATTTAATTGTTATTTTACTACATTTTTTTAATTGTTAACTTATTTAATTATTATAATTATATGCACCAAATATAAAATAATTGAAAATATACAATCATTAAAATTTTGATTTCAATAAATAATAATTTTTTACTTTTAACTATTTTAGGCAATCTTACAATGTAAATTTAATTTCTATCTTACAGATCTTTGTTGAAGATATTGACAATCTTAGAGGAGGAGAAAATCTTGGGAAAGGCATAGAACGTAGATGAAGCTGTTTTAAGGTATTTATTTGTCTATTATTAAATTAAATAAAAAATCATAAAATAAATAAATTATTATTAATATCCTTATTGTACACATCAAATATAAAATTCAATGCATGTAATAATTATGCATTGAATTCAATGAATAATTTTTACTCATTAATCGTTTTAGATACTGCTATAATTTGAGGATTTATATAATTTCTATTTTACAGATAATTTGAATACAGAGGACATTGACAACCTGAGAGGAGGAGGAGGCCTGGGAGAGGCATTGGGCACTGATGGAGCAATCCTAAGGTGAGGTTTTATTATTTGTCTATTAATTGTATTAAATTAAAATTCATAAAATGTTTTAATTATTCTTCTGCTAAATATTGTACGCGCGTAAAAAAAATAATATTCCATGTACAGACACACAATAATAATTTACTGAAATATTAATTACTGGATGGTGGTGTTGCTATAATTTGAATTTTATTTTTATTTTACAGATCAGCGTGGCTTCGTAATTCCACTGTTACGCACCGACCGATAAGTAATAAATTATTTTATTACGAGGTAACGGTGTAAAGATTAGATTGTAGATGTAGATCTAGATTGTAGATTGTAGATTGGTAGATAGTTCCGTTACCTCAAAATGAATGGATTATAAATAAATAGATATAGATTAAGAATATTTCCGGAATAATTAAAGGAAATACGGAAAACATTTTATAATTCATATACGTAGTATATTTAATCTAATTTATTTTACAAAGCGTACAATAATTAATGATTATGATAACTGTGTGTGATTATAAATTTTTGTATAATTGATATTATATAATTATAATTACATAATTATACTTATTGTTATAATCGATATTATATTACTGTTTTGTAATCCATTCATTTATGTTGATACATATAGTTTATGTTGATTACATATTAGTTAAAACAAAATTGTGTAAAATAATGTGAGATCTAAAAAATATTTTGCGGGTATTTTATCGCGATTATAAGAATAAATTAAAATAATAGTAATTAAAATTTTGCGACGATAATAATTTACGACAATATTTTACAACTTTTAATACAAATTCTAGTATGCATTAGTTTATTTAATTTTTCCTTAATTTGAAATTGATCGGTTACACTGATTTATTATTGAATTCTCGTGATAATTGACGCGTAATAAAAATATTAAAATAATTTTAATACGAAAATAATGATTTTATTTAGAAATATAGTTATAAAAATTATCGCTTGTTTTATTGTTAGTGCGGAAATGTCGTTCAAAGTATCGTGCGTTCAGTGCGGGATTTTTGCGGAAAGTATCGCGTATTTAATACGGGAGTGTCGTCCAAAGTATCGCGCGTTTAGTGCGGGAGTTTCGTTTGAAGTATCGCGCGTTTAGTGCGGGAGTGCCTTTCAAAAATATTCCGCGCATATTTCGGAAATTGACGGACTGTAAACAATGAACGAATTCTGATCAACTCGACCTGAGAGGAGGAGCTGGCCTATATAGGAGGCATCGGGCGCCAGCGGAGCAACTTTGGGGTGAGTATTGTAATTTGTAATATTGCATATAATACTTGTTATAAATTGGATATATGTTACGTTATTCTATTTCTATATTTGAATGATTTAAACATAAAGAGAATTAGAGATAAATACTTTTAATAAGTCTTACAAAAGTTTATTATATATAATCTTTACCAAATTTATAAAGTTTAGAAAAGAAATAAATTAATAAATTAAAATTAAGATAATAAATTAAAACTTATAAAGTTACTCAATTATAATCTACTGATAATTGTACGCATATTAATATAAAATTTAATAGGCACACTAATAATTTTTTTAAATATTAATTATGCAAAGCGTTGCTATAATTTTGATTTTATTTGTATGTTACAGGTCAACGTAGCTTCGATGCAGTGATAACTCCGCTGTTGTGCATCGGTCGGTGAGTGATTATATAATCATTATTTTATTCGGAGGTAACGGTAGAGAGTAGATTGTATACACTGAAAAAAATTTGTTAATTTGACTAAACCTTTCAACTAAATATTATTTTGTTAAATCTATAAGAATACTTAAATATAACATTAAATTTAACAAAACGTATATATTTGACTTAAATACTAATATATATTGATTTAACAAAATAGTAATTTAGTTGAAAGGTTTACTAAATTTACAAATTTTTTTTCAGTGTAGATGTAGATGGTAAATATAGATCTAGATCATAGATTGTAGTTAGTTCACGTTACCTCAAAATTGTAGGTGTATAGATGTAGATCGTAGATTGTAGTTAGTTCTTATTGTTATCTCAAAATGATTATTAAATTAAAAATATGCACATATATCACAGAAAGAATAGATGTATAGAACAGATGAGATTATAAGATATAAAACAGAATATAGAACTGAAATGGAAACATTTTACATTTTTACTAATACACATTCACTTTAAAAATCTGCAACTGGGCGATTTTATATACATATATATTTCTATAATTTTTTCATTTTATAATGATTATCTTTAAAAAAGAAAGAAATAAAGTTTTTATATATATAAAATTATTTATTAAAACATTTCCTAAAGAGATAAAATTGACTTTAATAAGAACGTGTATTTTGAAACCCGCTCTTTCATTTTTTAATTAAAGTTTCAGTCATTTAAAGCGATAATTAATTTTTCTAAATGTTAGGATCTATAATGTATATACGAATTAATCATTATGTTATAGATATTGATACATATCCTATGTATTCTTATTGATATAAGATTATAAGAATAAGTGCATATATATATATATATGCCTATTTAAATTTTGATTCAAATTATACATATTTTTTGCGCGCATCGATTTTGTAAGATTTGATTGACCAAGGAAAATGAAATTTTTTTTAAACTTGCTACTCTACTATAAATTCTATGTCTATGGTCATACTTGAAAGTAGACAGGCAGGTGGCGCTAAAGTTAACCTCCTATTTTTCTTGAGCAATTTTTACGTGTTTGTAAGGTTATTTTATGTTTTTTTCTCAACGAAATATTACACATATGTACTAGAGTGAACTATTAATAACTAAATTTATTAATCATTGAAATGACATCAAAAGTGTGTAAGAAGGATGTTCTGCAAGCTGTTATTCTTGCGGATGATTTTACGACAAGTTTATCACCATCGCAAAATATATTCCCGAGCATTCTGATACCGGTGATAAACGTACCGCTTTTCGATTATATGATCGAAACATTGATCAAGTCTAGAATACAAGAAGTATTCCTTTACTGTAGCAGTCATGTCGATCTGCTTAAGAAATACGTGAAAGAAATGGATTACAAAGGAACTACAATCTCTTTAATCATTTCCGATGGCTGTAGCTCCCTTGGAGATGCTTTGCGAGATATTGATACAAAGGGCTGGATCAGAGGATACTTTATACTGATTCGAGGAAATACATTTGTTAATACAGATCTTAAAACCCTGCTCAATGCACATTGTTTGAAAGTCGAGAAAGATAAAGGAGCAGCCATGACCATGGTATTAAGAAATTTTGGTTCAACGAAGGATTCTTACATGAATGAGGAAACCTCTTTGGTTGTATCAGATAAAAGCAGCAACAAAATACTGTATTATACAAAACTGAAGAACAAGGAAAAGAAAATAAAGCTGGAATTAAACTGGTTCCTTGATCATAACGAAATAGAGCTCAACACATGCTACTTGGATACTCATATTTATTTATGTTCACCGTCTGTCTTGCCACTGTTTGCTGACAATTTTGACTTTCAGGTAATTAAATTAAATTATTTTGTTGTATAAAATATCAAATTTTGCATTATTTTTAATTGTGATAAGTAATAACTATATATATATATATATATATATATATATATATATATATATATATAGTAGTAGTAGTAGTAGTCATAAGTATTTATATAATAGCAAATACTATATAAATATATTTTTATATAATAGCAAATATTATATAAATATATTTATATAATAGCAAATATATATAATAGCAAATAAAGTAGTAAATATATTAAAATATTTTTTTAGACTATGGATGATTTTATTCGAGGGGTATTGATGAATGAAGAGATATTAGACTCGAGAATTTATTGGCAGCAGTTAGATGTCGAGGATTATGCCTTGCCAATTACATCATGGAAGGCTTACCATATGCTTACTCAAGATGTTTTACATAGGCATACTTTCCCTTTGGTGGCAGATGCTTTTTCTTCATTGAAGAATTTTATATGCATGCCGCAGAGCACATATAAACACGAAACTGCTCTTGCTAAGGGTTGCATTTTGGAAAAAGACTGTATTCTTGGATTTAATAGTACGTTAGGAAATAATACTAAAGTTACAAGATCTGTAATTGCAGATCATTGTATTATAGGTAGTAATGTTAATATACGTAATTCGTATATCTTTTCGAACATTAGAATCAAGGATAATTGTACTATTGTGAACAGTATCTTGTTTCCAAATTGCATTATCAGGTACGCTAGTCAAATAGATGGATGTATATTATGTCCTGGAATTGATGTTGCTGCTCATAGTCAATACATCGATATCGTTGTCGAGTCTCTATCATCCGGCGTGTCTAAGACTAAAATGTCAGAACTTGGTGTTAACGATGAATTTTTGTATTTTAAAAACAACAAAATAGCTGATTGTGATGGCTGCTCCACAGAATCCTCTAGCAGCGAAGAGGATTCCGAGCGTGATTCTCCGATTCCAGACGACACGAATATGTTCTTGTCTGAAGTTATCGATAGTTTATTACGTGGTTATCAGGATAAGCTTAAATGCGAAAATTTAATTCTAGAAATAAATTCTTCGAGATATGCGTATAACGTCACCATCCGCGAAGTGACGTACAACGTCATTAAAGCGATTCTCAGTCTGCCTTTACATTATCTTTCTGAAACAAAAACTCCCGTCAATAGTCAGAACTATCAAAAGAATCTGAAAGCTATTATAACTTATTTCAATTCCATTATTTTGAATTATGTTAAAAATGAAGACGCGCAAGATGATTGTTTGCGCGCTATAGAAGATATTGCTAGTACGACCGACGAGTTGCTCCCGTATACGCAACACCTGTTGCATCAGTTTTACGATCGTGATATACTGTCGGAAGAGAAAATTTTAGAGTGGTACGAATCCACTAGCGAGGACGCGGATGTGCTTCACAGCAAAGTGAGAAATTCCGTCCAGCCATTCATCAAATGGTTACGAGAGGCGGAGGAAGATTCTACTGAAAGCGATAATGATTAAAGATACTCTATTTAGAAAGATCGCCTATATAATTTATAAAATAAAACGGCTGTATAATGGTAAGAAAAACTGTATATATAGTGCACATAATATATGAACGCATTGTACAAAAATTGTAATAGGGGGATTATTTGTCAACTTCTCTTTGTTTTTTTTTATATCAACTTTTTTTGTGTTTTATAATACTTGATTTTTGAGCAACGGTAAATCACACACCAAATCGGTAATTTACGTTAAGTATATCATTCTGTATGTATGCATGCATGCATGCGTATATGCGTACGTATATCAGCATAATGATAAAGCCCGCATATCTCGCGCATGTTTAATCTTGACCTTCTGAACTCATTTCCTAAGGCGAAGTTATTATTCTATAGGTACTTCCATCTCCGCCAAATTATGCCACGAGAAATGATGATGATCCGGAAATTTGATTGCGTCTACCCAGTGCCGCAAACGTGCTCCTTTGCTACCGCAACCCAACATGAGGCCACCTGGAAATTATGCAGACACGTGTCACATATATATAGGCACTTTATTAAACGCGTAAATCAGAATTTAATTTCATTACTTATTCATACATACATACATATATATATATATTTATTTATTTATCGTATTATTAAATAAATATATATTGAATTCTAATGGAGAATATATATATATATATATATATATATATATATATATATATATATATAGTTAATAATACTGAATTGATTATATTAATCCAGATATTTACTATATATATTCTTTATTAGAATTCAATGATATGTATTTAATAATATGATGAATATATAATATATAGATATAGTAATTAAATTCTGATTTAAAGCACATTAATTAATTAATTAAATTTAATTAATTAAATTTAAGCATTGTTTTGATCGCATTTAGACTACAAGGTATAAGTATTATTCACGGGATAAAACCGTGGCTAATATAATAGCTCAGTACCCAAGTAATCGTTACTCTTGCCGAAATCCTTGTCCCATACTGAGAGGCATAACGTGAGCTTCATCAGTTCCGTCAAGCGAGTCGCGAAAGCGAACTCTTCGTTCCATTCTGGGTTCAATGTCTTTCGTCTGATGCTCGTATTCTGCGAGTTGCGACCGGTTGCCTTCTTCAGCTTTTTGGCGGTAGCACGAGCGGTCGAGTAATTTAGGAATCGTTGCTGCCGATGATTGTCGGTCGCATTCTCGACGAGGGCCAGCTTGACGAATGGGTCAGAAAATCCGTTGCTGTCCATGGGTAGGAGATTCGTAGCGCGATGTATCGTGACCAGCAGCGCATGTCGATGAGTACAATAATTCAGGCTTATCTGAATCTGCCCGCGTCCGCTTGAGCATATGCCCCAAATTTCCTCTTCGTTGTCTACCTGCATCGAAGTAATCGATATACTGTATATACGCTGATAAGCACATGAGAAAGCTGATTTTTTTCCCTCTTTGCATTTTGCACTCTATTGTTCACGGATTATAACATTTATTTTATGAATAATTAATATGTATTTAATAAATTAAATCTCGCGTATATTTAAATGAAATATTCGTTCTACTGAATACAACAATTAATTTTGTAATCAGTATTTAATTTGAATTAAATAACAGACATATACGTATTTGATCAACATAGCTTTACATAGCTATTTGTTGAAAATAAATTCAATAACATTTAACGTTTTTCATCACAGATCGATCAGAAGACTAGATAGTATGTTGTACAAATTCAAAACAAATGCGATGAGCATTGAAATCTTTGATTTGCATAGACAGGTAGAGTCATTACAAAATAGGATTTTTCATCATCACCAGCGGGTTATTTAATCGTTTACCTGTACTCGCGTGGAATAGAATTTTCGAACATCATAACATTGCTTTTAAAAATTGCCACAACAGATTGGTTACTGCACACGAAAAGAAATTCAATTGGCTTAAGAGAAAACAACACTTATAAGTATATCAACAGCATCAAACCTATAGATATACATTGTTCTTTACATTTTGAAACTTCACAACCGACGAAAATATCACAAATTCTCTCAGGGCAATCACTAATGATGCCAAGGAGATCAATATACACATAGAAGCCAATAAATTTCTCAATGATACAATTAACCCTTTGGAAAATACTAATAAAAAATGGTTTGTTAATCTTTCCAACACAGACATTCCGCCTAACGTTTCTAATCTGTTGCAAATGGGTGATAAATTCTGTCTTCCGAATATTAGTAAAAAACAGCGATACATGAATTCATCAAGGACATAGAGAGTAATAGCAAACGAAATAATATTAATAATCTCACAACGATCAGAAATATCGCGGTTCCAAAATTTGCACAACTTCTGAACACGAAGGATAAAAATGACGTAAGTCAACAAAAATTACTTGGTGCACACAGAGATTTAATAAAATTTTGTAAAGACAATCCGAATGTTCTATTCACACGCGCGGACAAGGGTAATGCTACGGTGGCAATGGAAAGATCTCATTATATTAACAAAATGGAAAACAAAATTAAACAATCATATATAGTAGGCCAACTAAACGAGCAAATAAATAAGATGTAAAAATTTTTTATTAATAGTTAAATCATTAAATTAACATTCCGTTACAGAATCGATATAAATTGTAAACGTTTCGACTGCACTACAGTCTTTATCAATACATAAAAATTAAATATTAAAATATAAAGTTAGATGTTAAAAATACAAAGTTAGTTAAATATTAAAATATAAAATTGAAACGATTCTTCGCTGTTGACCAATAGATATGCAAGGCGATTGGTCTGAGATGCCAAGTTATGCGACATTTGAGCATGATTATCGTTTTAACAAGTCCTTTTCCCCGATATTTCAAGTGTGTGTTGCGAAGTCTGAATACCCTAATATTCAGACTTCGCAACACACACTTGAAATATCGGGGAAAAGGACTTGTTAAAACGATAATCATGCTCAAATGTCGCATAACTTGGCATCTCAGACCAATCGCCTTGCATATCTATTGGTCAACAGCGAAGAATCGTTTCAATTTTATATTTTAATATTAACTAACTTTGTATTTTTAACATCTAACTTTATATTTTAATATTTAATTTTTATGTATTGATAAAGACTGTAGTGCAGTCGAAACGTTTACAATTTATATCGATTCTGTAACGGAATGTTAATTTAATGATTTAACTATTAATAAAAAAATTTTTACATCTTATTTATTGCTCGTTTAGTTGGCCTACTATATATGATTGTTTAATTTTGTTAATTTATACGAGCCTTTCATTAATTAAAATGGAAAACGTTTTAAAAGATGTCAACACTTACACTATTGTTAAAAAAAATCCGTGCAAAAAAATAGAGAACGATTTGAATGATTTGTTGAAGAGATGGCTTAAGGAAGATTATATTTCAAAAAACGAATATTATAAATTACGTTGTAGTGATTCTCTCCTTCCAAAAGCGTATGGATTACCTAAAATCCATAAGGAAAACTATCCAGTTAGAATCATAGTTTCATCGGTTGATACAGCTCTATACTCGCTGGCTTCGTTTTTACAAAACACCTTACGAACTAGTCTACCCAAAGCGAAAAGTCATATTAATAATAGTTTTGATTTGTACAGCATATTGTCTGGTAAAAAGATTGATGAGAATGATAGGATGTTTTCCTTGGATGTGGTGTCTTTGTTTACGAACGTTCCTCTGGATCTTGCGATTGACGGTATTAACGATAGATGGGATCACATTGGAATAAATACTAAAATACCGAAAAACGAATTTTTGGGGGGTATAAAATTCATATTGACTTCTACATATTTTACATTTGATGACATAATTTATAAACAGACGTTTGGGACCCCTATGGGGTCACCGTTATCACCAATTATTGCAGACCTGGTTATGCAAGATCTTGAGGATACAGTTCTCAAAGCGTTGAATTTGGAATGTTTGTTTTATTTTCGTTATGTGGATGACATAATAGTGGCCACCTCTATGACTAATATGACTCAGATTGTGAATAATTTTAACAACTATCATGAAAGACTTAAATTCACGGTCGAACAAGAGGTTAACCATAGCTTGAATTTCTTAGATTTATCACTTAAAATTATTAATAACAAAATATATATAGACTGGTATCAAAAAGAAACCTTCTCAGGAAGGACGTTATCATTTTATTCAAACCACCCACTATGCCACAAAATAGGAATAATATATAACCTTGTAGACAGATGTCTATTGCTATCACATCCACTATTTTTTAATAAAAATTTGGAGTTAATTATTAATATACTCAGAAGCAATGGTTACCCTCTTGATCTGATTTTTAACAAAATTAATCATCGGATAGAACACATCATATCTAAGGGGAGCATTATAGAGAGACAGGCCAACATAGAAAGAACAAAAAGTATAAGAAATGACTCGGTCAATAAAAAATTCTTTGTCATTCCGTATATAGATGGGATCTCAGAAATGATTGTTTCCTCGGTAAAAAATAAAAATTGTATGGTAGGGTATAGATGTCTCAACAAACTGGATAATATTATTAAAGCGCAGAAAGATAAAACTAAACATCCATGCAATTCGAATGTGGTTTATAAGATCAGTTGCAATAATTGTAATGCATCTTATGTAGGCCAAACAAAGAGGCAATTGCAGACGCGAATAAAAGAACATAAAAATAATATTAGGTTGGACTCAACGAAACATTCAGTAATTTCTGAACACATAATAAATGAACATCATACTTTTAATTGGGACAATGTTAAGATCATGGACAACGAAAATAATTATTATAAAAGACTCATTTCTGAGATGCTACATATCAAGGAACAAAAAAATGGACTAAATTTAAACAAAGATACTGAGTTACTTAGCGAGTCGTATTTTGATATTTTGGATATATTAGCGAACAAGAAATAATAATAGGACAAATAGGACATTAACGAGTAAAACATAGATATTAGATCATATATAAACACGCACGCTCTCCGATCAAGTAGAGTTTAAAATGAGCTGTCTTTCTGTATTGTTGGTTTGTTATGTGTCATCCTTAATAACTGTTAATAAGTAGCAAAATTATCAAGAAGAACGATGATAGGTAAGCATACTACCAATTGTAGGGGATACATATTATAATTTGGACATGCGTTGATCGGTAATTTTTATAAATCGCAGCGCCTACGGAACGGGTTAATTTCTCGCATATTAACGATGAAACTATCCGAGATCTGAACAAAATCAGGGATCATATCGAGGCGAACATTGTTGGACAGGACGGATTGAAACACGCGTTAATTACTCAAAAACTCTTGATTCTGAATAACTATAATTAAATTTCGATATTATGTGAATTGTAAGAATTTATATTTCAATAATTATACTGAAGAAGACCGCGTGCGGTCGAAACGTTTATAGAATGATTGTAATTTGCGTTAGTTTTAATATAATGACTGTAGTTTTATAATTTATACATGTAATAAATGGTAGTTGACTGAACATCTCGAATATTCAGCTCGATAAGTTGGCCTTATATTTATCACTTTGTTTTCAATATACGAGCGACAATTGTATTAATTTATTTCAATAACATTTGTTATTTTTTTAATAAAACTTATTTTTTTACAACTTAATTCGTAATTAGAATTTCTCATGTTTTAAATTTCACACATTTTGTCGTGAAATTAATAACATCCGCATCAATTAGAACACTAAAAATTTTATTAAATACGAATAAGTATATTTCAATATTACCAAATAAATCATTTATTTAAAACTAATATTGATTTAATGTGAAAATATTTATTTGGTATAAGAAAATGCTTTTCAAAACAAATATTTCTTAATTTAATTTTTTTTCAGTAAACTAATACATATGTAGACAAATTTCTTTTAAAATTTATCTTGAAAATCATGGTGGGACAATATGATATTGGAAGAATTATATGAATTTCTTTGATCAAATATTTACCACAATAAGATATAAAATATGTTCGATTAATTTTACCATGTACATAGTTAATTTATTATGTACATATTAATATTTTTGTTGTGCTAAATATTTAAGCAGAGAAACTCATAAAATTATTCTAACAATATTGTTTCATAATTACCATGATTTTCAAGGTAAATTCTAAGAAAAAATTTTCTCTATGTATAGTATTATATAAAAAATGTATATAATCTGAAACGCAATTACTTTGAATGTAATATTGAGATAATCTTTATTGTATTTTTTCTGTAATCAACATACCGGATAATGAGGCTGCAGAGAAACTTTGTAATGTTTCGTTTGATATGGTTGCAATTCGTGTAGAGGAAATTTCGCTTCTCCCAGGAAGTCCTGACCCGATGGGTCGTCCTGAATGATTAAGACGTGCAATGCCTTGCCACTCGAGATCTAAAAAATTTCGAGCATGTATATTTATAATTTATTTCCGAACAAAATAATAAATCATATATTATAATAATTTATACATCGGTTTCCGTCGTTCCGTAGAAATTCACCGTCTCGTTGAATTCCGGGTCGCGCGTTTTGTGCACCGTTTTTGTTCGCAATCGGCTGCTCGTTGCTATTTTTCCTACGGGCAATATATTCAGCTTGCAAAAAGGATCGGCGAGGCCTTGGATGTCCATAGGTATTAGACGACGTGCACGTTCCACCTTGCACTGGAGGCACTGATCGGCCGGGTCGTATCGCAAGGAGACTTCGAGAGTCCCATAATCTTGTCCCGTTTCTGTGTTTCAATTTTAATATTTCATTATTTTAATGTTCAATTTGAAATTTTGTCCAAATTAAGTGATTAAAAACTATTTGGATTTTTTATTGTTACATATAATTCCTTTACGATTTTTCTTCTACTGAAAATATCCTGCACTAATCTTATATAAAAATAGATTTCAATAAATCATGATTTTTTCATATGTTGTAGCTTATGACCTACTGAACAAAAGATGTAATTAATCTACTGAATAAAAAATTTAAATGTGCTCAAAGCTAAATAATAGATAATAAGACTAGCTGTAACGCAATAATTGTACATTATATTTATCTTCGCAGCTATTACATTTTTTCAGCAGATTATAAGCTACAACATATAAAAAACCAGCTGATTTAATCGAAATCCATTTTTACATAAGATTAGTGCGAGATACTTTTATGTTTCTCGTAATATTTAGTTTATAATATATTAATATCTAATAATACTTCGATAAGTTTAAGTTTCAAACTTAAATTAATTTAATTAAATGAAAATTTGTGTCATTTGCGCTTGTTAGTTGATTAAAATATCTCTTCAATAATCTTCTCATATTAAATTAATTTGAATTTTTTCTTCAAAATGACAGCACACACACAGTTAATTTTAATATTAATAAAACGATTTGATTGACCTTTCGGGCTTTCCGGGGTTCTTGACGCCCTGACTTGACTGTTGCTGCGAGTCCCGCTGGAAGAACTGTCCTGATCCGAGCAAGACTTGTTCCGTTCCGCATTTCTCTCGAGGAAGCATTTCTTGCTCATAGTCTGAAACCGCTTGACCGGCGTGGTCGGCGTCACCGGGGTCTTCAGTCTGCATAGGGGATGACGATTCCTCGTATAAGTTCAAACCTCCACCCCGCTTGTCACCATCCTTACTTACCTGAGAGATTGTACCTGAGTGCCCTTCGATCGATCCAGAGAGGTGGAAGCGTCCTTCGGAGTACTCGCATTTTCACTGTTCTCCTCCTCATCGTCGTCAGCCTCGTTGGCCTTCTCATCGTCGACGAAGATGTCCTCGAAGGACACATGTTGTTCCGTCTGACTGCTTGGACTTTTGCCACTTGTTTTCGATCGAGGGGTGCCGATCGAACCAGTGGGCGAAAGTCGACTGCATTGTGACGCGATCGATAGACAAGACTTGTCTAGCCTGTCGGAGCCGGCATCATCGCGGTATCCCGGTGACAGACCGTTCGGCCTTCCTCGAGGACTCTTCGGCGACGGGGTGCTGGTCGCGGGGCTAGAGATTGTCAGTTTGGTAGGGGTGCTTTCGCGATTGCTCGACAGATTCGTCGGCGAATGACCGCGATTTACCGCGAGTCGTCGCGTTGCATCGTCGTCGGATGAGGAATCTTGAGCATCGGTTGAATCTGCGGATTTGTTTATCGTCCACGTTGACGTCCTGTGACTAGGTCGAGACCATCCGCGCTCCTACGTAACGTTTTATATTATTATCGTGTCGATAGAGCTCTCGGGGGAAAAAAGAAAATTAAATTTATCAATGATTTTTGTATTAATATTCCCATCAATATATTGAGCATTTTACAGAATATTTTTTGAACGATTGGTCGATTGAAGAATAGTCAATTAAAATTTGTTATATTCATGATATTGATTGATATTGATAGGAGACCAGCAGAAACCGAACACGTGTTCGTATGGTTCGTGGTTTACCGAAAAAGAAGGATTAAATATCGAGACACACATATATACATATATAGCACATGTACGTCAATATATGAAATCAGTGAAACTCGAGTGCCACGTGTCATGGATAGATACTGTTCGATTTCTGTCATATGTAAAACAAGCTTTACGCGAATGTGGTTGCAATGTATTCCAATATCCTGATTGCATCTGTTCTGATGGCATGTATGAAAACTATTTCAATGAATAGGTAGAAGATCTAATTCTAATTCTAGATTAATTCTAATTTAACTAATGTCAGAAATCAGATTCGAATATTTTAAATAAAAGTTTTGAATGAAAATTCTTTTTTATAAAAATCCCTGGAAAATTCATATCAAAAAATTGTTTTAATCTTTTGATTTCAAAAAGTTTAAAACCTACTAAATGAAAAGATATATATAGTATTCTAATCTTTTTATTTTGAAATCAAAAAGATTAAAACAATTTTTTGATATGAATTTCCCAGTAAAATATCTTTAAAAAAGGACCATATATATAAAATAAAAAAAAATAAACTGTGTATTTATATATAACTAATTTAATTGCATAGTATATCAGCTTAACAGCTCTTTATAAAAAACCAGTTCTCCGTGAAATTTTAATTTCGCAGAACACGATTTAATTTAAATGTATGATTTTTTAAATTTAAACAATCTTTTTTCAACAGAAAATAATTTTGAGAGTGTTAGTACAAAATTAACGAAAATAATTAAAAATCTATTTAGTACAAAATTAACGAAGATAATTAAAAATTTATTTTCGAATGTTGAAATTCAGCATAAATGCACAGTCGAAAATATAATATAGTATAGTATAATTATAGTATAATGTAATGAAGAAATTGTGTATTTTTTCACATACCTTCTTCTCTGGCAGAATATACTTTGGCATGCCTTTGAAAAACCAAGCGCCGCTCTTCTTCCACATTTCTCTGGTCTCGGCACAGATCCGACAGAGAAACTGCTTCTGCGCGTTGCCATGGGATCTTTGAATGATTCTTTGTACGGCCATTCGTTCCTGAGCGATTCTTATGAGACGCAATGAGCTACGTGATGAAACGTTCGCATCATTTTTGTCGCCGTTTCCTTTCGGCAGATTAAGTCTCGTGGCTTCGATGCCGCACTTTTGGCAGATGTATCTGCGGCAGTCCTTGCAGAGGTTTGCACTCGCCCCCAGCACTGTGCCAAATTTTTCGCCACAAAGTGCACACGAACAAACACAACGAGCTCCACCGGAGCACCGGCTTCCACAACCGCGCCTTTCGTTCGACCTGATCGACGTTACGACGCATACATTCCGCTTCATATTGTCCAATCTTTCGACGAGTCTGCCGACTCGTTCCTGCTCTGACAGATCCAGAGCTTCGGCTCTCTGTATCACCTGTAGAAACATCTACTTGGAACCAAAAATCGAAATCAATCTGATCCTGATAAAATCGTTTAGAAGGTTTTGTTCGACGATGCTATCCGACCTTTCTAAGAATTTTATAAAGATTGGATTATATAAATCTAATGTCTTCAACTGTACAGAATACAGAATTTATTTATTCAAGTTTTTAAAAATGTGGACGACGTAATCGTAAATCTCTTTTCAATTTTCTTCGCTATAAATACATTTTACGCTAATTAGATTATTATTCATATTGTCGAATAAACATAAAATCTATATCCTGTGTGTCTATAATATTAAAACCTAAATATATTGAAGCATCCCAAGTAGCAAGCATACGTCTTTTTAACGTCATTAAACCTCAAAATGACGTCATTCTGACATTTAATAACGTCAGTTACCTGGGATATTGATATTGTTTAATGAATTTTAATTTTGTGTGATTTTAATTAAGTATAATTATTGACATGGTTTTTACGGTTTAGAGATGAAAGGCTAAAAATTGCATAAAATAAATTAAAGAGTAGCGTGGTTATACTGCTACGGATCCTTTTTTGATTACGAGGGAGAAAGAACCTAGGAATTATTTAGTATTCATACAAATGATCCGGAAATCCTACGTAGGCGTTTTCTTGAATATATTAAATATTTAATATTGCATATCATTATCTTAATCGTTAAATATGGATAATCATATTATACTTCATCATTAATTATTTCAGATCAGCACTTGATAAATTGTTTCTTTATTAAATGTAATATGATGTTTTTTAATGTGTATGTTGTGGAAGGAAGAAAACTTATTTAGTTTTTTAATTTTTATCGCGTATCAAAATTCGTTTTATGTTAAAGCATAATGAAAAAATTGTAAGAAAGGTTTTAACGTGTTCTTATACTGCTTTATTATGAGAAATATTTACCTGAATAATGCTTTGTCGTTCATCGTCAGTGAGCAAGAAGGATTGTCCGCAACGATTAGAACCGCTCATATAAGAATTTGAATAGTCTCCCCATCCGTGGGATTCAAAAGATCCCGTTTTCACGGACCATCCTGTTCGCAATCTGTATCATGTATGAATTTAATTATGTACTGTACATATACACACACTTACACATACATATAAAGTAAATTATTAAAATTTATTATTTATAAATATTTTATAATATACTTGCAGTATTAGTAATGGAAATTATATTTTTATAAACACGTTCTTTACAGTACAATTTATTCATAAAACGAATCTAAATGTCAACTTATAAAGAAATATTTTCCCATGAAAATATTTTTTTAATAAGCTTTGAATACATTCACGAAAATTAAATAAAAGTAAATAATTAAATTTAATTTAATTAAATTAATTAAATAAAAATAAGAGACTTTTCTTATAAATGCTTTCTTGTGTGTTTAGAGGTTGAAACAAACCCTTGAAGTTAATTTCTATAGCGCACGTTTTTGTAATAATTTGTGATTGTCTTGCTCTCTCTTTTTTCTCTTTGACTAATACTTGATAAATATTATAAAATTGTTGAAGCATATTTTTTTACTTACTTTTATTTCTTTTAAAAGAAAAAAAGAGAGAGAAAGAGAAAGAGAGAGAAAGCTGAATAAAATGTGTCAAGTGTAAATCTTTTGAGGGTGTGCTTTTTAAACTTAACAAATTATCTCTTAAATTTACATCAAATAAACTCAGTATCAGAATTTTCGAAGTTTCTCTAGAGGGGTAACATAATCTCGTTATAACAAGCAGTTAGTTTAACCAAACATTGTCAAAGTGATATTCCACAAAAATTGTTTCTAAAGATTTTTCGGCAAAGATATCTACCAATTTTGATTTTGATTTTTTTGACAATTTAGTATATTGCCATCTTTTTAATTAGTGAAATTTTTTAAGCTTTAATTCAATATTTATACATAGGTTTTAATGATTTTATGCTAATATATATTTTAATGTTAATATTTAATAATTGCATTTTTTATCGAATCATAAATATCAAAGTTAGAAAGTTAGACATTACACATTATACACTACAAGTTATAAAGTACATTAAATGAGTTACAGAACTTTTATATCAAAAATATTTTTTTACAATTTCAGCAATATTTTTGTTCCAGATCAAATTTAATTAATGTCAAAGAGTTGTTTCAATCCTGACTGAGCGAGAAAGCATTTATAAAAAAAATCTTTTATTTTCAGTTTTACAATATATTTAAAATATTCATCCAAATCACAGACAAATTTTTCCATGTGTTTTCTTCTTAGATATAAAGCAATTGTATTAATTTGCGTAATTACTTAAGTATTGGCTTCTACTTGGAAAATAATACTGATAAAAATAAATTCTCAAACTTACTTTGCTCGCAACGCCAAATGCCGATCGTTCGGACAAACCCACCTGCCACCTCGTGATATTGGTTCATCCATTTCACTGTGAGTTATTTTGTTTGTAATGTACCGTTTATTTTATTTGCTTCGCGTAGAATTTCAGTCTGTCTACAACAATAAAGATATGCAATCTACAAATATGTATAAGTTTACACAAGTTCTCTTTGTATTATTTATTTTTGCTTCTAAGATAAATTTATATTTGCAGTTTATATTAAACGTTAAATGCATTAATCTAATTTTAAAAGTTGCTTCTGTTATGTAAAATATTATATTACATCTTATATTATTATGTTACATTGCCTTCAACTTGTAATTAGACGACCATATTTAACGTTGAATATGAAACATGAATATGGACTTCTTGTTGTAGATTCTAATTGTATTTAAATTTATATAAAAATTAATTGCCTTAAGCTGCAGTGAAATATCATTGCACTTTTCTGATATTTATATACTTATAAAGAAATATATAATATTTAGTGATATTTTATTTAAAACTCAAAAGTAAAAAACGTAAAGAAAACAAGAAAAATTATGAATAAGAATTACAACATTAAAATTAATCACTAACCTTTAATCTGATGGATATCATTTGTAAAAAAATAGCAGCAGCGGAAGCCGTATAAAAACTTCGTCCTTTCTCAAGGCAGATTGAAATAGCACTTAACGGGTTCCTCTGCGACATTAATTGTTTTTCTTCAAACTCAATTTAGAATTCGATTAAGGTTGCACAACAAAGAGTAATTTACGCGCGTATTTCTTGATAATATTTTTATTTATATTTTCTACCTATATATTGTATTTTTTTATAACTGTCAAATTTGACATTTTGCAAAAATTTGATATATCAGTCAATTTAATTCTTTTTTAATTCTTTTATCATTGTAAACGTGAGATATAAGATTTATTTAATAAAGCACGTGTAGATTTAATAATAATAGATAATATATATAATATAGCAGAAATATGTGTCAAAAAGAGAAAAAATGTTACATAGAAAACAGTTCTTTTTCATTTCACATTAAGTCTTTTTTTCAAGATTTTTCTTTTTCTTTCAAGAATTTACTTAACATTTGTTTAACATTTGCTTAACATTTTGATAAAAAATAATAAAACATAATATAATAAAATATAATAAATAAAACAAATTACTGCACATAGCTTATATTTATACAATACAGCACAGAAACTCACGTTGAAATAAACTTAATAATAGCACTTAAATGATTTCTCTACGGATACTTTGCAATTAAATAGAAATTCCAATTTCGTGGTATAACACAACTCAACTCGACGACATCTCTGTTATTTACGAATATTAACGTGTCAAGCTTGTGCGGGCGTATCGACATATATATCGTGAATTATTATCTTCTTTCCCTCTCCCAGCCTTAGCGATACCAGCTACAAAAGATTTTTCTTCGGACGTAGGAGTTACACCCACGCATTTCTCCATTCTTTTGCTTATTTTCCTGTATATGACGTAATTTTTCTATTTTATTGAGCTTTGGAACATGAGAAATATTCGAGGAATGTCAATAGAAATGTGGGGCTATGTATTGCAAATCAGACGTCTGGTATCGCTGACCACAAACATGGCTCCGAAATGCTTCCGCATGACGATGTTATATCATCTCGATGACAGTGAATTTTGCATACAGTAGTCACATATTTATCGAATTTTTACGATAAAATAAAGGAAGCGATATATGATATTCATATGAGTTAACGGATGGATAATTAGGAGGATAATTTAAAAATTTACGACCTGATATTACAAGATTGTTTTTTCTTTTTGAAAATATTTTTATATTTCAATATAATCTCCCTGAAATTCATTCTACTTTTGACCAGTGATGCTTTAGTGCTTTTATTTCATCTCGAAAGACCGATTCCTCAAGGTTTTCAAAATATCTGCTTGCTATTACTGCCACTTTTAGCATTTGTGAAAAATCGTTTGTCACAAATTTGTTACAAAAACTTTTGCAGCATACTTTTTATTGTTGTGAATGGAGGAGCAGTATGACTTGATATATTTTTCATTTCATTAAAAATTTCCGGTGACGTAAATCCTTTTTAATATAAGCTTTATCACCGTTCAATTTTATTCATTTTCATCCATTTTTATTTTAATAATATTTTTCATAATTTTATGAAAAATATTCAAAATTGTATCTTACGTATTATAATTTTTCGCAGAAATGTGTATAAATTAAAATTTTATCTTTTTATTGGCTTATATGATTTATTCACTCAGGGACTCTCCATATATTGCAATGTGTTGACGTATGTTGGTAATATTGGCTTTTATAAGAGAACTATTCGAGTCATCTGATATATGAGGAATTTATATGTGAAAACGTAGGAAATAATGTGCTGTCGTGCTTTTCAAGGCAATGCGAATACAACAAGGAAAATATTTTACGCGAACTTCGTTTAACTTGTTCGAACTTTGTTCAAACTTTAGCTCACAAAGTAGTATAAATCAATGATTGTCTTTCCAGTACAGCCTATATTGATACTACATTATCGGATATGTATAACGTTTGTATTAACTTTTATATATAAAAAAAAGGTAAGACTCTTCTCTCGACCGTATTGGCAAATATTATTTATTAAATCACAATTGTGATTTAATAAATAATATTTTGCACAAGGTTGCAATACCATAAAATAAAATACGTAGTAAAAGTTATATAAAAAAATAAAAACGTAGATATTTGAGAATCGCCAGACAGAATTTAAAAAAAGGTAAGACTTCTCTCGACTGTACTGGCAAATATTATTTATTAAATCACAATTATGATTTAATAAATAATATTTGCCAGTACAGTCGAGAGAAGAGTCTTACTTTTTTTTTTAAATTCTGTCTGGCGATTCTCAAATATCTACGTTTTTATTTTTTTATATAACTTTTACTACGTATTTCATTTTATGGTATTGCAACCTTGACAAATATTAAGTTGCCTTGGAATAAAATCATTATACGCATATGTCGCAATATGTGTGTACGAATTGTTGGTACACACATTATATAATTAATTAATTTCAAAGGTACGCGCTAACAATAAGCATTCTCGACTCGAATATAACTTAAAGACAGCTTTTCTATTGTGCGTCAAATTACGTTTACTACAATGCTATTGCAGATGATTTTTAAAAACCATTGTTAATGCAAAGCATCACATTTCAAATAAAGTAAAATTAATATAAAATAATCTTGAAAAATATATAGAAATATAATCCTTCTTGTTTTCAATAAAACGTTTCTGATATACTTTGATAGTGAACTAGTTAATTGAAATTAAATTAAATTATATTAATTACAATTGTAAATTCTGCCATATATAATGTGCACGCGTATGTCATATATGCAGGGTTGGGTAAGTTAATGATTTGTTTAAATTAAGTGAAGTTAAAGTTAGTTGCTTATAAAATTAATTTAGTTAAGTTAAAAGTTTTATAAACAAAAAATTCACTCAGTTAAAGTTAAGTTCAGATTAAATTAACTGAAGTTAAATTAAAAGTTAATTTTTAAAAATATTTATATTAAATTAGAATTTTGTTTGTTAATTCTTTTGAAATATATAACAACAAATAACACAGAAATTTTGATTTTATATATATATTTATATATATATATATATATATATATATATATATATAGAAATATTTTTTTGATAATTACAATTGATGACAAATGAACATAAAAATTAATAATACGTTTATAACTTATAAAAAGACAATATAATGGTATTTAGAGATAAAAAATTTAACTTAGGAAAAGAGTTAATAAGTTTAAGTTCAAAAATAACTAGTTGAAGTTAAAAATTAATACATTTTAAATTAACTAAGCTAAGTTAAAAGTTATTAACTTTTTAACTTTTTTTTATCTTTTAACTAATTAATTAGTTATTACCTAACTCTGGTCATATGTGATAAAAAAATGAAACAAGAGTCCAAAATTTCCTGATGATGTATGAGCTAGAATCTTTCATGTTTGATGATATACAATATACGTAAATCGCACAAATGCAAATTTGCGGGATGCAATAAGTTTCTGCGGAAAATTCAATAAACTCACGCGCCGTCTTGCTATCTACTACTATTGTTCATCGTGCGCGCGGCACGCTATCATATGGTTCACCGCGGTAAAGGGAACAAAGGAACTTTCAACGAAAGTGGCTATATTTGCTCGGAGAATCGATATTCTCATGGTGCATATCTCGCAGCTCTCTAAGTCTTTTACACCTTTCTTATTATGACGGCATGCTCGTGTATGCGACGCGCTTGTGTCGCATTAAAAAAGGAACAAAGCTGCTGGAAAATGCAGTCTAAAGAGCGCTCGCACGGTGCTCCGACACGCGATGTAAAAAAGCGAGAGAGAGATTGAAAGAGACACGTATGTATATGTATACGTTGAGGTAGCTGACGAGATTTTTCTACCGGTATAAACGTTCTATTTTTCTCGGCAGCTATCTGCCGCGTGACAGGTAGCAGATGGTCGTCTCTCGTGAACAAAAAAGAGGAACCGAATCGAGTGCGATTGCGTTACGTCGATGTTGGCGATCAATCGACGACACTCGTGACGCGCGTATCAACATTGTGTAGGTATATATGTATCGTTGGTGTTCAACGCACATCAGCTTATTAATAACGAAAACAGTCGTGACATCCCCCGCAATGTACCATCCGTTATGCACAAGCTTCGTAATTAAGTAATTCAGTCCGCTCGGTTACGCTATGCGCATAAATTATGCAGAGTTTGCGTAACGTGGCATATTTCGTCGCAAATTTCTTTTTTTTTTAATATATCGAAATTGTCAATAGTGATGGATTGAGTATTAATGTAAATGCGTTTGACGTTTATCGATAAGCAGGCAAATACACTTTTACCCTCGTTAATAATACGTAGATACGATTATGAGAAGTAACATTCCATATGTCAAAGAACGCGTGCTATTTTGACATATGGAGATAGAGAGTGCTTAAATTCTCTAAATTTAAACATTGAGACAATTATTATATTTTTTCTGAAAAGTCTTAAAATTATTATTGAAAAATGACATGTGCAGAGAACGCATGTTGAATTGCACAAAATATAGACATGACAGAATGTGACATAACGTGTTGCACGCGTTTAACGCGACGTGCACAACTCTATATCGTTACAAAATGAATTCACAATCCAACATTACAAGTAAATCCTGTGCTTAATTGACTGCGAAAGACGCGAGGAAAAAGTTACGGAAGTGCAGGAAAACAAGCTATATAGAACTCACGTCATACTCCGGCGTTTGCAACAGGCTGCAACTGGTCGCGTCGGCGCGCGGGCGCGCGCGCTCAATTGCTCTTGGTGACTCGTGCTCCACGTCAATTAACCATCGCCGTTAATTAGTGCGCGCTCTCCCCTGGGTTCCCGCGTCGGTGGCAACACTCGGCAATCGCGCGAAGTCGCGCCGGTCCGCCGGGAACCCCCGTGGCGAGTCGCTGCCACGAGCTGCCACGATATCCGCCAGCCGACAAGCGGGTGCTGACTGGGTGCTGCTGCTGGTGTATGGTGTGTAGTCGCCACTACCTCAGTAACTGACTCGCGCGCTCCACTCAGTGGAAGAGCCGGCGGAAGAGCGGCGAAGGGTAGAAGGTTGGCTGGGGTGGAAGGGTGCGAGAGCTCTCCCCTCGTTCGTATACAGTCCGCAGGGATGTATCAAGCCGCCAAGCGTAAGAGCGAAGAGAGGGATGAGATGGGAAAGAGAAGTAGAGCGACGCGAGAGGGGTTGATCAGGTGAAAGTCGTAGAGGCGACCGAGGGTGGAAAAGAAAGAGAGAGGGCGGAAGAGAAAGACCGACAGAGAGAGGGCTAATAAAGAGAGGGCTTGTCAGGGCGCAACAGGCGTGGAGAAAACCGGGACACGGAGGCAATATACCATCGTCATCGTCATCGTCGTCATTATCATTGTCGTTCGCCGTGATTAAAACTGTTCCGCGCATATATATATATATATATATATATATATATATACCGACTTTTTAGCGTATCAACCAGGGCTAGATAATCGTGCAAATTGAACGGCGCGTGGCGGCCAAGAAGTAGGGCATTCTGCGAGGAATACAATGGTATAGGCGCTCTTTACAAACTGTTATCGCGTGGTTGCGTGATAATTTTGTAAAATGTATTCAAAGTCCAGTAGTGTGACAAGGAAGATTAAATTTCTTCAATTTACTTCTCTTCACTGCTCATTTTCCATTTAAATATTTATGCTGCGCACACATTTTTATATTATATAAAATTATTATAAATAGAATATCTAGCTCTTTATAATTATCACGAGCATCTTTAATTATCCCAAAAACATGTATCGCAATTACACAACAATCGATTATTAATTGTTATTAACCTTTGGTTGGTTGATCGAGACTTTATTTCTGTGAGTCTGGAGGATTGACATAATCGTGTTGAAAGATGGAGATTGAAATATATATAATATGGAACGGATTTCTCGTACGTCACGCGCGACTAGGTGTAAACTTCGCAATCGCGTCCCGATTGTTGCTTGTAACGCATTTGCAAACGACACGTTTGCCGCCGTGCATGCCGCTCGAGGCAAACAGGTGTCCTTGTGCTATATCGTACTTATTGACGTGTCGTACTTCGCAGCTGCCGCAGCAATAGTCTGCACGCCGAGGGTCGATGATCAGGAAAAGCCCGACTTTCTCACGAGCTTGCAGGATTCTAGGTCACGCAGCGAAAATTTTACGCACTGCTGTGTAAGCATGCGCCAATTTTGCCACGTGCCGGTCCATGTCATTCTCTGTCAGAGAGGGTAGCAAAAAATATCTTGCTAAGATTGTGTCCTAGGAGAGCGAAAATATTCCGAGCGAGAAAACGTGTCCGGGGAAAATGTATCACGAGAGAAATATTACAATTAATAGATGAATCTGGCTGGGAGGGAGATGGATTATTTAAGCTGCTCAAAGAGATTTTTACTTTTTACTATATATAAATATGTATATATATACTGCGCATCATAATGAACAAGAGATTACTTATTGTCTTTATTATTTTTTTTTTAAATTGCATTAATGTTAATAATTTATCGTATAAAAAAGATTTTTTTGTACTAATGACAATAATAAATGATGATTACCATAATACGTATCATATATTGTTTAAGTCATTTTAGTTACAAGCTCAAAAAATATCTTTTATAATCATTTATAAAATAGAAAGGATATAAATATAAGATTCGTCAGTTTTAACGTTTTCGGATTAATACATTGAATGTATTAGAATATATTTCGTGATAAACAATAAGTATGTAAAAATTATGTATTAGAATCTATAGCATATCAAGAAAATAATAAAAATTTATTATTTTCTCAGATGCAAGTGTTTTAAAGATATAAAATTGAAAGAGAAATGAAAAATACAAAACTGTAAAGTGCTTTGATCAATATGCTTAGAAATTAACGCTAATTGTAATTAATCCAATTTTTTTATTTTTTATCATAAAATTAGGAAAATAAAGCTTGATATATATATAAAAAGAGAATTTTAAAATAATAAAATTAAAAAATTATTTTAATAAAATTATGTATTGATGTATTTAGTAATTCTAGAAAATTGATTGATGAATCATGGTTTTTCGATTTTATCGAGATATATAGTATTTGTTGAATTTATTTCAATATTTGATATAAAATGACCATACAGTATGTATAATTACAAGTTAATATACATGACCTTTTGTTGGAAATCCAGGATTTGATGTATAATGTATGATTCATCATCCCATGACGGCATAAGAGGTTTCTTCCATATCCATTATATTTTTGAAGCTAGTTTTACCGATATTGTCACTTATCATTTGATGTAATTGAAAGAACTTTAATGATATAGTACTAATTTTTAATTATTAGAATGCGCTTTATGACATGTTTAAGTTGCAGTTGTTTTTTTTCTTTTTTTTCAAATTAAAAGCAATATTATAGAAGGCAATGACAGCGAGAAATTAGAGAAGTTACAGTATAATTCCTTAACCTGTTATTACGTAAAATGGGTTTGCAGTTTGGCAATTTACCAATTAGGATTCGTAGAATCGTGTATTACAGTTTATCACCCACAGAGCAACGGACATGGGCAAAATCAATAACGCATGGAATACCTAATTTAGTAAATAGAGCAATGCGTGCGCTCCCGCCGATGCTTCCAGGTATATTTATATTTATGAAACTAAATATGAAAAAATGAAAGGAACACAAAGAGACAGAATGATATATTTTTTATTTCTTTAATTTATATATTTTTGTAATTAAATTAAATTGATTTGTTATTAATATATTAATATAATGTTGATGCTTTATCTTACTTTTTCTGCATTTTTCATATAATCTGAAATAAATTTAAACTTTTCCATATAATCTCTTAAATATATAAGTTTATTTTTAAATTAAAATATCAGCTTACTTAATCTCTTGTCTTCAATCAACGTCATTTAATCAATTTGCGTTATTTAATTCTTTTTTTTTAAATGATTGATGAGATTGCGAAGCGTTAACTCCATAATTTGACAAAAAACTATTGTTCGAATATTAATCAAAGACAGATCTATTGCGGAATTTTTCTTGCACGTGTGTACTTTTTTTATTCATTTATTCTTACGAGCTGTTCAACGCAAATAATGACTCAACAATTTTGTGCAAGTTTGTTTTGAGATGAATAGGAATTGATTAAAATCTCAATAATAATTTTATAGTATAGGATAATATAACAATTTAATAGTACAAGATAATGGATTGGGTACTCGATAGGAATAATGATTCTATAGTATAGGAATTGATTGGATACTCGATAACAATTCTGTTATAATCATATAATAGATACTTTTATTTCTATAAAACTGCAATGTTGCAAATCTTTATTTATTTACTATACTAATAGAGATGAAATCAATATCAAGAATATTATTCTTATATCAAAATTTTAATTTTGATTTTATATATTTTCTATTATATATACATATATATGTATATATGTGTGTGTGTTTTTGTGTGTATAAAAAACAAAACTGGTTATTACACATATCGATACATCAGCAAACAACGTATATAAACATTTCCTTTTTATTTCTATATATGCATTGACATATAATATAACGTAATACGTGATAAGCAAAGCGTACGATAAAAGTACACATTTGATAAATAAAAATATGCTGGAATACGTTATAGAAACTACAAGAGTCAATTTACAAAGTCAATACAATTGTTTAGTTACATCATATTTATTCGCGGCAATCGATACATACATATGTATGTTATGGAATTTCTATAATATTTTATTGAATATCTTTTTTCATGATTGTTCTTAAGGGTATATTTTTCGTTTTAGGTTTTATAATGTCGGCTGTAATTTATAAGTGGTCCATTGCAGCACATGATCGATATAGTCGCAAGGATCCTAAATTATATGAAAATGACAAATAAATGCAAAAATTGTTTAAGCCATTTTTAAAGCCATTTTCAAGTGTTTTATAATTAAAACATGATATTATTATCTTTAAAAATATTTCTAAAAAGTTCAAAGATCTATGTGAAAATATAAATAAAAAATCTAATAAAAAAATATTGCTTCTTATTAACGTATTTACGCGCGCGTATTTATATTAGACATGCAATATATTATAAACCATTACATTTTAAAATGTAAATGATTTATTTATAAGATATAAGCAAAGACAAATGCTAATATTACATTCAGTTACATATAAATTTCAACTATTAGCCACTATAATAGGGGACAAGTATATATAATTATTGATATGAAAGTTTGTATGTACAATTACATACTTCTAAATAGAATAATAATAACTAAAATGCTCCTTATATTTCATCTGTGCTATTTTATAATTAAAAACATTTATTTAGTATAAATAATTATTTATTGATTCAAAATGCAAATTCAATAATGCGTACATATTTTTTTATCGTTCAAATCACAATAAATTGTATGGCATATAAATAGAAATGCTAATAGTCTAGAGCACATATCAATGCCACTCCTCTCTTTATCCAGTGCGATTGTGGTTTGTCAGTAGGAATTTCCATTGCTAGAATAAAATTTGTGGAATGTCCCATTGTTGTCAAAGTTCCAGAGCGCTCAATAGTTTTATATACAGGACATATATAAATTCCACGAGATGGAATTACGTGATTAATTTCCGGCAATAGAAGAATTGGCGACATATCTAGACAACAGATATTAATATTATATATTATTTGAATAAAATGCAGAACGGTCAAGCAATTTTTAATTTGCTTAACAAACAAATTACGAAAAGCTTTGAAAAGCACAGTTATTTATATTTCGGAAGTTTAATTAATTAGTTAAATTAATTTTTAGCCATTTCGTGTGTTTTAATATAATGTTAACTGTATCTGTTTGTATGATACATTGAGGGAGATTATTAATATTTAACCAGTAAATAATTCTTTTGGTAAAGACTCTACGAGATTATTTCCGTTCCATCGACAACCTTCCAGAAAAAGACCATAAATAATACAACCATCCGATGGTCTTTGTGTTGGTTTGGAAATTAAAACCTGTGACATTGTGTATAACATTAATTTTTACAATTGGTATAAAAAGTCTTGCGATATATATAATTTATTGGAAACTAGTACTAATTTAAATCTATATTTGTTAATTAATTGGCAATAATTAATTCAAGCATATAATATGCCTCTCATAAATTAGAATTTATGTATAGAGATGAACATATAAAATTTGATTTGACTATTATTTCAATCAAATACATTTTTTGTAAGCTTAAAAATCATTGAATCACTATCAATCTCTATTTTCCTGTAATTATTGTATGTTGTGCGTCAAGTCGCGTTGACCTATTAATCGATTAATTACAGGCTGAGGGCGTACCTTGTAGCTAAAATCGATTGTGTCAATAGACACTATATGTTTGCGTGCAAAGTTTTGCAACGTGCCAGTTAGAAAGGCTTGAGGAAAGTAAAAACCTGATATCCAAAATGTAGGCGGTATACCGTGATTTTCCCAGTCTTTTATAAATTTAATCCTGTCTTTTAAATCTAGGAACCATGCGGCTAATGAAAATGAAAAAATATTTAATATAACTATTTGAATTTTAAAAAATTATAGTAAATTATTAAATTTATAGTCGACACATTTTTTTTTACCTAAAGATTTTAGAGAAGGATAACTCTTGTTTTGCCAATTTGTCGGTATTTTATTATTAAAAAGACTAGTAGCCATTATTTCAAGCTCCTCTGACATAACAATTAAACCTTTTAAAGCTTTCAAAAGATTTTGTGACGTTGATTGCACCATTTCGAGTAAATCGTTGTATCGTTTGGCTTCTTGTAGTAACACAGTATTAAAAGACTCTTTGTACGATATAGGATATCTGAAATTCAATTTATTTTACTTAAAAGTTTAATTAACATTTTTTAATATCTTTTACATCTAACTTATTTATATATATGTGCTACATTCGTTTTAAAAATATATCGAGATTGTTTTTTTTATCAAACTTATATCACGAGAATTTTATTTAGGTATCTATATCTTAAAAATCATATACATTATTATACAAAGAAAGATATTTTATTATATGTTAAAAAATACAAATTACTAAAGAGCATACTAAAAAAATAACATTTTAATTATTTAAACAACGATAAGTAAATGATATTTAATCGTACTTCGCTTCCATTGCGATTAAATCAAATAGTTCGGGTATTGTGGCTAACATATCATTAATTAATTCGACTGTTACTTCCTCGATATTTGCAGCTGCAATACCAACTTCTCTGGGCTGCATACTTAACAAAGTTGCGAGGCAGGTATACGTTTCTGCTTGAGCGCATGTTATATCGGCGTTTGAATGCATGCCAAAAAGTGACGGATCGTCATTTAAAGGAAGACCCTTTATATACTCTAGATAATCGTTGAATGACGCTGCAGCTGGTAGCTTTATATGTGAAAATACATGAGATTGAGATAAGAGGATAAAAACATGATCAACAATAGTATCTTTGTATACCTTTATAAGTGCTCTTATATATAGTGGAACTACATAATATTTTGAAAATATTAAGAAAATAAATACAGTTTTTTGCTGTTTGACTTAAGCGATGTCTGCAATAAGAATTCAAGACAAAGACGTAAAAAATTAACCAATTATATTCAATTATTAATTTCTTACGTCTTATGTCTTAAGTTCTTATTGTAACCACTACTTTAAATTTCAAGCTATGTTAACTTCAAAATTATAAATTTTTAAAAAGAGAAAATTAAATTATAAATATTTTTGTTGATTGTTTATAATAAAATTTTTTATAATATAGAATATTTATAAATATAGAATAAATAGTATGATTATATTAGAAATATTTTTCAAATATTTTCAAATATTTTTGAAATTTATTTTACAAACTAATATAAACATAGTACAGAGAAAAATATTATATAATTTTTATAATAGAATATGATGCTTTCTTTCTCTCAAATATTTCTTTAAATTAAATAATAACTTAAATAATTTTTAATTTTTAAGAATTACTAATTGATTTAAAACTTTTTCAATTTATATTATAGCTGTTTTTTAGAATATATTTATTATTTGAATATATGTACCTGATGGTAAATGTTTTGTTCATCAAATTGATAATGTGGAGAAACAACATTGGTATTATAATAATTTTCGAGAAGTGTTAGAACATATCGGCGATCCCAGTCGTCTGTTATTCTTCCACCATAATTAATATGTCCGGCAGTATATACGAGAACCTTTTTTATGTCGAAATAATAATTATTATTTAAGAATGAACATTTTTTCTCTCTCATTAAGCGAGTAATTTGAATTCAAAGATATGATTGAATAAAAAATAAAATCTTAAACTTCTAAGTCTTTTCAATTTAGTAATATTTTCAAATTTTATTTGTTTAAATTATTGCAAACAGAGTTGCATCAAGATATTTCACCCAATATGATATTATATAAAAAAAGTAAATGTAATTTAAAAGTTAAATTTTGTTAAATATCGCGAAACATGGAATCACGTATTTAATATAACGACTTTATATTTATCACTGAGAATATGAAAGTATCATATCTTTGTGTTCTTTTATATCAGTTCCGCAATACTTGCGAAGTTAAAAGAGGAACTGATTGAAATATGAATGCTTTGAGTTGCTTCTCTAGTTTACTTTATCGATGTTTTACCTTAAATGGCAAAATATCATATTCCATAAGAAACATGTGTAGTTGTGACAAGCATATAGCTAAATCTCCGTTAGTAAATTCGTAGGATATATTGAAACCAAGGGGACCGAATTTTCGTCTTTCAAGTAATATGGAATGAAACATGCAAAGAGAGAATATAAGCCACTTGAATGGCGGAGCTTTTGGATGATTAGGTTGCAGAAGTTCTGTCACTTGTGTCAGATATGCACGAAGCATATTAGCCTATGTCAAGAAACCAAGAAACAGATAAAAGTAAAAAAAAATGAGATAAACTTTATGAGTAAAATGTAATATGCAATTTTTTTAAATTTTTTGTTTATTTATATTCTTGTAATAAATAATAGTTTTTCGTATGTCTTTATAATGCTAAAAGTATCAAAATTACATAGCTTCGTGAAAAATAATACTTTTTTTATGTATTTACAAATATTCTTTTAATTAAATATAAAATAAAATCATTTTACCTAAAAAGTTTATACAGGTTTAGTAGAGTTTCAGTAGAGTTTTACACAAAAATAATGTGATATTAATACCTTTATACCTCGCGGTGGTTCTATTGTCATTTTGTTGCTGTTTTGAAGAATACTGACGGGAAAATTGGGAGAAGGTGCGGATGTTAACCACAATCGAAAATCTCGATGAATATTTTTTTGTAATAATGTTTCGACGAGATATTCGAGTTGCGGCATCCAAGTTGGTGCCAAATGACAATTCTGTAAAAAGGAAAAACATTTTTATTATAAATATTACTATTAAATTGACATCACGTCTTATACAAATAGTCATCATTAAATATATTTTATTTTTCTTATGATTGTTTAATATGTACGTTGTTAACAATCCATAATATTGTTGTATTAACCTCTTTTCTAGTATAACATTGTTTATTTTATAACTACATGTATTTTAAAAATTTTTCAATTTGTGCCACATTTTATATAAAAAATATGTTATTTGAAGATATTTAAAAATTTAAATATAATAGATATATTGAATATTATGCAAGACATTCCAGACATGCCATAGAAAATTGCATATTATACAGATCGGAAGAACTAGCTATGAAGAAATAATTATTTATTTCTTTAGATATTCAGACCAAGCAATGTTATTTCTATTATAACATTTATTTCACGTGCAATACATAATAATGAATTCAGTTATTTCACTGAATATAAAATTTTCTTATCTCTTGCTTTTTTCTCTCTTTGCCGTGATATTATAAGTAGCACAATAAATTATTTCTCCGCTTCCTCATATTTTATATTTATATACATGTTATGAAAGTAAAACATTTTTTTCTTTTATCGTCAGATTTTATCTCACCGAATAAAAAAAGAGTAAATTTTATATTATATAAAAAGCTTAGTATTATTTTTTGCTCACGAAAACTGTGTATTAAGACATTTTATTCAATACAAATAGATGCTCTTATAGCAGTATCTTTTTCATTGACATTAGCATTTTTTATTAATTTAAAAACATTTTTTATCATAATAATGAATGTTTTTAGGAAACAGAAAGGGCGAAAGCGAGAGAAAAAAAGCAAAAACTATTTTATTTAATTTTAACATTCAATTGTTTTAATATTTCTTTATATAAAAACTCGAAAATGTATTTCTATTATTTTAACGAATCGTTAAAACAAATTTTTAAAAAATGTATAATATTTCGGTTTCTTGTGATGGAAATTATTCAAGTCTATTTAAATCTCCTTAAATTATTAAAAATTTTTTACACACATGTATATACAATATAATTATCTGTTAATTACTTTGAATTTTGAATATATAAATATTAAGAAAGAATGAAAAATTTGAATCATTTTGATGCAATTATTTCATCCACTCTATAGTATCAGAGAAAAATAGATATACACATATACATAAATAAATAGATACATAAAAGTATCCTATCTAGTTATATCGAAGGACAGTTTCTAACTTGAAAGAAGATCCAAGTGCCCATCTCCGTTGATTGTTTCAACATGGCTTTTGCTCTGGGTCCTTGACCCTGGCCAAGAGATATCGAATATAATTTTCTGTCCATTTTTAGCTTGTCGGCAAACTTATATAACTCTTTAGCTGGATCAGTACCAGGCGATAAGATAAAGACAATTGGCGTGACATTGAATGACTCTTTATAAATCATTGATAATTCTGTTGTTTGCGGTTCGACAAATTGTCGACCTAAATACTTTGTCAGATAGAGTTGCATAGCATTGATCAGCTTGTCAGGTCGCAGACACTTAAGTATCAATAATTTCTCGAAATCGTCAAGCTTTGTCTTCCATGGTTCAGGAAACGGTGCTCTAAACGGGGAAAGATGGTATTTTTAATGAATAAAATATTTATTTTAGTCATTTTACGAACAACAGACGAAAAATTTTAAAAGCTTTTAATATATTATAATTTTTTTATATCTCTTCTTTGAAACAAAATTTTCTTACAAATGAGCTTCCTGAGTATCGAATATGGTTTTAAATTGGATTAACAATAACTGGAAAGATGTGACAAATTTATCAAACTTTGGAAGCCTCTCTAGAGTTTGAATCTCTTTCCAGCATCTTGGAGTAATCCATTCTGGTGCGGGATTTGGCAAGTCCTGGAAGCAGAAAAAACTTTGGGCAATAGTATCCCATAATTCGCGAATCACCTTTCATGGGCAGATAGAGCGTGTTAAACTGAATAGAAAAGTCCTGTATCATTTTGCGATATTTGCAATAATTATTGACTAAAATATCTAAACGAATGAGCAGGTAGAAAGAGGTAGGCCGGACTCGATGTGCATGTCGGATGACTTATTTGTTATATGCCGCTTAGTATCAAATATCATCTTACTTTTCGGCGCCACTACATTGGTCGCCGCTCGCTGCATGACGGCGCCTCTCGATTAAATAATGCTTTCTACCTGCTTATTTGTTTAGATATTTTAATAAATAACTCAATAATTATTGCGAATATCGCAAAATGATACATGAAGTTTCTATTTAGTTTAACACGCTCTATCTGCCCATGAAAGGTAATTCGCAAATTATGGGACACCCTGTATATCGATAATGTGTCGACAATGTGATAAATAAATTCTTCTGTGATAAATACGCTATTTACATATGCTGAATATTATTTTCAGTTATTTGTTTTAACTGTTAGGAAAAACAATTGGAGAGTAAAAAAAACCAAATTCTAAAATCTTTTTTAAGTATAGAAATAGATTAAAAACTATCTTCATTTTATATACATATGTATATTTTTTCATGTTTGATAAATTCTTTATGCTTGATTTATATATCAAAGTGATGCTCAATATATTGAAATATAATATTAGGTTAACGTATAGTAGATATAATTATTTATATAACAATAATTTTTTAAATCTAATTTTTAATTTCCGATTTTATAAGTTTATTTCAAATAAATAAACTTTTGTATTTATATGTTACAACGGTATACTGTTTTTATTATTATACATAGTATTATATATTAATATTTTTTATATCCAGTGTTTTAAAAGTTTTGAATAGATTATTATTTTATTGATATTTTCCTAAAATTAATAATAATTAATTAGCTCGATAAAGTAAATTTTAATTCATTGTAAATTTAATGTAATGTTTCAAACTATAGCAATAAATTCGCTTCACATTTTACCTGTATTGGAGAGGTTGTAATAAGAAAATGTCGCCACGCTTTTGAATCAATTCTTTTGTCGTCCAAAAGAATACGTGCGCAGATGAGAAAGCCGAGATGCAGTTTGTGTCTTTCAAATAAACTGCGACATACATTTGAGAAAAGTGCAAAGGTAAAGTTCTCGTTGATGTCTGCAATTCGTTTATCGATATCTTCTGCAAAGTTAAATTACAATAAATTAAAAGTTACAGAATATATTTTATTTTAAAATAAAAAAATATATAATATTAAAAAGCTTCTAGAGTTTTAAAATTGATATTAACGTGTTTCTGGATCCTTTTTTCCAGTGTTTTAAAGAGTTTTAAATTCAAGAGAAATGTTATATCTATATGTAGAAAAATAAAATCCTTTTAACTGCAGCTTATGTATTAAATAAGTTTCAGATTATTGAGACATTAGAATGCGATTAAATATTAGAATACGAAAAATACTTACTACTTTTTTCAGTATTTGATATGCTATTGTTAAATATAATAATAAACCACTCTAAAGAATATTGATACATAATATCGATACGTTGTAGATCAACGATACAAAAAAACAGTATTTGTGCCCGATTTGCTACTGGCATGTATAATGATCTTATTAAATCGATATTTGTTTGCGTAAGTTCGGCAGACTCCATCTTTATCTATATTTAAAGAAATATATTAAAATATGTTTTACACATACACACACACGCACATCTATATATAAAATTAAAAATATAATTCTTTTTTATTACTTGACCTTGATTTCTTCGCTCTTAGCTTTAGAAGCTTCCAAGGTAAGAATCAGATCAATGTCATCAACTATCGATTCTTCGGATATCGCGAGTTTGTCCAGAATTCTATGCTCGATTGCCTTTAGATCTCGTTTCATTTCAGCACTTGATACAATAAGTGTGTTTCTTTCTTGTTCGAGATCAGGACGTTCTTGTATCGTAACTAAAGAGAGCATCTGGTCGACAAGACCACTGTAAGGGTTATATACATATATAATATATTTGAGAATCAAATATTAATCTATATCAATTGGGGTTGAACCTATTTTTTTTCATCAATTAAGATTAAACCAACTTTATTTACTTTATCATATTTTTCCTTTTAAATTAAAGACTAGGTATAGTAATTATTCAATTTTATATTAATTACATTTAATGATATTTAGAAAATAGAGTAGTAATTTTTTGAAATAAAGAGGAAAAATAAATATGCACATATTATTATTCACATGAATATATATATTAAATTTTTTTGTCTTAAAAATGACGATTAAAATTCTCATTGCACACAATTACTATTAAATATAATTAAATGTTAACTTTTATCGCGAAATAATAATATATAATAGTAAAAAGAAGTATTTTATAAATTCTATAATATATATGTACAAAATTTACGACATGTAAGAAATTGAATGCAAAGAATTTAATATATAAAGTTCGCATATATAAGAAAAATATTTGCACATATATACAGCGACATTTTTTTAAAAATTGAAATCTCACCTAACAGTAAGTGCAAAGTTGACTATTAGCACTTTTACCGCTATTTCTGGAGTGTAATGCGGATTTGATAATTTTGTAGTTAAAAAAAGACGAAAATCGAAGTTGTAAGGTACAATATTCTCCCCGATTTTGATACTCGATTGTCCGGCATGCTTGAATAATGAACGCGTAAGAATCGGATCTAAGGCAGCCTCCAATTCGGTACCAACGTTTTCGATTAAACAGGGTCTCCCGACTTGTACACAAATTTTAATGATGCGTAAAAGGTTCTTATCTGTTATTTTTACCACTGCAAGTCCGATTCGCTTGTACTGAAATTAGGAATAATTTGGTCGATTAAAAGAAGTTAAGGTCTTCTATAAATCTAAAAAGTTATGACTTATTCTATATTACGTTATACGCAATATGGTTCCCGTATATTCATATATACATATATGTATAAAAAAAGTATATATGTGTTTTAGCAGATAAATTCAATAGATTCCAACAAATATTATTTTATTATTGGATAAAGAAAAAATTGATGCAAATAATAGAACATTCCAGTAATAAATTTTCATTATAATAACAACCGTCATAAATTATTGTGATTTTATATGATTATATTATGAATGTATCTTCAATAATATAGCTTAGCAAATATCAGTTTTACGCTGTATTTTATTACGCTCGTCAATAGGTATGTATAAAATTCATTGTAAATTACGCACAGAAAATATGAAAATATTAAAATCTCATTGTGTATTTTCGCGATATGATATTTACCATATTGCGTATCCATTTATTCGCCTGTGATTGAGGGTCAATGAAGAGGGGCCATCGATTTGAATGCATTACGAGAACTGCGTTCTCGACGGACATAGCATCCCTTGGTAAACCATCAATGTGCCAATTTCTTATCTCCATCTGATTGCCGAGTATCAATACTGGTTTGCTGCCAGGAGTATAAGGCACATCATCGCCTAGAGCGTTGTACCAAATCGCTAGTAGTTCCTGACGATAGGTATCCGTGAATGGCGTCAAATACGCTATCGCGCCTATAATAAGACGAAAGCTTTCAGCAAAGGAATTGTGTGAAATGAAGCTTGTCCTGTTGTTGTTAGAATAGAGCTATTGCAGACATTCGATTAAGCTGATGAATCTAAAGCTTTGTTGATCTCCTACGTTAATGGAACAGTAAACAATTGGAACAACCAATGAACTGTGTACTGTATATGTATAGAGTGTTATTCTCGATGAGGTTTATACTGGCAAGAGATCAATACTAAATACACAAACACACGCGCGCGCGCGCACACACACACACAATATATACAATATATATATATATATATATATATATATATATATATATTAATAAGAATATTGTAAGTCAGCTCTCCAATTTTTTAAAACTCCATATTCATCTCGACTAAGAGCCAAACGCGATGTTATTGCGACAAATTAAGATAAGAAATTTTGGAAACTGAGGAATTTGAATCCTATATATATATATATATATATATATTATAATATTTAGCAATACTATATAAGTAATAAGTTTTTTACTTCAAAAAATAAAAAAAATAATTTAATGCAATTAGAAAAATTGCTGTAATATTAGAAACAGAAATTAAAGATTTGAAAGAATTTTATGTAAATTATTATTAATTTTATTTAATTGCAGAAGATGAAGGAAATTTAATATTAAAAATGATTACTGAAGAATGATGTACTAAAACTTGCTACAGAGTGTGATAAATTTTTCTCTTATATCTTTTTTGTAAGACATAGCTAGGATTTTATTTTCTCATATCTGATAGAATCAAGTTAATGTCACCATTCTTTACAAAGAGTAACTGCCCTTAAAGCCTAGCGAGAAAATTGGATTTACAAGAATGACTGATTTTGTTATACCGTAAATGTCATGTTAAATCTGTTAAAGTAGATCACACAGGGTTTTAGAAAACGACATTCTTAATAAACTAGTTTGGAAATAATATATGATAGATTTTATAACATAGTTCTCAAAATATTGAATAATTATTGATGATAAATTTAAATTATTTTACATTATTATTTATTCATATTCTTTGATAATAATTTATTTTTAATTTAATGTCATTTTTTGATAATATTAATTATAAACGAATGACAGGAGAAAAAAGAAAGAAGAGAAGGAAAGCTTTGTTTTACTATGATCCATTATTATTATGACCGAGTTGTTGTTTTAAATAGATTGAAATATAATCAGCATATTTTTGTCATATTAAATTCATAAAAAATTTAAAACTAAATGTTAAGACATTACAATTACAATTACACAAAGACCAAGTTTTTTGTTGTTATATATTATCCGATTTTATTTCGATTAATAATACAACGGATTTATATAAAAAGATCTCCTTCTCTCCTTCTTTCTTTGAAAATATATAGATAATTGATGATTCTACTTTTTTCATACATAAATAAAAGTGAATAATTCGAGCGAAATAATGATTGAAAAATGTTTGCTCGCACCTGACGATAGAAGGATATCACCAATAGCATTCTTTAAGGATGCTTTTATATCGTCTACCATGATGATCCATCGCTTCTGTTCATCTGACAAACCAACGATCAGTCTTACAGCTCGAGCCATTCGTTCCTCACATAGCTGTTTCTGTCTTTTAAGTCAGCCTTCTTCTCTTCTTTTTCCCGCAATTGATCTTGCAGTTTGTCGATACCTTCTTTTATATCCCGCAGTCTGTTCATAGCGGTTGCAACAGTTTTTTCAGTTTCAACCAAGATCTCTTCAGCTTTCGCCAAAGCTATCATTTTGGGTGTTACTCTCTTATTTACGAAGTAATAGTTGTACATCGCGTGGACCCACAAGCACAAAGAGTGACAAGCTTTCGAAACTTCAAGCACCTATCGATATTGTAATTCGCTGATTATTTTGTTAATTATGGTAAAATATTAACAGGAAAGGAAATATATCTACAATGTTTACTATCAAATTACATTTTTCAATAATTTTGTATTTTTATATATTTTTCTAATGCCGTTGACAAACATTATTTTAGAAATAAAATCAATATGGATTCTCTCTGCTTTTCTCTTTTTTTCTTTATTAATTTTACATAAAATTATTAGAAATTACTTTATTTGCACGATTTTATATATATAATTTTTTTAATGTAAAATTTAATCGCGCGATATAGAGAAATCTACTATAGGAATAAGTAAAAATAAAGTATTAGTAAATTTCTGGACTAAATATTTCGTAAAAAAGAGACAAACACAATCTGATGAATATAATTTATTATGATACAACTGTAGAGAGATGTTTACCTTGGCTGGTTCGAAATTGGGATTTTCTATATAATCCTTGAGTTTGTTGATCATTTCTTCCGTAATATCTTCTTTCTTAAAATGCTCCATTGTGTACAAAAAATGAATGGGATCTGCTAACATCTGACTTCCAGGAGTCCAGTAATCTAATATTTTTTCGCCGGGTAGTTTTCCAGGGAGCTAATTAGATAGTTATATGCCTTATAAAGTCTGTGTAATTAAACTAATCAATAATCGCATTGTTCTTCTTTCAAAGAATTAATTGAAAGCATTTCGAAAGCAAGAATTCAATTAATTAAAATATAAATTTTAATAGATATTTTTAATTTTTAATAAATAGGAAATTTTGTCAAAAGGACACTTTAAATAATATATAATTTTAATATATAAAATATATTATATTATATTAAATAAAATAAGCAGAGATAAGTAATACTAAAAATACAAACGATAATAACGAGGATAATAATTATTATATCGCATAAAATTTATAATTACGTTTGCATACATATTGCAAAATAAAGATGTTATGTATTTGAGATGTATATGGAGAGTTGCGCGCCGCGAGGTAAAGGAGCCTAATCGTGACACCTTTCGGCGTTATCGTTCTAGTTTACCCCCGAATATCGTCTAAAGCCCGGCTTTTAGCCGAGTCATCGTCTCCCGCTGTCGCAGAGACCAGGACAGGCGCGTAGCGAGCGGATGCTCCGTTTATAAGCTCCGGTTACTCCGATTGTGTTCTAACTAATAAATAGTTCTGTGGTTAAAAGTGTTCGAATCATTAACTCCGGTTCTCCTTCTCTCAAATATAATATTCGAATATACAAGAATATAACAGCTGGCGACGAGGATGGGATCCTAGTAGGCGTAGTGAAAATCAGCCACGTGGAATTCGTGGCGAGAGTTTTGCCAGAGCCGAATGGGCGACGGTGTTCGAGAAACTACGCAACAGAGGAAGTGATTTGCCGAGAAGGAGGAAATTAAGAGAAGATGCCGACGACGAGTTCAGGCTCAGGTACGCAAAGCCCGGTATCGGGACAAAATCCACCGGCAAAGGTAGCAATTGCAAACCCTTTGCAAGTCGATGTTTTCGACCCGCAGCGGCAGCCGTTAATTCGTTGGCTGCAGCGACTTGAAGGTGCCTTTCGAGTGTTTCAAATCTCGGAAGGCGCAGAACGTGTTGCTTACTTGCTACATTTCGTAGGCGTAGAACCGTTCGGGATTTTGTGCGACCGACTGGATCCTATCGATCCATATACTCAAACGTATGAGACGTTAATTGGAAAATTAAAAGAATTTTACGCGCCCGAGCCACTAGAGATAGCCGAGATATATATTTATCGGAAGCGTATGCAACGTACAGAGGAGACTGTCCAGGAATACATGGCGGCTCTCCAGAAATTATCGCTTCACTGCAAATTTGGAGAATATCTACCAATGGAACTACGGAATCAATTCGTATTCGGCTTAAGGAATCATCGGATTCAATCGAGGTTGTTGGAGACGGCGAATCTCACGAAGGACTCCGCATTAAAAATCGCATGCGGAATGGAAATGGCGGAGAAGGGCGTTAATAAACTAAAAGAAGAAAATCATCTATCGGAAACGACCGTTGACTACATTGGAGCTGGAGCAAAACAGAAGAAGACAAAGGGCCGTGATGATCGTACTGGAAACAGAGGAAATCAACAACAAGGGTCGAGGAAGGACGCAGCGACTTCGAAGCATTCCAATCTTGGCAAACATCATAAGTATACAAATAATAAGCGTTCGAACTCGAAAGTTAATGATATTGTTTGTTATAGGTGTGGTCAGGCTCATTTGGCGCCAAGCTGTACCCTTCCTCGGAACACTAAATGTAGAGAATGCGGAGGTTTTGGGCACCTCCAAAAAGTTTGTAAGAAGAAAGGGCAGGCCCACCTGTTAGAAGAGGTGTTCCGTGTGGATGACAGAGAGCATCTCGAGCACAGGGAAAAGTACACAGTTCCGCTTCAAATAGAAAGCAAGAGAGTGACATTCGACGTAGATTGCGGCTCAGCGGTCACATTGGTGAGCGATATATGGCGTAGAGAAACGTTTCCAAATTTAAAATTATATAATACGCGTTTGAAACTGCGCTCTTATTGTAAGAAAAATTTCGTGCCTCTCGGATTTATTAAAGTAAAAGTCAAAGATATAAATGAAAATAAAATATTAAATATGTACGTGGTTAAATACGATCGAGATCCATTGTTGGGCCGGGAGTGGATTAATCAGTTGAAAATGTTAAAGAAAATTAAAGATAGTCTCTTAGAAATAGAAGACGTGCATACTCTCGACGCGTCCGGGCAAGAACGGTTGGCTAATTTATTAGAAAAATATAGAAACGTACTAAGTGACGAATTTGCAAATATTAATAAATTTCAAGCTCATCTAAAATTAAAACCAAATGTAAAGCCTGTATTTATAAAAAATCGTGCGGTACCCTTTAAAATTTTAGAAAAAGTCGAAAAAGAATTAGAAAATATGGTAAAAGCAGGCATCTTGGAAAAAGTCGAGTCTTCGAATTGGGCAACGCCAATCGTACCGGTTTTAAAAAAAAACGGCGGAATTAGAATTTGCGGTGACTACAGTATAACAGTCAATCCGTCTTTAATTATAGATGAGCACCCCTTGCCCACAATGGAAGAATTGTTCGCATCTATGTCGGGAGGCACGATTTTTTCAAAAATAGATTTAAAACAAGCATATTTGCAGTTACCGGTCGCGGAATCTGATAGAGAGATTTTAACATTAAGTACACATAAAGGTCTATATAAATGCAACCGATTAATGTACGGAGTGGCATCTGCACCCGCGATATGGCAAAGGACAATGGAAAATATACTGTGCGGAATACCCGGGGTGGCTATATTTTTAGATGATATTAGAATTGCCGGTAAAGACATAAAACAACACTGCGAGAGATTAGAACTTGTTTTGAAAAGATTATCAGAATATAATATTCGCATTAATGTAGAGAAATGCGCTTTTCTTAAAGATAAAATATCCTATTGCGGATATATAATTAGCAAAAACGGAATTTCAAAAGAACCTAAAAAAATTGAAGCAGTCCAAAAGATGCCAAGGCCAACTAATACGACGCAACTTCGCGCTTTTATTGGATTAGTAAATTACTACGGACGCTTCATCGAACATTTAAGTGATAAAATGTACCCGTTAAATAACCTGCTAAAGAAAAATGTAAAATTTAATTGGTCGAAAGAATGTGAGACGGCTTTCAGAAAAATTAAAGTAGAATTCGGAAGTAAAAAAATTTTAGTGCCTTTTAACCCAAAGTTGCCATTGATACTCGCTGTGGATGCCAGTCCGTACGGAATAGGTGCAGTCCTTTCACACATGTACCCCGATGGTACAGAACGCGTAATTCAATACGCGTCAAACACATTAAATGAAACGCAAAAGAAATACGCGCAGATTGATAAGGAGGCTTTTGCAATTGTTTTCGGGATTAAAAAATTCCATCAATTTTTGTATGGAAATCATTTTACGCTTTTAACGGATAATAAGCCGTTGGCACAAATTTTAAACCCGCAAAAAGGCCTTCCGGCATACAGTGCACTGCGCATGCAGCACTATGCCGTGTTTTTGCAGGCTTTTAATTTTGATATAAAGTATCGTAAATCCATAGATCATTGTAATGCAGATGGGTTCTCACGATTGCCCATACAAGAGAAAAGCGTAGGAAAATTCGACGTAATTGATGTATTGCAAATGGAAAACGTAGAAACATTACCGGTAACTGCAAAAAGTATTAGAGATGAAATAAATAAAGATGCGTTATTATTAAAAATTCGTCAAACCTTGATAAAAGGCAAAAGTTTAGTTCCGCTGGGTTATAATGATGGCGAGTTTGCGTTGCAGGATGGTATCGTGTTTAGAAAAGAGAGAATAGCTATCCCGAAAAGCTTAAGAAGTAAAGTATTAAAAGAATTGCACGCAGGGCATTTTGGAACGGTAAAAATGAAAAAACTTAGTCGAAATTTTTGTTGGTGGCCAAAAATAGACAAAGAAATAGAAGAAATAACTAAAAATTGTAAAGCATGTGCCACGTTTTTAAATAATCCAAGAATCAAAGTTAAACACGCCTGGGAAGCGGCGTCAGAACCTTTTGAGCGCGTACATATAGATTTCGCGGGGCCGTTTATGAGCCACACTTTTCTAGTATTGGTCGACTCGTACACAAAATGGCCTGAAGTTCACATTGTAAAAAACATGTCCGTCCAAAACACGATAGAAAAATGTAGGGAAATATTCGCAAAATTCGGATTGCCACGAGTCCTAGTGTCGGACAACGGGCGAACATTTATTGCAGAAGAATTCGAAAATTTTCTTAGAATAAACGGAATATACCATAAGCGCACAGCACCCTACCATCCTGCTACAAATGGTTTAGCGGAACGTTTCGTACAAACGTTAAAAAAATCACTACGAAAATTAAATATTAGTAATGGCAACATTAAGACCAATCTACAGAAATTTCTATTTCAGTATAGAGTAACACCTCATGCAGAATTAGATAAATCTCCGGCGGAAGCCATGTATAACCGTAAATTAAGAAGCAGATTGGACTTAATGTTCCCGAAAACTAATAAAGAAATTGAAATGGAAAATATAATAGTTGTAAGAAATTTTAAAGAAGGCGAAAGAGTCGCCGTGCGAGAATATTTAAACAAAAACGTAAAATGGCGATTTGGGAGAGTATTAGCTAAGCTAGGGAAATTACATTACTCAGTTAAATTAGACAACGGAAAAATTTGGAAACGTCACTCAGATCAAATAAGGAAAATAGGAGAAAAAATTAGTGCCCCGATTGATGAGGCGAATAACCTTGGTGAGGCTGACCATTATGGTCCAGTCGAGGTAGCACGGGATGTTCTAACTCCAAGCGATAACGAGCAAGCGAAAACTGTGCACAAAAACTCTGACCCTGCCAGCTCGAGTTGCTACTCCGAAAATCCCAATACAACGGAATCCGAGGAAGGGGAAGCTGCAAGAGCCGACGACACACGCACGCGTAAATCAAAAATAAGTTTGGAACAAAATGTAAACGAAAACAATGAGGGCCGACCTCAACGTTATAGAAAACCGCCTGATAGGTACGGTATATATATTTAACACAAATTTAAAGTGTATACAAGGAAAATTATATATTAGTTTTAAGTAAAATTGTAGCTGCGAAATTATGATAAAATTGTTAAGACACTCAGTTCAATTTCACAGGGGGAAGAGCTGTTATGTATTTGAGATGTATATGGAGAGTTGCGCGCCGCGAGGTAAAGGAGCCTAATCGTGACACCTTTCGGCGTTATCGTTCTAGTTTACCCCCGAATATCGTCTAAAGCCCGGCTTTTAGCCGAGTCATCGTCTCCCGCTGTCGCAGAGACCAGGACAGGCGCGTAGCGAGCGGATGCTCCGTTTATAAGCTCCGGTTACTCCGATTGTGTTCTAACTAATAAATAGTTCTGTGGTTAAAAGTGTTCGAATCATTAACTCCGGTTCTCCTTCTCTCAAATATAATATTCGAATATACAAGAATATAACAAAAGAATAGATAATTGTTTCCTGTTTGGCGAAGAAAATTACTTTATATTATTTTTTCATAATTATGCACACGCATTAAACGAACCTTATGTGGTTTTACATTGTTTACAATGCACATTGCTTCAATCACTAAAAGCACTCCTACTGGTGGCCTCTTCATCGCTTTTACTTCCACAATATCGTTCTTATTTAATGCTTTCAAGCTAGCCTCGGCAGCTTCGAGCATTGGTTTTATTTCATCTGTAAATATATAAAATATATAATTTATATAAACAGGTCATTACAGTTTTGCGTACAATTCCTTTCAGTATTATTTGAACTTATCTAAATATGTGTAAATCTGCGATTTTTCTCAAATATATTCTTCAGATAAACAGAAAATAATCAAGATTATGAGACATTGACTTCATAACTCTTCGATATTTTATCTCTGATACTAAAAATTTTTTAACAAGAGGCTTTCATAGATTTATATATGCCGAACTTTTATTTTTATTTATTTGTATACTGCATATATACATATAATTTTTTTACTCATGTTTGCGAGCTGCGCATAAATACTTATGTATATGCACTCGCGTGAGCTTTTACGTTTGTAATATTACAAAAACCCTTGTCGAGATTTTGATATTTAAACTGCGTATGGCTGAGCAATACATTTTCCCAAAAGCAAAAAAATAAATAACATATTACATATTCATTGTTTACATATTTCAACACGATATTCTGCAACACGATAAAAATATTATTTCCAACATACTTCTATATTCCCAACAGATTTAAACTAATTGTAAGTTATAAAGATACAGACGGTGAGAGAACTAATCACGTATATTGATGAGTAAAGTTATGCATTAAAATTTATCTAGACATATGATAGTTAATAAACAGCTCTTCATAAGATAATGAAATTTTTGAATATAAATCCTAATCCTCTATGTATACAATCTTTTATACATACGATAGATATAATCTATATTCCGAAAATATCAAAATCGAGTAAATTCTCGAATCATTCTAAAAATAAACATACTTCTACGTTAACATTTGTAAATATAAGTAAATATAAGTTGAGAAATGTTTGAACCTGGAAAGGATAGATAATTTTATTTGCTGTCAAGTGATTCACAAAGTATGCATGATGAGGAAATTATTATTTGAATCAATATAGTGCGTTTGATATTCTTTTGTTATTATAAAATATATATAATAAAAAAAGAGAAATAAATAATAATAAAAAGGTGATTAAAGTGAGATTTGCGTCTCACGTTTTCTTGTCACGTCTCTTTTCTTAATTTTGTTGCAAATATTTAGTGCTGTGCAAATGCATACAATTGTGTGTAAAAAAATATGAAGTATACTGCTCTCGCAGAGCGAGAAGTTTCTAAGCTTAATAAGAATAAAACGCACTCAAATCAGCTTCCGCTTCATCTCTAATCGTTTTATTCTCTGCCTTCATTTTGGATGCTACCGCTTCTTGTTGCATCGCTATTAGTTTGGCATTTTCCGCTTCAATCTACAACAAGTATATATATATATATATATATATATATATATATATTTCCTGATAAAGCATATCTCTTGTAAAAGATGTATTAAATTGTATGATATAAATATTCAGAAATTGAACAGCAAAAATGATTGAATTTATCCTGCCTATATAAAGTAAAATTAATATTAAAATAATTTTACACAGGCAGATAAATTCAATCCATTGTTACTATTTTTTCTATCGAAACATGCAATTTCTGAACATTTATATTACACGATTTAATACGTTTTTCATAAGAATATACTTTAATTTAATATGTTTTTCTGAAACAAGATTGAGGAAAAGTAATATTATTATTAAAATAATTTTATTAAAAATATAAAAATAAAATTATATAATAAATGCATATAAAAATAATATTGATGTAATTATAATTGTAATAATTATTTCCTATAATATTAGATTGTAATTCTTATTTCTTATACATATGTGTTTGTCATAAATAACATTTATAATTATTGAGGAAATGTAATAGTTTGTTAGGAGATTTTTTGATCATATTCCTTCACTTTTTCAAGCTAGAATTTTTTATTTTATTTTCCCGGCATGGACATTTGATCATTAAAGTTTCGAACATGTTTTTTATAACAATTGTGTACTTTCCAAACAAATTATTTAACTAAATAAAAAGTAGGAGAATTTTTTATCAAAACTCTTTATCATATATGTTTATTTATAGAACATAATTTTGCTTTGATGCACAATCAAACAGCTAAAAAAACTGAAATATAATTTTGTCTTAAAATTACAAAGAGTTTTAATTGATATGTACATTTTAATGATCAAAATTTACTGTATGTTATATATATTGAAAAATACCTGTTTTTTTTATTATAGCGATATTTTTTCTTGACAAGTTAAAAACTGCAATATTTTGTTTAAATATTATTATCCTCAATCAATATCTCATACTTTGTCTCGTGTCGTAACACGAATTTGAAGGAAATTTTGTTAACATTTTAATTTATTCGAAACGTTACAAAATTAAAACTATTTTAATTAATAGGATTAAGAATAGCTAAAAGGTCATTTTTTGCAAAAACTTGCAAAAGCTTTAAACAATTTTATCAACATCGTTAAAAGTTAATGTACTAGATTATCTCGTTTTATTATATATCTTTTATATAATATATAGATGTCTTACAAGTTATCAAAGAGATTATGAAAGATCAAATAAATCATGAAAACTCAAATCTTCTTTTGACAATTCAGATATAGATTTTAATTATAAAAGTATAATTAAAATTAGAATATTAATTAGACAAGATTCTTTGTTAATTTATAAGTTACATTTTTTTGTATGAGAGACGACATTACATTTGACGAGGATAAAATTTTCTTCAACAAATTAATGCTTACCGTGTCTTGGGTAATTTTTTGTATCGTTTCTACTGTAGCTTTCGTTGCTTTTTCTATCCCAGGCTTCATACGTTTTAATAGCTCCTGCATATCTTTAACTTCTGCTTCTGTGTTCGTCAGTTTATTTAATCCTATTTAGGAAAGGTGCGTGTTCAATTACAAAGACACAACTGTATGCTGATTTATGCAAATCAGATGAAGTCATTTGCATAGCCTTGTGTTTTAAAGTCAAGACAGGGACGCTAAATTTTCTTCATGATTACATTTTAAAGCTCTATTAGATCTCCATTTTGCCACGATGTTAATAGATAAGAATTAAGAACATAGTTTCTCTAGAATTTTCTCTATTATGTATAATGATATTGAGATAATTTATGCTTCTTGTTAATAATAATAGAATAAATAAAATTAAAATGCAATATAAATAAAATAAAATTAAAATATTACATAAATACATATTGCAGGGAGTTAATACAAATGAGATATTTCATTTCCTATCTTCTAACATGCGAGTAATATCTGCGATCTGCCAACTCGATATCACAAAATTACCACGAGCTGCCGTCAGACAGTCGGCGTTAATTTACGAACTGGAAAATTATCGATAGCGGTCATTTACCTTTGACCTATGACATCCGTCTCCTGTTACGTTCAATGTACGCCGCCGATAAAATAAGAAATGGAAATTCAATAAAACAATGATTTTTGTTTTAACCCAGTTCAGTTTGAGTACTTTAAATTGAAATTAAGTTTAATTGAAGTATAATGCTAAAGAGAAATTTTTAAAATTTTATTTCTCAAATCTTTCACATATTTTATATTATTTATTTTATTCGCAAAATATTAAACGTTTTTATAATTTTGAAAATATTATTTTAAAATTCTTATAGAATGTTTATATCGTAAAGAGTAATATATCCTATACATTGTTTGATATTATATATCTAAAAACTACATTTGAATTAAAATATAATTAGTACAATTTATATTCAAAATTTTTCTATATATTTTCTAGAGCAATTGAAGCTATTATTTTAATTTTATTCAATATTTATTAATTTTTCAACTTTACTCACCGGTAGACAAATGAGTCATCGAAGAATTTAATTCGTTTTTCTTCTTTTTTAAGAGATTACTATAACTGGACAATAATTCCAAATACGATGTAGGAGTGACGTAATTATGACGATCCAGTTCCTAAAGTAAATTTTATTCGGCATAAGATGTCTATCTTATATGCAAATAAAATTATATACTCACTTTCAAGAATCGATCACTGGCGTCGATCACGCTGGTATGCATACATTGACATATCCTTACAATAGATCGCAAAGTTTCATCTGTGATCGATTCGTCTTTGATATTCAACAAAAAATGCGTTGCTACGCTCTAAACAGAAATATATTCTAGTTGATACTCGAACAATTATATATATCCCATTTTTTCGTAATATAATTCAAAATATTCATTTTCACATTTTTGTGACAAGTTTCATGAAATTAACAAATTATCTATATGCGTTATATGAACATGCTGCAACTCCCATTTTCGTATGTAAGATTTTTACTATAAAACATTTCTCCGAGGGAGATCGGAAGCGGAATTCAAAATATAATGAATAATATTTGTATGCATATCGCTTTTTATTTATTTATTTATTATTTTACAAGTCTACTGAAGCTTCTAATATAAAAAAAATTGTTTAAAATATTCCCAATACATAATGCTTCATATAATATTAAAATTTTATAATAATTCTGTCAATAAACTGACTACATTTTATTAATTCTAGATTTAAAACTTACTTGAAATTTATATACACACTGTATATAATAATGATAAAATACTGTACAAATACATGTGTACAGTAAATCAATATTTAAAATATGTATAATATTGATTTGGAGGGTATTTTTACTAAAACGCTTTTATAATAGAGAATTGCGGAGACAGATATATTTTTAGTCATTTCACGCTTTATCGTATTATACAAACCTGAAGTGCGGTATCCGGCCAGGGGCAAAACCAATCAATCGTACAGTAATTTACTAGTGCTGGGAATTGTCTGATGCGAGCGCGAAATATATCTCCAATCGGGCTAAATATTGGAAATGTGTAAGAACACCAAATTAATTCTGCGCAAATGTATGTGTGATTAAAAATGCAAAATACAAAAATTGTATGTTTTATGATTCGGCAAATAGCAACATATAAAGAGATATTAATTGTTGGATGATTATTAGAATGCAGAATGTAGTGCATTTGCAATAGAATTTTTATTACGAGGGATTGAATAATCAATCAATTAATTATGAGTGATTTATTTATTTTATGAAAAATCGATATAGATATGGAATGAAGATTCGTTCTAGTTTGAACATATTAGTTGAACGATCAATATTCCATTATTTCCTCGACTTTGCTGCCGCGTTTTCATATTTTATCTACTTTTACGTTTCTCGTCAATGTTTTAAAATTTAATCTTTTACATATTATCAATTTTTATCAGATTTTATTATACATTGTATAGATTATTTTAAGTTAAAATAGCTGCATAATGTTACAATTAAAATTGTTATTCTCATGTCTTTATAGTTTATAATTTGACATTTATAAAAAAGGATGCATAATAACATTACTCTGCTTCCTAAAAAGTTTTTAATTTACTCCTTTAATTTAATAAATTATATTAAGCAAGATACAAATTTTAATGTTTATTTTCACGGAAGATGTTCTTCAAAATTTTGAGTAATCTAAGTTTTGAAATTAATAAGATATTACATATAGAATGTATAATTTGCTTCAAGTTAAATTTATGTTTGTTTTTCTTAAATTAATATTAGGAACTGAAAATTATTATAAAATGAGTAATTGACTAATTTGATTAATTTTCAAAATAGGAATCATCGTTATTATATATATAGTTTATTATATTTTATACGAGAGATAATAGTAATTTCTATATGAATATTAATAAAACAAATAAATTTTCATAACTTATCCTTTCCAGATCTATTGATCGATCCTTAACATTATTTCGTATTATGACACGGCACGTGATATGATATTAATTTCACAGCTATTAGACTCGTATGACACCTAGACTGGGTTTGCTTTGACGCTTATAACGCTGAAAGCGTCCAAAGCGAACGCAGCTCTACATCAAAATCGTGTCTACTTGTCGTAAATGTCCCAATCTTACGAATCTTTACCGTAGATTTATATCGTGACAAATGATAATTCAGATTTGCGTGACTTAATGTTCAACATTTTAGAACTACTGATAAGAGTGATATATATTTTTTTTGTTTCCACAAAAAGTAACATCACATAAATTTGCGTATAAATTTCTTAAAATTGCAAATTAATCATTTTATAAATAAGAAAAACGTGGTTTTAAAATTTTTGTTATTGTTAGAAATAATTATTCAATTAAATTTCTTTAAAAATGCTAAAATGGTATTAATAATCATATAAAATTTACAAAAAAGTACCTCATTGTGATGACAATATGCAAATTATTTCTGACTCTCTTCAGATAAGTGGAAAAAAGATTACTCTTGTTGATTGGTAGGCTAATCTCTTGTACTAGCGCTCGCATTGCTTGATAATTTTTGTCTACTTCATCAGCTTGGTATATGTTCGGAATATCACCACTATTTAAAATGTTGTTCAGGTCCTCCAGCATGGAATTATTCTTTATCTAGAAAAACGTATACGGATTACATATCAAACATGTAAAAGAGAAAATAGCTGTAATTATAATCCCACAAAAAAAGACATCACAGATGTAAAAAAAAAGCGCTAAGTTATATCTTTCGTCAGCAAAAATAGTTCTTTATAATAATAAAAATATAATCTTCTCAAAAATTATGTTTATAGCCAAAATAATTCTTTGCAAAATTAATCATTATCAAAAATATTTCTCAAAAATTATATTTATAAATTATATTTTATTTTTGTTAATAATACTAGAAAAAATTAAAATATTAGCATCAAAAAGTAGTGAAATCAAAAAATTGCGCTAAATAATTATATTGATAATACGAGAAAAAAGGTTAAAATATTAGCATCAAAAAGTAGTCAAATCAAAAAGTTGCACTAAGTAAGTGACAACATAATATATAATATTTAGATAAATTTCTTATAATGATACAAATGTATAATTATTGCTTTATTTTAAAACGTTTATAATATATACAATAACAAATAAATTCAGTAAAATATATATATATATATATATTATTCATCTTTATATTTAAATAACATGAATAATTATGTAATTAATTTAAACTGGAATGTATATACATTGTAAAGTTATTATATATTTTTATAAAATATTTAGATAAATAGATATATATAAAAAATAAATTATTTATCTCTAAATAATTATTTAATTCAAATATATTTAAACGTATATTCAAAAAAGGTAATATAAGGCACAAAGAATTAAATTTAGGAAATTAAAAAAATTTAAAGTTAAATAAAAATTTTTAATTTAAATTAAAAAATAAAAGTAAAAATAAAAGTAAAAAAAATGTAATGTACAAAAAATACTTAGCGCTGTTTTTGTATTGTTATTTTAACACATTAGTAAATAAAATAAAATATAAATCAAAGTATAGACTAATTTTTTTACTGCAATACGCTTCAATAGAAATCTATAAACATATTACGTGGCTCGATATTCGAATGACATGTGGCTAGCTGAACATATCGATATACATGTATGAAATATATGTATATAATGTAACATGCAATAATTGTCATATTAAACAGATTCAACGATTGGGCAATGTGAATGGGCTAAGTGAAAATTATAAAAATGAATTTACTATACATTAATATATGCTAAAGACGTATACATATACATATATATGTTATTAATATATGTATACCAGGGTTGGGAAGTAACGAGTTACTTGTAACGAAGTTACAGTTACAGTTACTTTTTTTCGGTAACTATAACTTAACTTCGTTACTTTTTTCCATCTGTAACTGTAACTGTAACTTAGTTACATTTTTTTAGTAACTAGTAACTATTTTAATAGTTACTTTATTAGTTACTTTTTTTGGAAACATGCGCTAAAAGTATTGTTTAAGTATGGTAGCCGTTATATTATTAAATTAAATTTTGATAACAGTAGCATATGGATCTTCATATGATTTAATCTTTTACCTAAAATTTTCATTTTGTGTACATAAAATAATATAACACATAATTAAGATCGACCAATCACAGTCAAATATTTAAAAAAATTCTTAAAGGTAATAATTGATCGATTTGCTTGCGACTTTGCGATTACCATTTAGTAACTTACTATAACTATTTTTACTGTTGTATATAAAGATCATTCATACATTGATGTTAATTGCAAAGTCGCAAGCAAATCGATCAATATTACATTCAAGAATTTTTTTAAATACTTGACTGTAATTGTGCATAAAATGTAAGCTCCTTATATTTAAAACAATGTATAATTATTTTTAAAAAGTAACTGAAAAGTAACGACTCGTTACTTTTAGAGTAACTGTAACTGTAACGAGTTATTTTTTAAAATCGGTAACTTGTAACTGTAACTAGTTATTTTTTCAATGAAATAACTGTAACTGTAACTAGTTACTTTTACAAAGTAACTTTCCCAACCCTGATGTATACATATATTAATTAATGTATATGGAGCATTTCAAAGTGTTTAATTGATCAATCAAAATATAAATGAATAAAAATTTCTTTATTCTGATACATGTTTTAAAGCATTTGCAATGTTTTCCTGATCGCAATCAAAGTTTCGAGATAGATGTTTAAAGCGCATTATTTTCATTATGAATTTTTTTATAAAAAGATTCAAATATAATTTCATGATTCTTTAATTTCGACTTATTTTGACTTCATCATTTCACTCTCCAAAGATAGGATGCGACTTCTGTGTGTGATATATTCTGTATATACACATTTCGTTACTAATCATCATTTTTAAGGACGTTTCGTAGTCAAAGGGCTATAATACAAAAACAGCGCTAAGTATTTTTTGTACATTACATTTTTTTTACTTTTATTTTTACTTTTATTTTTTAATTTAAATTAAAAATTTTTATTTAACTTTAAATTTTTTTAATTTCCTAAATTTAATTCTTTGTGCCTTATATTACCTTTTTTGAATATACGTTTAAATATATTTGAATTAAATAATTATTTAGAGATAAATAATTTATTTTTTATATATATCTATTTATCTAAATATTTTATAAAAATATATAATAACTTTACAATGTATATACATTCCAGTTTAAATTAATTACATAATTATTCATGTTATTTAAATATAAAGATGAATAAATATATATATATATATATATTTTACTGAATTTATTTTGTTATTGTATATATTATAAACGTTTTAAAATAAAGCAATAATTATACATTTGTATCATTATAAGAAATTTATCTAAATATTATATATTATGTTGTCACTTACTTAGTGCAACTTTTTGATTTGACTACTTTTTGATGCTAATATTTTAACCTTTTTCTCGTATTATCAATATAATTATTTAGCGCAATTTTTTGATTTCACTACTTTTTGATGCTAATATTTTAATTTTTTTCTAGTATTATTAACAAAAATAAAATATAATTTATAAATATAATTTTTGAGAAAATATTTTTGATAATGATTAATTTTTGCAAAGAATTATTTTGGCTATAAACATAATTTTTGAGAAGATTATATTTTTTATTATTATAAAGAACTATTTTTGCTGACGAAAGATATAACTTAGCGCTTTTTTTTTACATCTGTGATGTCTTTTTTTGTGGGATTTCACATATTTTTGCAAAGATCATTAAACAAAATGCATTAAATAAATGTATATTTTTTTATATTTATAATGAGAGAAGACGAGAGAGAGCAAGAGGACCCAAGAGAGAGAGCGGGAGAGAGCAAGAGGGAGCAAGAGGGAGCAAGAGAGAGCGAGAGAAAGCGGGAGAGAGCAAGAGAGAGCGAGAGAGAGCGAGAGAGAGAGCGATAGAGAGCGATACAAAGCGGGAGAGAGCGAGAGAGAGCGATAGAGAGCGATAGAAAGCGGGAGAGAGCGAGAGAGAGCGGAAAAAAACGAGAGAGAACGAAAGAGAACGAGAAAGAGCGGGAGAGAACAAAAGAAGGCGAGAAACAGCGAGAGAAAGCGAGAAAGAGCGAGAAAAACCGAGAAAGAGCGAGAGAAGACAAGAGAGAGCAAGAGAACGCGAGAGAGAGCGGGAGAGAGCGAGAAAACGCGAGAGAGAGCGGGAGAGAGCGAGAGAACGCGAGAGAGAGCGGGAGAGAACGAGAGAACGCGAGAGAGAGCGGGAGAAAGCGAGAGAACGCGAGCGAAAGCGGGAGAGAGCGAAAGAACGCGAGAGAGAGCGAAAGAAAGCGAGAGAGAGCGAGAGTAAGCGAAAAAAACCGAGAAAGAGCGAGAGAAGACGAGAGAGAGCGAGAGAGAGCGAGAGAAAGCGAGAGAAGGCGATAGAGAGCGAGAAAAAGCGATAGAGAGCGGGAGAAAGCGAGAGAGAGCGAGAGAGAGCGAGAGAGAACGAGAGAGAGCGGGAGAGGACGAGAGAAGGCGAGAAACAGCGAGAGAAAGCGAGAGAGAGCGGGAGAACGCGAGAGAGTGCGGGAGAGAGCGGGAAAGAGCAAGAGAGAGCGAGAGAGAGCGAGAGAGGGCGAGAGAGGGCGAGAGAGAGCGAGAGAACGGGAGAGAACGAGAGAAGGCGAGAAACAGCGTGAGAAAGCGAGAGAGAGCGAAAAAAACCGAGAGAGAGCGAGAGAAGACGAGAGAGAGCGAGAGAACGCGAGAGAGAGCGGCAGAGAGCAAGAGGGAGCGAGAGACAGCGAGAGAGGGCGAGAGAGAGCGAGAGAGAGCGATACAAAGCGGGAGAGAGCGAGAGAAAGCGAAAGAAAGCGAGAGAGAGCGGGAGAGAACGAGAGAGAGCGAGAAACAGCGAGAGAAAGCAAAAAAAACCGAGAGAGAGTGAGAGAAGACGAGAGGGAGCGAGAGAGAGCGAGAGAAGACGAGAGAGAGCGAGAGAACGCGAGAGAGAGCGGCAGAGAGCAAGAGGGGCGAGAGACAGCGAGAGAGGGCGAGAGAGAGCGAGAGAGAGCGATACAAGCGGGAGAGAGCGAGAGAAAGCGAAAGAAAGCGAGAGAGAGCGGGAGAGAACGAGAGAGAGCGAGAAACAGCGAGAGAAAGCGAAAAAAACCAAGAGAGAGTGAGAGAAGACGAGAGGGAGCGAGAGAGAGCGAGAGAGGCCGAGAGAGCGCGAGAGAGAGAGCGGGAGAGAGCGAGAGAGACCGGAAGAAAGCGAGAGAGCGAGAGAGAACGAGAGAAGGCGAGAAACAGCGAGAGAAAGCGAGAAAGAGCGAAAAAAACCGAGAGAGAGCGAGAGACGAGAGAGAGCGAGAGAACGCGAGAGAGAGTGGGAGAGAGCGAGAGAACGCGAGAGAGAGCGGCAGAGAGCGAGAGAACGCGAGAGAGCGGTAGAGAGCAAGAGAGAGCGAGAGACAGCGAGAGAAAGCGAGAGAGGGCGAGAGAGAGCGAAAAAAGACGTGGGAAAGCAAGAGAGAAAGGGAGAAAAAAGGGGGGAGAGAGAGGGGAGAGAGAGGGGGGAGAGAGAGAGAGAGAGAGTGAGAGAGAGCGAGAATTTATTTTTCGTTTGGTTGCTTAAAAGGTTAAGCAGCTGAGGAAAATGTCACTATACTAGGATGGGTGACCGCGGATAAGGTAAAGCAGCTTCGGACAGAATCACTTTGTCGGGATGGGTGCCGCGGACAAGTACGACGCCGTAGTCTTAAAAAAAAGTGACACCTTTTCGACCAAAAAATAACTTGAAAAATTCATATCTCCGCAACCAATAGAGCTATCAAGTTCGTTAAGGTCTCATTTTACTCGGAAAAAATCGCGCTTTCGATTGATAGGGTCATCTTTTGAAAAATATGTTTCCGTTCATGAAATATTTCAAATTTTTGTTTTCAAGGTTACGAAAATCGTGTTACGTCCGGTAAAGGATACACAGTAGCGTCCTACGGATAATTTTCGCTATTGTTTCGATATTTTCGCTATCTTTTCGATATCTTTCGATATTTTTTTTTGTTTTTTTGTAGATTGTATTTTAATTTGACGAATGAAAGATATAACTTAGCGAGACGCTACCGCGTCTCCTGATATATCAATATAATCTCTCTGATTTAATTCTGAAGTAAAATAATTTAATCCGTTTAAAGCGGATAGACATTATTTTCAATGCAAAATACCTATAGCAGAATATATAATTTTATTATTATTATAAAATAAAGCATTTTTCTTTAAAGCACATACCATGTGTTTACTGCAATATTATAAGTGTTTTAAGAAATTCCTTATAAAATTATTATTTGGTACTAATGTTGCCTCGGTTCCTTTTTTATTGAATGTTATTTATTATTTATTATGTTAAATACAAATACGAACAAAGATGCAGACAACAGAACATGACAAATTTTTTATTCAAGTATACTCAAAATTTTAGTTGACAATCTGACTTAATTTTACCTGCGTGTCAGAAAACAGAAAGACGATAGACTGATTCCGTAATCCTGCTTTTAGCATTACGTTTTTGATATCATTTTGCCAGTCATAGGTCGTATATACTTTGCTAATTCCAATCTGGAAACAGTTATACTCTTGAATGTGCGATGCAAGCTTCGTCAGACTTTGACGTCCTAGTTGAGATAAAAAAGTGTTTTGCTTCATTCGCATCTTATTCTAGACGCAATATTATGAACACAATTTCTTTAGTCAGCAAGTTCTTTAAATTGAAGAAGCAAGAAGTCAATATGAAATTTATGGAAATACAAAGAAAAGAAAAAAATATTCAAATGTCAATTAATCAAATGAATAAGCTGTTTATCGAAGCGATTACGCGGTTATACAGAATATTATTAATATTAAAATTAATATTCTTACGAAGTCAGTTTTAAATTGATTTCTAAACTTACAAAAAATATGCATTAGGTATAATTACATGAAGCATTTAGTAAACATTTAAAATTAATTCTTAAAGTTGATTAATTAACTAATATCTTTATCGAACGCATCTTTTATATACGAGAATTTAAATTAATTTTAAGATTACTGTATTAATTATAGAATTATAGAAATATTTTGATATATTTTAATCGTATGCAATATATGCAGCATACCTGAACCACCCATTCCTAATAATAAGACGTTTCCTCTAGGTTGTCGAAGAATCCGCATGATTCTACAAATGTGATTCATTGCATCTTCAAATAGTACTAATTGCATCGGCGATGTCGTTGAGTTATTATAATCGTCCAAAAAATCAAGTAAAATTTTTCCATCTATAAATATATAAAAAAGGTCGAAATACATTTTATTAATAATAACTTATAAAAAATTTAAAAAGATAAATATATAAACTTTTTAAATTTTATGGAATCAATATCTACTATACATAAATTTTACGCTATATTTGCGTTTTTAATAATATATCTTATATGAAATCATACGCACAATATACACACTTAAAAATTTAAAAATATAATTATTAAATTATATATATATATATATATATAGATATATATATATATATATTACTATTAATTATTAATTTTCTTATCAAGTTTTAATAATTAGTAATTATTAATTTTATAATTAAATATTTATACAAATTTATTGAAATACTACTTTAGTAATTTTACTGCTGTCGAATCAACATCTTGAAAGGTACATTACATTATTTTTATATTATTTTAAATTTCTTTGTTAACAACTTTGTAAATTATTGTTTCATATCTTAATCATTGTATATTTTTATTGTGCAGTTACACTTGAAAAGGACCCGTACCTAAGGGTCGAAACGTAGTGTTTCTAATTAAATTGTACTGGCCAGTTAGGACGAAATTTCAATAAATTTGTATGGTTTTACTCATCACTGGCGACTTTATTAATTTTATCGTTATTAAATATTTATATTAATATTATATATGCATACGTGTAATTATATACATATTATGTATTATAAAATATTAAATATATATTAAATATTAAATTTAAAATTATTCTAACTATAAATGAAATTAATTACTTTTTTCATATCTGTTATCTGTTCATACTCTTTCGCTGGGCCACAAAAGTCACCATAAAATAATAGTTTCTTCCCAATAAAATTATCGATGTCACAATGGAAATTTTTGTTTAATATTTCTCGCAAGAATTTATCAAACCATTTTTTATCTTCGTCATCAATTAATCGATCACTGAAGACTCGAATATTTTCATGATACCAAAGTAACAATAATTTTTCTCGAGTCTATATAAAAGAAAAATCAAGTGACACAAATATGATACATATATATATATATATATATATATATATATATATATATATAGGATAATATCTACAGATTAATTAAATCTATTACAAAAGGCATGACACATGTAAATTGTTGTTTTAATCCCACAAATGTGTTTTTATTTTGTTTATCTGGGCTGTACAAAATATCCAATTTCACGTCAGTATTAAATAAAGTATTCAACTTAATTAAAGTCATCTCTATTTAAAGCAATCAAAGATGAATTGCAAATATATAGCAATGTTCCTCGATTTATGTATAGATTACTTTACTTTGTCACGTATAAAAAAAAACCATTTAAATAACATTTTTTATTTCACTTTTGTGTAAAACAGATTAATTCTTATTTTATCTTATTTTAACTTTTTAATAACGCCTGCTATATTGCCACGAGCGCCGCATATGCATGAGCTAAAACTGAAAGAAAGGTTTGTCTGATCATACACGTGTTTTAATTACTCGAGCACATAGACTTTTATCGAACAATTCTTTTCATGGCGCAGAATAGTCTGCTATTATCGACGTATCTTTGTTTAAGCAGCTTGTTATTAATTCCGCGACAATTTTCCTTTCAGTAAAATACAATCAATTTTTAAATTAGAAAGTTAATATAATAATACATAAAACTTATACTAACTAGCATTTTTCTTGCGTCCGCCATAAGTACACCTTGGAATACCTTACTCAAATCGCGGAGATTGAAAGTATAGTGGGATTTATTAGGAGTCGGCAACATTTCGCTGCATGTAATTGTAAAAATTTTTAAAGTAGCGTTCACTATATCGTCCAGCATATTTCCAAGTTCTGGTGTATTTGACAGCCACGAATTAAAAATGGTTTTGAAGATATGCGACTGTAAATTAAATATAAAGCATATCAAATTAAATAATTATATTTATAGATATATCTATTTTGAATTTTAAAAATATTATCTTATATACAGATATTTAATTTTTTTTTTCATAAATATAGAATAATTACATAGCATTCATTTTTATATCTAAATATCTTAAGCAATAGGAATTAATGTTTCTTGGCATACATTCCGACTCTCCACTCTCTTCTATTTCGCATTTAATTCAACATTAATTAAAATTACACTAATTTTAAATTTAAAAGCTGTTCAAACTTTTTCATTTAAACTTACTTTAATAGAACTTTAATCTTACCATTACGCAAGGTATGTTCAATGTTAATTCTTATAAGATAATCTAATAGAATTTCTCTCGAAATATCTCACAAAAATCACTTAAAAAATTAAGTTTTAGTTTTAATTTTAATTCAAAAATTATTAAGAGAGAACATAAAGTAAGTTTTCCAGTCAGGGTGTCTAGCAGTCATGGAAATTTGAAAATCCTGGAAATGTCAGGGAATTTTCGGATTTCTGGAAAAGTCGTAGAAAAGTTATGAAATTTTGTGACTTTTTGTAATTTTTTAAAATCCTTTAAAAATGACATTTGTTGAATTGAAAATCAGGGAATTTTACCGCTTGGCTTTGACTAGACACCTTGCCAGTGATAAACTTATTCTAACCACAGATTTATATTAAAAGACGATCATCACCCCACTGTAATTAAAATCTTACTTATTGTTTCAATTTTTATTACATTCAGTATTAATTATATCACTCTTATATAATTTAATATTTAATTAGCCAATGTTAGATAATATCTAAGGATACTAGAACTGAAGAAATTCTCTGCAAGGGTACGAATACTATGAATGTATTTGACACGAATATTTAACCAACGGTATTTAAACGCGGACCCGCCTCATCGACCTTGGACGAAACGTACACAGAAAGTCTCGCGGGTGCGCAGAGTCGGTGAGGTTGATTATGGTCTTCATTATATCAGCCGAGCAGGTGATTATGATAAATTATGGTCGATATGGTCACGATTTACGGCGTCTAATTGCGGCGGGCACGAAGGAACAAGGCAAACAGCGGCTATGATGCCACGGTGTTCCGTCTTTTCCAAAGGGTCGCGATTACGCGCTTGGGCGTGGATGCCGATTCAATGGAAGAAAACTTGACGACGCAGTGGAAGGAAACGTACATGTAGTCAAGTAAGTGCACTTTCAAGCGTAACAAAATCTGATGTCGGAGATGATTTTTCATTGAATTTCAAGCTTGACACGATAAGTCAAATCGTAATATTCGTTCAATATTATTCGATAAATGTCTCGATTCTGAATTTTCTATATAAAATTACAAGACTCTTGCCTAGTATTCGTCTGTAAAGTATCTCATATGATATCTTATTCTGTTAGTTCTTTACTGATAATTTTTATTTGTGATTTCTCTCTCTTATCGATTACACAGGCCGACAAAAAAAGCTTTTTTCAAACCCATAAATCAGATTAAGTGACCTCGAAGATTTTTTGTATTCGGGACACGAAAAAACCTTCGGAGTCACTTAGTCTGATCTATGGGTTAAAATTGTCGGCCTGTGTTATCTTGTAAATATATTTGTGTACAAATCAATATATTTTTAATATAAAATATAGTTAATTTTTAAAGTATGTTGTTAAAGATTTTAATAATTAAATTTTGTAGATTGAAAAGTATTATATTATACATTTCAAAGAAGTGGATTCATTATCTTTTTATATTTTTATAATATATTGCTTTAAATAATAGATATTAAAGTATAAAAGAAAAAAAATTGAACATTTTTGAGATGAGCGAGAATTTATTCAATCAAGGATTTTCTTTTTACTCGACAATTATAACTTCAGAAAAATCACGCGCGCGGAAATTTCACGCTTTTATTTCTAGACAAAAATAATGTGATTGATACCCTGAAAGATCGTCGATAAATGCAAGCAATTAGCGTATTCAACGTGCAATTTTACAAATACCAGCATACAACTTACTTTGATGTCGTCCTCCATTTCTAGAAATGCAATAATATGGAAATGTCGTAGAAGTCTGGCAGTTATTAGGTTTCTTTCACCTTCGAGAAGTCCCATAGCAGCGACAAAATTTACGTCCTCGATCAGCCTAAAGGATCCAATTTCTTTTCTGTCGTACCATCCTGCAGAAAACTCTTTCTCTTATTTTGGTATATTTTATTACATTATATAAATAGTTCATAGAAAGTATTTTTAAATAAAATTCTAATAAGAAATTAAAATCTTGAAAAGTTTTTGGATTTATTGAAGCTTAACTTGTTAAGATAAGGGAATGGATGATATGATGTTAGGAAGTTTTATAGAAACTTCCATTATATAACTCGCTCGATATCATGGAAAAAGACTATTTTGATCATATTTATATTGAGATATATATCAGTGATATCGAATTTCGCCGTATAAAAAGGTCAACTGTGATTATATCAATACCTTGAAGATTATATATTGTTCTGTAGGTTATTAAAATTATTTTACTAAAATTCTGATTTCAATACGCACAAGTGTATGAAAAAACACATATTTAGTAATTAAAATTTAGGATTAGCACATGTTTCATTATATTTTTATACACAGATATCTTTATGGTGGAGGTATGTAAATATTACCATTTCCGTGTTTTCAATTTTTATATATAATTTTTTTAAATATTCATTTCTTTTTAAGTTGTTTCAAGAGCTTTCGAGGATCAAGATTAAAATTTTCATTAATTGAAGAGTTATTTTGATCTGCCTCTGACGTAATCGTAATACAATTTATTTCTAATGAAATCTTTTAAATAGGATTTTAATAAGATAGGAAATACGAAGATTACAGAGTAATCCCGAGTAAAAGGTACTTTGCGATGTTTTGACGTGAAAAGAAAATGTTATTTTTACTTAATTTTTGTTTCTATTTTTATACATTGTATAATTTATGAAGTGTAAAACTATTTAAGAGATATATAAAATTCTAAAATATAGTTTTGTATTTTTTTTTATCAAAAAATGAAGAAATTTTAATAAATGATTGTTGTATTACTTTGCAAGTATTTATAATACCAAATAATCTAGATAATTGTTTACAAAGGAAAATAAAATAAACATATATAGCTAGAATTAGAACAGAACAGTTATAATAGTATAATAGTTAAATTAGAATAGCTATTAACTAAAATTATTTATAACTTTATAATTTTCACATCAACTCTTAGTACTGACTAAATTAGTTATTGTATTTTTCGAATGTTACTTCTAATTAAATTTTCTTGTCATTGTATATTTTTTAAATCTATTAATTTATCACCTTATCAATGATTCGTGCATCGATGCAATTAATTAAATGGGTTATTAATTTAATTAATCTCGCTACTTTTCTCACCGTTTAAATCCATAAACTGTCGGATTAATTCAATCGGTGGTTGAGCGCCAAACGCATCCAACGTCGGCATGTTGAAATCGTCGATAAAAAAAATTTGCTTTTTCAGGATCGGCGGCCCGTAAATACCTTTACGTCTCTTGTCTAATTTCGCGTCAATTAAATCCTGCGCGAAAATAAATCCGGATCATTAATCTCATTTTCCGTTTAAAAAATATATAATATTCCCTCTCCTGTCATACTTGAGTCTGATTCGCCGTAATTCGCGCCGAGAACGTCATGAAGTCGCAAATATATTTCTTCGGCATGTTACGCGATAGTTTCGTCGACACCGTCAGGGTTTTGCCGCTTCCGGTTGGACCCACGCAAAGTATATTTGTCTCATTAATGAGAAGATATTCAATTAATGCAGCGTTTCGCACGTTGTCTGCAGTTGGCACTTCGATATCTGTAAAAAATTTTATTTGTCAAGAGATGTTGTCAAATATGGAACATATACTGTTTTAAAATAATAAGGGATAAAATATATTAAGTATTACAATTTATTCAATGTTGTATTGCATAACAAATTTTGCAATCTATTGCACAGCGTAAATATTCGGACATTTAAAATGGTCCTTTACATACAACATATAGTCAATGTCTTCTTATCAATGAAAAAAATCTCTTTTTAATAGCTTTCTTTTAGGAATAAAATTATATTTTCTGAAAATTTTTTTAAACATCGTATATTTTTTTATCATTCAATTTTAAATATTTTCGCGATTAGATCTATCTCAAATTAAATTAAATTGCATTTTAAATGAAACAAAAATATATAAAAGATAGAAATAAAGCTCTTTCTGTATGTTCTGCTTTCTATCGCGGTTATATGATTTGGTTTTATCTTCTTTTTATTGTGTAATTATTGGTAATTAGTGGAATAGTAAGTTAAATTGTTAACTAATTACCGAATCTAATTAGCTTTGCGAGTTGTACAAATATACATACTATCTATTTAACAAATATACATATCATATGTGTACATAAATTTATTTCTCAAGAAATAGCTGTGGTTTACCGGTATATTTTGTTTCTGGCATTATTCTGATGAGTGGAATTCCGTCCAACCACTTGTACCACTTTGATGGAATTGGTTCTTGACCTTCGATAGGATCGGTGAATCCGCCATCGTGCAATCTTAATATATATGATATATAACATATTATTTGATTCAATTAAGATATGATGTAATGTATTTTACTATAATTCAAATTATTTACAAAAAATTATAAATGAAGTGTAAATAAGTAATTATAAATGAAGATGGTCTATATTTTCGTACAAAAAGAAAAGTTTAACAAAAATTTGTTAGTTTATCCTATTTGTTGTTACAATTTAATTTTTACGTTTGTGTGTGTTAATGTAGATATACTATTTTATTGATATAATTTTAATAATATTTAAATATCATATATATTAGTAAAATTATATTAATGTGAAATACAGTTTTTAAAAAGTATAGTAATAAAAAGATTACATTTAATTATTTCTATTTTTAAGCATTAAGCTCTTTTAAGCTTAGTTTTTTCTTGGTTTTTAAATTTTCTATTTTTTCTCTTGTCTTTTAAAACTTTTTTATCATTCAAATTTAACATGTTAATTCCCACGTTAATTGAGTTTTTAAGTAAATAATTCCGAAGTAATAAACATCGGCATGAACGTCTTCAGAAAAAGGTTTATTTTCTTAACTTATTTTTTTCTTGGATTATTTTATATTTATACCTATAATCAAACACAAGACCATCTTCTGGAAACGGTGTTTTATGTTGGGCATCCTTTTGCACTTTTCTCAGCCAGTCACTAAATATACGTCGACTTTTATAATCGCAAGTAGCACCTAATCCCCAAACAATAGCGAAAGCTGCCCATGGTGACAGCAAATCCGCTAGGATACAAAATATTCATTGTCAATATATGTGATTTTATATTAATACAAATACAATATCGGAATTTTAATTTCTCTCGCTAGTGATTAATAATTAATATACTAAAATTTAATTAATATTTAAATATATTAAATATACATCTTTGCATACAGGCTTGATCTTTATACGTGAGATGCTTATGCAGCAAACTACACAGAACTGATAAATAGAAACAGAGCGCATTTTTGTGATAATATATGCTTAAATGTAAATCGAACAACTTTATATATACATATATTTTGCTATGCATATATTGCCATTATATTATATGTGTAATTATATAATATGATTTAAAGCAATTTAAATTTTAAATTTAAGTTACTATATAGCTTAAATTTATTATTTATGTGTCAATACTCATGTACAAAGTACATATTAAGTTAAATCACTTGCGGCTTACGTATTGTTCTTTGGAAAGCAAAACTTGGTAATGCTTTTCCTTCACGGTCAGCCATCGGTCGAATTCTGAAGTTCATTAAATTTATATAAGATTGAACAATGGCGAAATCTACCGTATTCACGATTTCTCGTAAATTTTCTCGTATAATTTTTAGACCAGGAAGCACTAGTTGAGCTGTTAAATCCGTTATTTCTTCGATATAATCGCTCATAGTCTATCAAATCGTAAAGACTTGTTTTACGTAATTGCATTTTATATATACCTAATTAAATAATGTTTCACATTAATTGCAATATGCATAAAATAACATTTATTTGGTAATAATTGAAAACTTATAAGAGATAAATTCGGGAATTTGAGGATTTAAAAGTAAATCCTTTCTAAAAAGAGAGAGTAAAAGTATTAAAAATTTACATTTAAAGTTTATTTTAAAAGTTTAATTTGATTTTACTAATAAAAATTCTTATAATTTTATTTCTGTAAGATAGACTTAGAGCATTAAAAAATTGTTTAAATATTTATTTAAGAAGAAATATGCTATTGATAAATACGCTTTCAAAATTATTGCATGATATTAATAAATAATATTGTCTATTAAATAAATTTATTATTTCTCCGTTTTCAAACCTTTCCAATATATGAAATGTATAAAATAAAGGCTAAAAATATACCAGCGGAAATACTTTTGTGAAAATATTGATTTACCTTTGGTAGCGATCGTATCCAGCAATCGATTAAAGGTTGCAAACCTACATTTTTTGATTCTATATATACCATACCACATCTGTTTTTATATAAAAATAGAAACTTATTATATAATTGGTCACATAATTCTAATTAATATTTTAATCAATATAGAAAATGGTAAAATACAAAAGGTAATGTGAGCCGAGAAGCGCAGGATGGGCAGCAGCAATTAAATTTATTTCTTTGAAATGTAAATTCGACTCACAGTGCCTTTTATATTTTACCTGTTTATGTTTATTATTTGGAGTCATATTCACTTCCTTTTGTATTTTAATCAATATACTGTATCTTTATTAAAAAGGCAAACATTCATTTATTATATTTTAGTCAATATTTTCGACGTATATTAATTATATTAATGTTGCATTTTTGCAATTGATACCATTATTAATTTCTTCCATTATAATAATGAAATTGAATTTTATATTACCTAGAAATTGTAGCCGGAGAAGCTACTCGAAGATCTGATACTTCGAATATCATGGTTTGAGTTGGCAATAACTTTATTATCTCTCCTGATGTAAGACAAAGCTTTTTGTTATCATCCAGAACAGTGTTCATATTCTCTATCCAAGCTGCATCGACCGGTCCATCAAAAATGTACCAACGTTTATCATGATCAGCTGCTATTATATCTGCTCGTATTAAAGTTGGCAATATTCCGTCTATCCTGAAAATCGAATGTCCATGACAGGTATCAGCACTACGAATTTCGTATCTATTTTTAACAATTTTACAATTTACACACACACAAATGTTACAAAAATGTTGTATATTTGTATATGGATTAGCAAATTGATCTTTATATATGTATTAATTCTTTATATGTTTCTTATTTGAATACGTATGTATTTATTAATATCTACATATGTATATAATTAACTATAAATAAATTGCGGTATAAAATAATTTAGCAAATAATTTATTAAACTTGATATAAAAATTATTAATAATCATTATTAATTATATAAAAATGAAATGTAAAAATATTTACATAATACTTTTTCTGATTTTTAATTAAAATAAAAGAAAATTGTTTAGATTAATTTAAATACAATGTATTATATATATATATATATATATATATATATATGAAGTAATGTGTAAGTTTAAAGAAGATTAAATATATAGACACACATGTATGTGTTATCTGAAATATTTTTATATGTATTACAAATGTGCACATTGTGTATACATATCGTTGCTTAAAGCTTAAAACGAAAATAATGAAAAAGTAACAACTAATTACGGGCAATTATTTTAATGCATACATTGAAATACGTTGGACATTTGTTTATACAGAACATAATAATGGAAAAAGGAATTAAATAAATGTCTTCGAACTTCGAATATATCAGATTACAAAAGTGGTAATAGTAATTCATTATTATTTTAATACTTTACGTGATGCATTTATTTCCAGTGAGTATTTTAATTAATTATATTATAGACGAGATAACTCTTTGATAATTGTAGTATCCTATATTATTTTTAATATTATAATTTATGAAAATATATTCTTAAAAATTATATTAAATTATATTAAAGGAAAATTAAAATGTATTTGATATGGAAAAGAAATAAAATTATATAAAATACTATGATATTAGAAAACATATTTGTTTGAAGAATTTAATATGTTTAATGACGTTTGTGTGGAATTAATTATCGTAATTACTTGAAAATTACAAGCAAGCAATGGCATGCTAATGTCGAGTTTATTTGTGTTAAAACACATTTAGAGCTACAATAGCTATTGTAGCGCTAGATAAATACATTTAACATTAAATTTCACGAAATATTTGAGTTAACGTAAAAAGTACTTAATATATTATACAAATTACATGAATATTAAAATAAAAATGAAATGAACGTTAAATTATTAGAGTTTAATAGCAGATTTTTTGTTAAAATTTTTGATATATAAAATCGGGACGTCACTATATATGTATATATATATATATATATATATATATATATATATATATAATGTTAATATTACATTACGATTCTGTTATGTAACATTTTGAGAAATCCGCTTTAAATTGTTTAATAACATAGAAAAAATTATATTTTAAATTAAAAAATATTTAATATATATATATATATATATATATATCGGCCAATAGAGCCAAACGCAATGTTATTGCGAAAAATTGCGAAAATTAATTTTTTCACTAATTAGAAACTTAGGAATTAGTATCTTATGGTTGAGGTCTCTAATTCCCGTATTCCCCTTTTAATCCCTCTGCAAAGAAATAAGCGAGAAAAATATCAGTCCGAAAATCGACTGAATCGGGAATCGAACCCGAGTCCTTTCGCTTGCCGGGCGACTGCTCTTCCAAGGGGAATACGGGAATTAGAAATCTCAATCATAAGATACTAATTCCTAAGTTCTTAATTAGCGAAAAAATAAATTTTAATTCTAATTATTGTTTAGCTAAACAATTTATCATTAAAATTCAAAGAATTTCAGATTCATGGTTTTGGCATATAACATAAAACACGTACATATATATTTGCATTTAAATAAAATTCAGTTTTGCGGTGTCACGATTTTAGCGAAGTATCGACAATGTATCGCTTACCATTTGTGTGTGCCCGGGTCGTATTCGCCATACAATTGACCCATTGATATAGCTTTTGGATTCAATACATATGAAATAACTGCAGTGAATGGCTTGCCACTTGGTTGTGATTGACCTTTTAGATTTGTACACGCATGTTTCAAGACTTTGTAACACTGAAAAAAAAATCAAAACAGATATACATATATATTTGTCAATTATTTGCACGTTAATCTCTATATTTTATTGAACATTTATAAGAATATTATTTTTTCTTAATTTGCAAAATTTAGTACATCTAAGATACATAATTTCCTCATTTATTATGCTATTATCTTCAACGCAGAATAGTCAACAGAGCGATTAAATCGCAAAATTAAATCAGAATATTTGTAACCAAAAACTTGTTATAAAATAAATATCAATGCAAATCAATATTAGATACGTAATGCATATTCTGGGAATAAATATGTTTAATATAAACAATAACTGTAACACATTCGTACTGCTACAATTGTTCTCGCCATTTTGTATTTAAATTACATTTCACTGCGATAGTAAAGCTTGTTTTAAACTGTCGTCTGTTTCTATTATAGCGTATTTTAAAAGGCTTTCTCTCTTTTAGAAAGCTAATCTAATTATATATGTGTAATATTAATTATGAAAAATTTCCATTTTATTTTTTAGAAATTCTAACAATGGTCATTTTGATTCTTAAATTTATATTTTATAATCATTTGCTTTCTACAAAATTAAATGATTAAATATACACAGAATGTGCTAACCATGCACAGGTATTTTATTATAAAAGATATTGTCATCACATTTTTTTCTAGAAAAGTTTCTAGAATAAATTATGAAGGTGTTTTATGGCATTATATAAATACGTAAAAGCCTTCTCGCAATTTAAATATTAAACGTAATAATAGATATCAGACCTTTTTTTTCAGTCAATTTTTTTTATAAAAGAAGTAATTATTCACAAATTTTATATATGAGACTTTTTTCTAGAAAAAAATATCTATTCAAAAATTAAATTTTAAAATAAATTGCAAATAGTTTACAAATAATTATAGATAGAGACAGTTAAATGAATCGTACAATTTAATTTTATACATACATGCATGCATGTTTTAGATTTAAAGAGAATATGCATATTATTTATGTATAATGAAAATTTATGTATAATCCCTTACATATTATTACAGATTACTATACAAATATTAATCTTTTATATCGTCTATGCAAATTTGCTTATTAATTCTACATATTCATATATTGATAAAATATAATTTATTCATCAGTAAATACAATTTGTAATGTGCATAGAAGCTAGTAAATTGTTGCTTCTCAACGTAACACTAGTATTGGGTTAGTGACGAAACCAACACGTACGAAAGCTAACATAGGATAGAGTTGATTGCGAAAATGATTGAAATTGTTGAGATTGGTCAGAGTTAAACGTACGTGCTGAACAAATATAACTAGCATAACTAGCATTAATTGAACATTATTTTGGAGGAAAAGAATATGAAAAGCGTATTAAAAATTCAAACATATCTTCAATTATTTAATCTTTCTTGATGCGTAATTATATTAAAACACTTTTAAGATTTATAAAGAAAAATATGAATAAAGACGAACATTTTTTATCAGGTTTTTTAAATTTAAAATTAAAATTTGAATAAGTTGTTAATGTCTAGAAGTAACTTATTTCCGATATAACAATCAATCGATAAAAGAATTAGTTGGAATACCTAACATTCATATCCTCGAAATGACATTTCGTATCCTTTTTTTTGCAAGAAAATCTGTTAAACGTTTTTTATTTACAAAAGTTAATTTAGTGCTGTCAATGAAATAAATACAATTTTATGTGTGTTATCAGTTATTTAAATTAGTGAATCTGAACATATGTCAATATTAATTTAATGTCAATATTAATATTCTTTATACATTTATTAATACAGTAGTAGTAACCTACGCAATGTCAGACATAAAGTATTTATTGTTTTGATGAACACATATATATCCGTCTTTTAACCATTGAAATTTTATAATGTGCGAGATGTAAAATAGTGCAAAATTTATCAAATTTATCAACAATACAGAAAATATAACAATAGATTCTGCTCTATCTGATCTTAGCGAAACAAAAAAACAGACATCATGTTTTAAAATTTGTAACATTAAATAATATTTTGGCCTAAAGTTTGATATGAGATCAACAATTCCGTTAAATTAAAATTGATATATTATTAACTTACATAAAAATCTCTGAATTTTTATTGACTATGCCATAAAAGCTATTAAAACTATCGATATAATTCTGTTTGAAAAAAAATTCTGTTCGTCATTGAACAAAGAATTTATTCAAACAGATTATTCGGCTGGAATCTTCTATAATAGAAGCATGAAATAAAGGCAGCAAAAAATTTCGTGTGGATAGTGAACTATGAATTTTTTATGTAACTTTATCGAAAAAGCAATTTATCTCGAATTGAAATTCAAATAAGTTGTGTTTTATAAGTAAAACTTGTGATATATATATATGTATATATATAATATTTTACATTAAAAATTTTTTTTCGATAATGTATAAAAATATATAAATTTATTCTATTATTTATTGTGAAAATTTCATGTTTTTTTTGCTTTAAAATTGCAAAGCTGTGATATTTCTTTTATTCCATTGTTATAAGATGGAAAAGGAGATCGGGATGCCCTTTTTCGCAATCGTTTCTTCGAAGCTAGAGATGTAAGATGACGTGAAGCCCGACGATGTGCATAATGGAATGAAATTCTTCTATATGACTTCATAGAAAAATCAATCTATCTCGAATCTAAACTCACGTTCAAGCAAAACTTATACAAATATTTTGTATGTCAAAAATCCTCCAAGTCTCCCAATAATAAATTTCATATTATCATTAATTAATATTATCGATTTATTATATTTATTGTTTGTAGTAAAGATTTTGTATTTCCAGATAAAAAAGACGATAGATCTTTTTTGATTTTATTTTTGGAGAATAAAAAAGAAATATCCTTTTCCTTTTCGTAATCTTCATCCTATTATCGTAGAACGAAGAAAAGATGCCCTTTTTCTTCGCAATCTTCACCCTATTTTTGCAGAACCATAGAAAGAAAGATGCCCTATCTTCGCAATTATTTTTTCGAAGCCGTGAGACGCAGAAACGACGCGAAGCCCGACGACGCCGGCGTCGTCGGCATCAGCGGCGTCCGTCGAGACGCCGGCAGGATCTCTACAAGGCGCATGCGGCGGAACTTTTCGGCTTGGGACAGATGCGTTCTCATAGAAGCCCATGTTCCCAGTTTACCCGACGACGTTTCCCACCGCACGACGCGCACATTTTCCTATATATACGTTAATGTGGTGTGTGACTATTTAAATATATTGATATATCGACAAAATATATTTTTCTCACGTGTAAACGTCTAGATCGTGGATCGTATTCGCGAAAGCTCGGAGCTCTTTCGGAGCGAATAGTAATATGCCCCGTTTGCATGTTACAAACTCAATCTTCTCGAAGAGCTGGAATTGTTAAAAAGTTTTTGAATGTTCTGCTGACAATGAGTGATTAAATTTAAATGAAGATAGCAAACAACAACGTACCAATTTTGACGAATCGTTTGAAACCTCTGAAGTGCTTTTTATATGTATAAATCTCTGACAGTTTGATTATCACATCCATAAAGCCAAAAATGAAAAATTCTTCGTAATCCCAATTCAATTTCAACGAAAATTACAAAATCTATTGTATTTTTTAGTTACAATCAACGGACGAGTTCGACGATTTAAAATTTTTCGAGGGTGTTTTAATTGTTATAGTTTCACACATTATTGAAAAAATTAGTGCTTCAACGAAATCCAGAGATTATTTATCTTAAAGAGAATTAATTCAAGAAATTAAATCACGTTTTTTGTAAGATTTTTTTTACGAATTTAAAGGATATCACAACTTAAGATAATGATGCAAATTTTGTAACAAATTTGATAAAAATGTTGTACAACACTGCAGTTATATCGAGAAAAAATATTTTGTCTTCAATCTTTGTTATTAAATTTTCTGTGTGTGGTGATAAGCGGAAAGATAGGAAAAGACAGAATTAATGATAAAATGTCGTATAGAAAATTGGATGATATATGTAATTTTGTTCTCTGCAACACGTGACAATTAAATGCGCTGGCAACATTATATATATTTCTCAAACGAGAGTTCAAGATTATTCAAGAATTATTCAACTAGGAATGCCTCGTACATTTAATGAAATAGTGAAGTGCGAATCAGTGACTGCGCAATTAAATTAAATGGTAAGTCGACTTTGATAATTTAATAACAACGCGATAGCAGTTCTAAAAGGACACGGAGAGGTAATTAAAAAAAAAAAAAAAATACACAAATAAGATATCTTTCTCTCTAACACGCGAGATATCTGAAAGCGTACAGAATCCTCTTGCATTAAATTACGATCGCTGAATCAGCTAAAATGTAGTAGATACGCTTGCTAGATTCGGGAGCTATTCAAGTCAAGGTTGAGGTGAGTAACGAATGTTACGATGAAATCGCATTCTTGCGGAAACACGCGCGCTGTTTATCAATCTCACTAAACTTCCGTATTTATCTCACTCTCGAATGTATCGCAAACTGTAGATCGATAAATTGATTTTTAATGCGCGGTTTGCTCGATTCGTGATCAGTCGTACGTGAAATAGTCGGAGAAAAAAATAAAAAATGTACAATTAAGAAATCCATTACAAAAGGCTATTAAGTGAACTGTAAATGCATTACGTTCTCGTTTTCACGTTAATGAAATATATATATATATATATATATATATATATATATATATATATATATTTGAACAGAATTGCGAACAATGAATGTGCCGCTTTTGTTCTCATTAGCATCAAACGTTTCGACGTGCCAATTGATGATAGCTTAAAGGTTCTCTTCAGAAAATGTATTACACGAAATAGCACGCGTACAGACAGTAATTCTCATGTATCTTTCTGATTGCGAGTTATTCAGTGAACTCGTAAATTCGTTCATCTTATGCACACAATTTGATATGGATTTCATCAAAACTTAATTTTCTATCATTGAGACATTATTATTGAACCAATTGAACAACTTATACACAAATGGATACAATGATGAATATAATAGCTATTTCCTGAAAATTGAATTAACGCGCACATAAAGCTTTCATAGAGTGAAATGAATATAAATTACTGCGAAATCCGGATAAAAATAGGCGAAATAATGGGCGAATGTGCACATTATTAAATGAAATCGTATCGATCGAGTGCGAAAACAGAACTGTTCGACTACATTCCTCTGAAAATGCAATTAAGTTGAATGTAATTGAACCAAAAGTGTAAACGGTTATGTCACCCGCTTAGATGGACGTTTGGACAGGGCGAAAAAATTTGTGTCGAACAAACACGGATGTCCGAACATTTAAACGTAATCCTGCGCTCAATACCTACGTTAATACGTGTCAGCGACGTTGGAAAGTCTCCAATCGTTTTGCCGCGCGTTTCTCGCGGTGGAATGCGTCCGCGCTGCAACCGATCGTGTCGGATCAAATAGCTTTTAGTCCGACTACTGATTTCGGATAACTAAAATAGGCTGAACTTTCGACGCGTACCCCAGATATTTAATTCTGAAACGTCGACAATATTGTTTAAAATTTTTCCTTTTTTTTTTTTATATACAATATATATTTATCGCTCTCACAAATTTAAAGAATCTCTGCCGATCTCTCATCGTTCAGTTGTAGCAAATTTTCGCAGGGTGACATTCTCGTGCGCGAGGAAAGAAAGGGAGAGCTTTTATCGAACAACAATATTGCTTATCACGCGCGATTCGAGCGTAATAGTGCGTGGAATACTATCGCGTTCGTGTCAACAATTTTAACGAGTCTTCGCGAATCTACGTGCCATACACGCATTCTCATTCAATAGGTTTTATCAGGGTAAGGTATACGTTATACACGAGAGAAAAAGCTGGGAATTTCCATCGGACAATTATTTAGCTGATCGCACTCGTGATTCAAGCATTCGGATAACTCTATAGCCCGGCATTGGCCTGGTCTATATCAACAACAAGTCACACCTACGAGTCTGGAGAATGGCCAATATTATTGCGACGTGCATTACGCGTTGATGCACATCGCGCAGCCGATCGCATTTCTGGAGCAACGAAGAAAATCATCGAAGAGAATTTCCTTCGACCATTAATGCAATCTCGACCTCGTGCAGCCATGTTCACATTTGAAGAACTGTCGAGCAGAGTTTCGAGATATCATCAGATACCGACGAGACTCGGCGATCTGTCTCCGCGACTCCGAAGATCAGTGTCGCCGACGATTTGGCCGAACCTGACAATCTACGATTATCAAAATCATAGTTTAGAGACGATTTTCGAGATGGAAGAGCTGGGTGGAATCTGCACCTCGCTATACTTTCTCCTGGATTTTTGCCATCTGTATTATATACCGTCCATCATTCTACTGGGCCTGGTAGGCAATCTCTTATCGTGCGTGGTTTTTCTCAAGACGCATCTGAAGCTGCGGAGCTCCAGTTATTACTTGGCTGCGTTAGCCACCGCTGATTTCGGCTTTCTCATATCTCTGCTCCTGGTGTGGCTTAACAGCACCGTAGGCTGGAGAGTCTTCAACAATGACGGCTGGTGCGAAACGTTGGTGTATGTCAGCGCGGTTTGCAGTTCGCTCAGCGCTTGGTTAATCGTCGCTTTCACCGTCGAAAGATTCATCGCCGTTCAATATCCGCTCCATCGACCGCATATGTGCACCGTCGCACGCGCAAAAACTATTATTCTGGTGCTGACGATATTTGCTCTGGCTAGCCACTCATATTCCTTCGTCACTGCCGGGGTAGTGAAAAATCAGGACGGCGACGAGGTGTGCGATTTGAGGATCGAGTATCTAGAAACCATGCGGATTATCAGCATTATTGACAGCATAGCGAGCCTGATTGTGCCGCTTGTGCTCATCATCGTGATGAATACCATGATCATGAGAAATCTCCTCAAGTTTGGCAGGCGATTCAACCAGGAGCCCGGTTACACCGCTAATTGCGCCAACAGGGAGAAGTCCGACATCAATCTCAATCAAATCCCGGTGAGTTTCCTTCGTAAATCTCAGTTCTTGATTGCATTTTGATGTTATGTATATATGCAGCGTATATGTCACTTTGATATATTGACTTTCCTTTCGCAAAAAGATTTCATTTTTGTCTTTGATGCTGAATCTTGTGTCTTGTATTTTTGCATATTATAAAGAATTTTTCATTTTAATTTGTTTTATTTAATATGAAGTTCAAATTCTATAACTTTGAAATTATTTTAAAAATAAAAAAGATTTTTTTAAATTTATTAACTTACAATATATGTTGATTTTTATATATATTGAAAATTTAACGACTACATATTTTAATATATATGTATGTTTTAATATGTGTATATATATATACTATGTAATAAACTTATATCGTGAGTGTGTATGTATATTAATCTATAATATATATATATATGTATTATATTTTAGTAACATTAATTAAATGGTAAATATCTGTATATGTATGTGTGTATACACGTACATGAATATTTTCTACTTAATTGGTACTATTAAATGATTAATATATGCACACTCATTACATAAGTTTGCATATACAAAATTATTGCGGATGTTGGCATTTTGCTGAACAACTATTAACTGAATAAATATATTATGTATGTTAAATACTTAATGCACGTGCACACTTGATAATAATCGTTTGCATATACAAAATTGTCATGTAATGATGAAATCTTCTTGGACAACTATGAAATGAGCATATAATTATTGTACTTTTTCATTATAATTGTGGAAAATTTTTAATATGTGTAAACATATCATCAAAGCAGAATTTTATCGATAAGTGATTAACGATATATGATTTCGAAATTTGATTTTTATAACAAAAATACTGTAGATATTATCTTGTTCACGATATTGTTTTCTTCCACGTTAGGTATATTATTTTGAAATTTTGGAACCTTAGGATATAGCACTCGTGATATCGATTAGAAGTGTTTCTTCCCACGTATGTTGTCATAAATTCTTAAAAGTAAACAATGAAATATTGAGTTTTCCCCCTGCGATCGATCGTATATGCTGTTGGCGTGAGTAGAACATCAAAACGAGCATATATAATCTGAAACATCAACACAAATCTGGAAATAGTTTATCCACTCTCGTAATTTCTAAAGGATAGATTATGGAAAGAAGAAAAAAAAGACAGGCAAAAAATGATTTATATTGAAAACATATGGAACACGTTTTAACTGAGGATGAACATGAATTATTATTCCTTTTAATTGATAAATGTCAACAAGATATCACTGAATGGGAGAACATTAAAAAATGTAAAGGTGTCGAATTCTATTTTAAATCATCGCTTTTACAGACAAATTTAGAAAGTCGTGTCAATCTTCTTTTATTTCAAGCAAGATTTTTCTTTCTATCACCTCGATATAAAATGTATGTCGATATTCATATGTGGTGGCATTAGAGGAACGTGCCGCTTCTTCGAATGCGGTTCGTCGACTATTTTTGACCAACGTATAAATACTCTCGCGGCTTACATAACTAACCATTCATCTTTACGGATCGACATGCATGCATTGCTGGCGCTTCCTGCTATGCTCGTTGTTTATAATCACTCCTGTATATGTTATCGACATATCATGAATCGCGCGGAATCTGCCTTTTGCCCGGTCATTGATATCTAGTAGGTGGATACAAGGGGCGGGAAAGATTACAACGTAAATCTCGAGATATATCTGTTACAAATTAGATACATTATTGTAATCCACGCGAGAAAAGTGTATCCATAAAATGTTTCGAGAAAATATTTATGAAAAAATACGTAATCTGCGTTAAAAAGCGAATTATGATTGCATTTATTAACGCCACATCAAAGGAAAAATATTCAATATAGAGGAAATTAATATCTATAACAAAGTTAATACCTAAAACATTATTGATTTCTGAAACAAGTTGTCAAAAGAAAAAAATCAACTTTAGATTATGCATTTATTATCATAATATATTTTATACTTAAGTATAGAATTTGCTAATTTATATGTATTGTTTATTATTTAACATTTTTATTGAAAAATATTACTTATTTTATATTTTTAATATAAGTGTTACAAAAGTGATTTTGGGCAAAATATTTGAAAGCTTTATATGAAAATCGCGAGTGTAAAAAAAAGAACAAACTGCAATATTATGTATGTATACATAGAGTGTACACAATAATGTATTACATTTTTTAAGAATAAAAATTTAAGAAAATTAATTATAATTTATATTTTATTTTTTATTTATTTATATTTTTTTGTATATTATATTACTATAAAATTCTCTTTCGATTTATTTTAACGCTATCGTTGTGTAATCTATCACAGTATTCTATTTTACGAAACCAAACATAAAGGCAAAGAATGTAGGACGCAGCATTCTTCGTGTCACTAGTCTTTGATAAAGGAACGCGTGCAAGTATATTAAAGGTTCCAATTTGCAAGCAAATTAAATTAAATGACATATTTGAGTATCAGTAGAACAAGTCAACGCTTAGTGTACTTTTTATCAAGCGAAATATAATTATTATGTTGTTTGTGTACGTATCAGTTGTCACATTAATAATACAAAGATGAAAAGAGAAAAACAAAAAGAAATTTAAATATACAGAATTAGTAGTTATTAGTAGTAAATAATTTGTTACTTACTAATTAGATTTGCATCAAAATTTGATTATCAAAGTCAATTTACCAAATTTACGTTCTACCCGACAAAATGTAGATACAATCGTTGAAAACAAATTCCAAAAAGATATTTTTTGTTTGATGATAATAAGTGTGCTTATCAACTCTTATGTTTTTATATTTTAATACATAAGAAGGCATAAATAAAATTATTTTAATTCAGTTATTCAAGTTAATTGGATCATGTATAAACATATACATGTATAACAGAGATTATAATAATATTGTTTATATAATTAACGATTTCAATAATTGTCATATTTAAACATTTATTTAAATAAAAACTTTGCTTTAGCAAGAGCACGAAAAATTAGTAATAATAATAATATTAAAAAAATTAATTTGTGAAATTTATTTTCTTAAAATGTATACATACATAATATGTATAATACTTACATACATACATACATGTGTGTGTCTGTGTGTAAAAGTTTATTATAAGAAATTATTTTTCTACAGATAATTAAATTAAAATGACACGAAAATATAGATTTAGATAATTGATACATTTTACATTTCCTTGTGCTTATAAGCACTTTCATGAATAAATTTAACAGCTTTGAAATAAATTTCCCGTTTCTTAAGAGTTTAAAGGAAAGCCAGATATAGATTTTAAATTTTATTGCTTTTCTGACGGAAAATCGAAGAAAAGAATTGAAGTGCACTTCAAACGGAACCATCGCTTATTTATACTTTGGTATTCAGAGCAAAATTCTCGTGCAATGCGCTCCTTTTATTGCCTATGTATGTACATTTAATTATTGAATATCCGCAATGTTTGAAATACTATACAGCAATATTATCTTTGTAATCAAACTACTGCTAAAACTTTTTTATTTAATGTACATATATTTTACTGAATGTTATTTAAATTAAAATACATATTTTATTATAACAAAAGACAGTCGTAATTTTAGAGTATCTAAAAGATATAATTATAATAAGTGTTATCTTTTAATAGTTTATAGTATATATATATATATATATATATATATATGTATGTATGTATGTATGTGTATGTGCAAAAAAAATAATATATCAATAATATCATGTTTTTATAAAACTTAATTTGAGAGAATAAAGTTATATGTCCATATATCCATTGTTGTGGCTGTTGTAATTAAAATAAAATCAAATGTGATTTTCATGCATTGCATTTGCATCGATTACATTAACACATCATAATATCACGTGACTACTTAATTCAAGAATCGTAAATGTATTTTATATCAATTGGCACAACTACAAAGACTTCCTATTTTAATGTTTCAAAAAAAATATATATATATAATGTGTGCATGTATGTATGTATGTGTACATTAGCAACTGAAGAAATTATAATGTAATAGCATAATTAAAAATTACACAAGCTATTCTAAATTTATTACAACAGATTTTATCCTATGACAAATAAATAGCTAAATTTTTAACGGAAATTTAACAGAGCTTTATTGTAAGCTTTAAACCCTTAATACACTCCGACGAAAGCTTAATATCTTGAATATGTTCTTTTACAAAAATCTGAAATTGATTTAATAAATTTATACTATTCTAAAATTAACGTAACCAATAAGAGTCTGCAATTTTATTTAATTATTGTAAGAGTTTAAATTAGTATATAAAATTAATGAATTATTCAACATTGCGTAAAATAAAAGATTTTAAAAGATTAAATTAATAAATAATAAAACTTTTATATCGTATCTCACTATTATTTTATATCTTTTTTTTATATCTCACTATCATATTTATTACATTACACAAACTAAAAGACAATTATTCGATTATATAATGATAATAAAAAATTTGACAAATAATTAAACAAATAAATTATATTTCTTATTGCTAGATGATGCGCGCGCGCGTGTATGTGTTTACAGCGATATCAATAAGATGAAAGATTAATAAGATAAAATAAAAATTTTCCCTTAAGTATATATAGATTTTATTTTGTGGAACAAATTAATTTGAAATATAATTATAGAGATATTTAAACTGTTTCGAATCCGTTATTCGTCCAAATTTAATAATACTAATTATTTTCGCGTTATTATATATATATGCAGAAGTAAATACATACATAACTTCTACTGACCATCTTTAAATACATTTTATATAAATTGTTATGTATGGGCAAATAAAAGATACGATAATTTATGATGAAAGTCCAATGTCAATATAAATATATCTCTTGTATAAAATAGGTTTATACATTTGTGGAAATAAACGGATACTGTATATCAAACATTAAATGTACATTCTCTCTTAAGGAATACATTTTGTATGAGTACGCGCAACATATCAGAATGG